GTAAATGCAAAGTTCGCTTCTTAGTAATTCATAATCTGTGTTGTGAGCTTTGATTGATGCGATCAGTAAAGCTAGTTGTAGCGTGTTGGATCAATGAATCGTGGTAGTTGATTTGTTCATAGGAAGTCACGTGGTATCTGCGGGAAACGGTTCGTTGGCAGGATGCTTACTCCTGTCGAATACTCCAATTTACCGTGTCCTTTTGGTTCGTTGAGAACGTGTTCTTGCCAGCATTCTCTGTTCCATCGTGTTGACTCATAAAACATGACTCAATCTACTCACGGATACTCTGAGTCGTGGGAGGAACTGTAACGCTTTACTCCCCTCAGTGGCGACTGTCGACTCTGAGTGTTTCTTACCACAATCCTTGTATCTCCTGACCAAAACGTAGTGCATTCAGCATAGGCCATACCGATGTATAGTCCCAGTGTTTGCTGAGGATATCTGCAGGGTTATAGATCCAGGGATATGATGAAATCAAGATACTTGCAGCAACAGCTTCCCTATTACGGTGGTAGGAAGCGCATTGTGTCTTTTGAGAATCTTTGAGTGTGGTCGAGGCGGTGTTGACTACGTCTCGTTGTCTCCGAACATCATGGTCGGTGTGTCGACCGTACTCCTAGGTACCTGACGTGCTCCGTAGGTCAATATCTGTTCAGTGCGGTACGAGCTGCAATATTCAGATCCGAACGTTGCGGTCTCGACTGTTGACTGTAGCGCAAAGGAGTGGAGATGAGGCTTGTTTGGGCATGTGTCCGAAGATCCGTTGGTAGTTGCTGAGTACCTTCTCAATATATTTGCGAGGTGCGTAACTCAGTACTCCGTTCTCATCACGGAAGAAATCACATCCTAGGTGGAAGCTGATGGCACCGGTTCCCTTTAGTTTGAACTTGGCTCCCCTTCCAATGTCGCGATAATCTTGGATGCGTCTTTGCTGACAATAAGGAGGTCGTCTACGTACACAGCGATGTATTCGTAGTACTCCCTTTGTCTCTCATCCAGATGTCTGATCGGCTTTTGAAGGAAAGAATCCCATCGAAGAAGAACATCTGCAAATCGTCATGCCATCGTAATCCAGAAGACTTGAGTCCGTATAGGGCACGGCTGATGATGAGGTGGCATCCTTCTCGATCTCCAAATCGGCCCTGCGACAACTATACATTTCTTTCGTAAATGATCTCCAAGTAGGCGTTTCCAATGTCGTTGCCCATACTTCGCAATCATTGAGTTCTGCGAGGAATGTGAGGATACGAATCCCTCGTAACGAAACCACACTGGAATAGACGGAGTCTACTGGTGTATCAGTGAGATGTCCTCCAGCGACAAGTCGTGCTTTGTGTCGTCCATCGTGTTTGACTGCGTACACCATATGCACTCGGATCTTCTTCCAATCTGGTCCAGGGTTATGTCCCCTTCCTTTGTTGATGAAGGTCTCGTACTCATCAATCTGGTTAAGTTCGATCATCTCGGCATCTCTCCACTTGGTATCTCCATTGCGTGCGTCTAGTTCCATGGCTTGATCATGGTTGCGCGGAACTTGGAATCGTACATGAACAGGGCTTGGTCCTGAGAGGAGTGAAGCTTTGCTTGGTTACCGCTCGTACGAGTCGCTTTTGAGTCTTTGCGATCTTCTTGAGTCCTGGTAGTTTCCATCAACTGTGTCTAGTAGACCGTGCTCTTCAGCATAGATGGCGACCGTGACTGGATCAGACTCATGTACTCCCATCTTGTCTTTGGTGGTAAGAGGCTCCCAAGTTATCTCCCCGGTTTCCCATTCAACTTGTACGTTGTACCGTGAACCCTTGTATCGTTCCTTGTCAGATGATCTGATGGGACCTTGTGATCCAAGATCTTGCGGAACTTCCATGTGCCATCCCAAGTTTGGTCTTGTTCAATGTAGTCCACGATATCGTTGTAGGCTACGATTTCCTCGTACTCGTCGTTGACTCTGCATTTGAACTTGATCATGTCGGGATGTTGTTGAACCTTCTCCTTGTGGTATTTGACTCTTTCAAGGATCTTGGCTCTTACTGGTTCCATCTTCTGCGGTGGCATGAGAAAGGTCTTTTCTAACATCTGTTCAGGAGGTATCCTGATTCGGTGGGATTGTCAGTCTATGTGCCGCTTGTTGAAGATGAATGGCTCCTCCGCACTAGATGATCCTTTCTCAGGCTCGTCCTTCTGATGGTTCGCGATGTTGTCATCATCGTCATTGACCGTTTCTACCTGGGGCATCTCCCTGAGAGGCGGTTCGTCCATTGGAGTATTCTCTTCTAGAATGGTCTCCCCTATCTCCCCTTCTTCGTCATCGTCTGGAAGGTCAAAAGGGCTCTGGTTCATGTCGATAGTGGGCAGTCTAGCATCATCGCCTTCTTCGTCTCTTTTAGACCTGACGTATATGCGTTCTGGGATTGCTCCTGATTCGACATCAAGTTTAAGGTTGTTGATCCTTCCTTTGCGAGTCTGACTCTGGACCGACATATGATCTGTTTGGTATCATCGGTGAGGATCTTGAAGGTGAGTTATGTCCAACGTTCCAGGCAAACCCAACGAAGCGTCCACGAATCTCTGAAGATTGTTGTGTCCGGGTTGGCATTGTACCCTTGGTCTTTGTATCGTGGAACATAAACAACATCCCAGAATAGGAATAGAGCAGAATGCTGATTCCACGGTTTGTCCAGTGAAAACTTCAAGTGGTGGTCTCCATCCAGTCGATTTCTCTGCTGTATGGTTCATAACATCGCCTATCCATTGCATGCACAGTAGCCAGGCTTCGGATCAACGTTTCGCCAGTTAATGAACCATTATGGTTGCGTTTAAGATGCTTCCATCTGTGTTCCGCGCTTGCACTCGTCTTGAATAGTTGCAGTTGATCTCGTTGGGTGGTAGCTACCTCTACAAGATCCCTCTATTCAAGTAGTATTTCCCCACGTTAGCAAATCCTCCAGTAGACTCCAAACACCATGAAACCAACCACCTCTTTTTGATCAAAGTCTCTAAAGACTGAATGTACAGGTTTGACAAGACAAGCAAGCGGTGAGATTTATTGAAAGCAGGACAAGACATGTTGTAGATATATAGACACATAGATAGGTACACATACTGGGAAGTAGTGTTGGCCCCAGGGGGTCATTCTGGTATGGCAAGCCCCCATGCTTCTCATATACTTTGAGACTGGCATCATGCATTTTCTTTCGAGGATCTTTGGCAGCCACTTCCAGGTCCATAAAGTCGTAGCTGCTGAGGATGGCAGCCAGGGCACCCTTCGGCCACAACCAGTTTGATGTTATCGTGGTAATGAGGATGGGAGAGAAGGTTGAAGGAGTACATGTGGTGGTTGTAAGCCGGGTAGTTCTGCCACATTACGCCATATGGTCCCATCTCATTGGTGACCATATAGGGAGGCTGCTTGTCCAGATTGATAATCTCGCCTGGGATGGAGATGGACTCGTTCCATGCTTGATCCAGTGAGATTCCGTTCATAGCCGCCTGTGCCTCGGGCAACCAGTCGCGGTTCTCTTTGATGTACATCTTCCATGCCTCTTTCTGGTCCATTGTGCCAATGTGTGCAATGCTGATGGACATGGTATCCGCCAGTACAGCAGCCTTTTCCGCCAGGTAGTGAAAGCTGCGTCCGGGAAGCATGACAAAGGGCCACAAGGGATAGACTTGGGTTTGTCCCTGGTGAGTGTACTGCAAACAAAAGTCTTCCAGGATGCCAATACGCTCATGAAAGTTAGCTACGACCAATCCTATCCACCATTTTATTCGCCATGGCTTCAAATTCTTGCTCGAAACTTGCTGTTTCACTATTCTCAATGAGAAAAAAGACAAACAAACAGATGGCCAATGCCACACATACCAGAAGTGTCACTACAGCCCACTTGAGACGCCACACAGCACGGTCTTCATCGTGAGCCAGGGTCATCGTAGTCTTGCCATTGCTACTCGCGGAAGTCTCGTCTGCTCCTTGCGAAGCCAGTGACTCATCGTCAAACTCCTCCTCCGAAACAAGGTTCGCATTCGTCATCTTGGTCAACCCAATGGAAGGACTCTCAAAATCGTTACTCTCTTTCTGATCGGGCACCATTCTCACCTGATGAAAACTAATGAAATTAAACACTTTCTCTATCGTTTTGCTCGGCCTTTGTGACTGGACCTCGAAGACAACGATTTTAGCCATGTGGGACTAGATGTTTACTACTAGTACAATAGAAGAACTTTCTTGAAACAAGGACTGAGAGTGGAGCCATAGCTGCTTTCATGGTGTTTTGCGCGTCAAGAGTCAAGAGTTGAAGCACCACAAAAGAAGCTTCAACTTTGAGCACTGCAGGATCGAAGGAGGGCTTGGTTCCTAATTGCTCATATATTTCCCTTACTCCTGGAGTTGCTTTCCAATTCCTTAGGATATGGCTTTCCAGAGTAGGGTACTTCCATACCAGCGTACCGGTACCGGTACCGTACACATGCATCAGCTAGCACTTTGATCGGTGCACCACTACAATACTGCACCCAAGGCTTAAATTTATTTATTCAATGTTCAAGGCTGGTAAGCTGCTATCAAAAGTAGCTGCAAAAGGTCAAAATGCTTCTTCAAAAAAGACTGAGTCATGACTCAGTGTACAATGCCTCTTATAAGTCATTACTGGAGTATGGAGTGCGGATGCAACATAGCTAGATTGCCAGTACTATTAATAGTAGCTGTACTAGCTAGTACACTACTACTCAGAGTAGTACTTAATACTTTCTTCAGGGGAAAAGCAGATTAGTAGTAACTATGAGTAATACCGTAGGACATGGTACATGTATGTACATATTGCTAAGTCGGTACAAGTCTATGCAAGCGATGAATCATGTACACATGTTTCATTATTTCTTAAAGCTAAATATGGGCCCAAAGGGCTTTCATGGCAAAGAGGGACTTTTTGTGCTTCGCCCGCTTCGCCAAAGAACAAGGCTATCATGGCCAAGTGCGTATGTGGCTGTTGCAACTCAGACCATCGCCAACTCAGATGGCATCAACACGCAGCTGATTGTTGATGCGAAAGCCAACAGCTGCCACCATGGGGTTCGCAGCATCCTTTCCGTCGACAATGATCCTGTCGATGATCCTTGTGACTCTGCCATCAACCTGGTAGACATGAAGGATCTTGGCGTTGGCGGCATGGATGTTCATGCCGCTGTTGACCAAGTAGGCCTGTAGCTTCCAAACCTTGCTCCTCCTGTAGTGCTTCTGCTTGATGCCGCCCATGCGATTGTTCGAGTGATGACATTGGCCAAGCTTTGGGCCATTTTCGATGATGACGCCAAGTCCATGCTTCCTGATACCGAGATCCTATGTCTTCGATCTAACTTCGAGACTATCCATGGCAAGCAGAACTGCAATCATGTGTTGAAGATGCCATTGGTGATCCTCAACAATGATGGCCAGCTCCAGATTATTCCTCGAGCTCCAGCCATCGCGAATGGCCAAGTTCGTCCCAATGGCAACAATGGCGCTGCAAGAGCACCTGCGGTCGGTGCTGGCGCAGGCGGAGCTACCAACCAGCTACTCTCCGTCCTACAGAACATGGATCAGAACATGAACCAACGCTTTGACACCATGCAGAACAACCAAGAAGCCCATCGTGCATGGTGCACGATGCAGTTCCAGCGAGTTAACAACAACCAACGCAGGTTTGGTGGCACGATTGGTCAGGCCATGGTGCGCGGCCATCCTCAAGAACAAGCCAGGAGGAGACGCGATGCTGGAGCTGCCGCCGCAGCTGACAACACTGATGTGCCTTGCTTCAATGCTATCGATCCTAGTGCAAGGCTCATTGAACGCCCAGGAGTCTACATGGATTGTGGGAAGAGTTTATGTTTGGCATTGGCGACTACAAGCCTGCTAAGGCATTTACTACTCAAGAGAAGAGGTCATTGCTGAATCGCTTGTAGATGTGAGGGACAATGACATTAAACAAAAAGTTATCAGTGACAGTGACACCAGTTTGTAGCTCGTACTTGATTGGTCCGCCCTCACACAAACAACCAGCCACAAAGGCATCCGTGTACTCATCCTTGGGATTTTCGTAGCGAGTAGCAACCACACTGCCAGATCGTTCGCCCACCCATCTTCCACGGAATTCCACCTGTGGCCTCTGTGCACCCTTGCGTCTAGCTCGAGTAGTGGCATACTTGCGAAGGGAATGAGTGCCCAAGCCCTTCCGATCTTCCTCTTCACGGACTTGATCCTCCAAGGCCTTGAAGTCGTCATTGGTTTACACTATCTTCCTCACACGGTTGCCGTACTGTTGGTTGAGGTTGGCCAGACCATTGGTGATGTGCAGGTTGTTAGTGAACAAAAAGATGGCATCAGGATGACGCTGCAACCAAGAATCCATGTAGACCGCAAGCCAGAGCTGACAACAATTCTTCCAGTCGCCAGATCCCAAAATGATTTGGTCAGGGCAATTCCTCATGCCTCGGACATTCTTGGACCATTTTGTGCGGGTGTAGATCACAAAGGGGAACTGGCGAGATCCATGGGGAGCGTTCACTTTGAAATGACAGGTATCATCAAAACGATGAATTAAGTGGTAAGAGCAAAGCGACATCATCACATACTTAAACATGTTGTTGAAGCCGCCAGCACCCCTGAACAGCTGGAGCATCTTGTCGAACTCCAACTTGATGTACGCCCACTTGTCATTGGCTGCAACACCTTCACCTCGGATCTCGAAAGTGGCCACCCTAGCAGTCAACTCCAGAATGCTTTGGTGACGAGTCGGGTTGCCTCCACGGCCCTCAATCCATGGCATGGACTTGTTCGGCATAAAGAAACTGGGGTTAAATTACTCATTTAGTTTAGCAAACTATTGGTCACGGAGTGACTTTAATGACGCGGGCAAGCGGTGGGGGAGATCCCCACCTAGCTGAGTCGTCATCTACTTTGTTTGCCCAATCAGCCAACATGACCTCATCCACTGGCCCAACGTGAAGCCAGCACCAAGTAGACAGATGCCTGGGTAGGGGGATGAGCACATTGATAGGGAACCTGCAGCGCAAAACCTGGGTTACAGGGGCTTACACAGGATTTTGTCGGTATTGAAACCATTATCACCAAAGGGGCCGTGAGGACCCGATAGATTGCCAGACCAAAGAGTGCTCGCCAGTAAGTGTGTCTGGGTGATCAGGTCCCAAGCTGTGGCAATTGCCTTGGCATGCAAGGCAAGATGCCAGCAGAGCCCGTAGAAGGTGGTACTCCTCAGGCTGGACCAGAGCAGGTGTAACCCATCCAATGCACAAAAATTGTTAGATAGAGGCCAACAAGCAGGCAAAAGATGGGGTCAAATGACACACTGGCAGTCTGTGGTTCCCAGGAGGGAGGCACAGTGGCTGCTGGAGTGTTGTGGACTGTTCGAGGGGTTGTTGAGTCAATGGAAGGAGGATATGGGGGCACTGGGAGTGGGCTGGTGCCAGGGGCAGGAGGGGGGATCCTGTTGGTGTTGGAGTGTTGTTGTAGGAGTTGGGAGGTGGCATGGTTGATGGTGTGTTGTAGGATAGAGGTGTGCCTCTGTTCAAGGGTGAGAACAAAGGCATCCTCCCTGATAGGGTAGGGTGTGATTCGGAAGGGTGTGATCCTCAAGATGGCTGCATGCTCTAGGAGCTGTTGGCTGATCATCTGGGGAGTGGTGTTGTGTAGTCTGCGGAGGATGGTGGATGTGGTTGGTTGGGTGAAGTGTGGGAGTGGGGGGATGTCTGGAAGGACCTTGGGTTTGAGTGAAGTTGTGGGTAGATATGGGGAAGTCATGGTGGGTGGTAGGTGGGTTGGTGGGAGAGTGGTGTATCCTGGAGTGTTGACTGTAGTGTCGTTGCTTCAACTCAAGCAATGGAGGTTGCTTGTGAGGTGGCAAGAGGATTGATGTAGAGGGGTTTATTCAAGGGCCAATGCACTGAGGCACTGGTAATCAAGGTTGATATCAAGTTGTTGTGTTGTTGTTGCCACTGGATCAAAGGCTGTGGCCAAGTCTGGTGCAGGTATACCACTACCTGCAGGAGAAGATGGGAGCAGAGCCAAAGGCTGTTAGGGATTCTTTCAGGGAAAACTGGAGAAGTCACGCTATAGCCAGTAGAGGCAGTGGTGGGGGGATCAAGGGGTGTTGTTGGTTGATGGGGCTGTGTTACTGGATGACACTGTGTTGTCTCAAAGGCTGGTACTCAATCTGTTGTAGGGTACATGCAACAGAGAGTCAAGCCAAGATGTGGAGGGTACTCGATTCAGGTGGAACTGGGGAAAGTCACTGGAGAGTCACTCAACAATCAATGAGAGAGGGAAAGAGTCAGTTATGTATTAATATCTATGCCACACCACGCTGCGGTTCTGTCTGGGGCTCAATCCTTTGGAGCTCCACGCTCAGTAGGGGAGTCAGGTGCAGTAGCAGAGAGGTGGCTGTGTCAATGAAGTGTTGCACAATCTAGAAGAATACACTAGAGGGGCAGCTTTTGTAGTTGTTCTTGTGGGGGTAGGATCCTTTGGGGAGGAGTTGGATATTCCAGGGAGGGGCTGTCGAAACTACTAAATATGCAGCCAAGCCTGGAAATATGTCTTGTTCAGGGTGGAGACTGTGCTCAGTGGACCCAAAGTACAAGCAGAGACAGTATCCAACTGGTGGCAACTCAATTCCTTATAGGAACTCTGTTGTTGTTTGTTGTTCCTCTGGGAGAGGAGTTAGATATCAATGTAGGAGTGGTAACAGTAGCAGGTGTGGATCAGTCAATCAGTCTGTATAGGGATAGGACTGGTTGGATCAGTAGGATCAAGTTCCAACAAGGACGTCGGGAGAAACCCAGAGTGGCCGGTGAGAAAGTAAGAAATACAGCTGTGTTTCTGTTCTTGACGGTCACTGCAGGTATCTCGTGAAGTCCTGCTTGATGATAGGCTGTGTACGGAGGAAGAGGTACGTCCGAAGGAAGAGGTCCGTTCGCGGGAAACGGTCGCAGGAAGATGCGATCGATTCACGGAGTAGCGAGTCTTGGATTCGATTCGATTACCAGGTCTAATCGATTCGATTCGATTCGGAGGATGTCGCGTTTCGGATGAGTCAGTTGCCTTAGGGATAAGGTTAACCGAGCCTGTTGTTGTTGAGGGAGAAGATCGATCGTTCGAAAAAGAGGATCGACAATGAGATTTCGTCGGCCGTCAGGAGCGGAGTTCAGAAAACAACAAATACATATGGGAATTGTTTTCTGTACTGTGCTGGGGAAGACCGGAGACTTCTTCTTGTGTTCAATTTCTTCCAACTTGGTCGTCGGCAGTCGAGAAGAGAAAACCTGCCCGATCTCGTAGGATTTCAATTGGGATGGCTTTCTAATCTTAACCGGAGAAGGCCGCTTTGATAGTCGCTTGATAGAGGAGGTGCGCTTGATAGGAGATAGGAGGTATCGATCCTTTTCGGCTTGAATATGTTGTAAAGAGAGGGAAAAAGGATGCATGTTTTCCGTGATGACGTTGAGTTGAATCCTATAGTAAAACAGTACTCTTCAACAAAATAACAAATAACAAGCTTCCTGAGGTCCTTTCGCTTCGTTTCAATGCTTCCAATAAGTCTAATAGGTAGTGTAATGGTATAGGTATGACCGATTAGTTGTGTTTGTTGCTATTAGTGGTGTTGTTCTTGTAGTGACAGATTCAGAGGGGAAGCTCCGCGGTGCTTCGGCTTCCCGTGAAAAAGTGTTTGGCATAAAGAAACTGACAGCTTGCTTGGCTTTCTTCAATGATCCGGATCGACAACCTTTGGGCCTATGGTGCATCTGAGGGAACGGGTCATTGTAAGCTTGAAGGTTGAGCCATTGTCGGACTTGACTTGGGGTGACCGCGAGGAGTTCTTCTTTCGTGAATGTGGTGTCCTTGGGATACGGAACGTCAGTGCGACCATGGACGTAGGACATGAAACTGACCATGTACGGCTGATGCTTCGCATTGTGAGGATACTGCCATACCTCATCATCGTAGATGCCAACAGAACCACCATAAAGTGGCGGAACATGCGCCATTGTTAGCTTTTTCAGAGTTGAAATAGACTTGAAATAGGAAGAGAGTATTGCTTTCAGTTTGATGGTTGATTGATCCAAAAGAGTGAGCCTTTTGTGTTTCGAAAAGCAATCCGCGGTGCGGTGGGATCTTTCAGTTTGGCGGGTGTTAAGCTTCTGGGAATCGACTGGCGCCGTACAAATTGACTTGCGTCATTAAGAGTTAAACAAGTATAACATATTGAACTCTGTATTTTGAATACTGTGCTTGCACGAGTACTTTTTGAGTAACGTAACTAGGGGCTGAGTGGTACTCCCAGCGTTAGCAACGGCCACACATTTTCCTGGAGAATTTTAGCTGAAACATGGTTCGTTTCACAGTTCTATGAGGGAAAATGTGAAGTGAGACCCATGGGATTAGGGGAATGTGACCGGGGAGGTACCTCCCATAAGTATGTGACCCTATGTGTGACGGTAACGTTCCGGGAGTAACATTTTACCATTATTTCTTGTGGAAAACACAAGGCGGAGATTCTCCAAAACAACTCCAAAACATAGAAAGGGCCGGAAATCACGATTTTATGAATCCAACCAAATTGATCAATTCGAAACCTAAATATAAAACCGAAACCAAAATATAAAACCGAAACCTAAATATAAAATCGAAACCAAATTACTATGGTAATTAACTAGTAAAATCAAGCCGAAACCAAAATATAAGATCGAAACCAAAATATAAAACCGAAACCTAAATATAAAATCGAAACACAAGTATAAATCGGAATTTGGTGTAAATCGCCATTTCGGGCCCTTTCATAGGCAGCGCTGGACAAATAAATAGAATAGCAGAATAGCTACGAATGTCGTCAGCCGAAAGCAAAGCGCAAAACGCTTTCTTGATTTTTGGTTTATGTGTTAACGTTCCTCACGAAAAGAGCCTTCACTCTTCACTCGCCACCAAAGAACAGAGAACTCAGAAACGAAAGTCTCTGATGCCTTGTTTCTAATTCCTTCATTCCTCTTGAAGGCCAGATCACAAGAGTAATTGAAATTCCCCAATTCCCGGACGGATTAAAAAGCGAGACGAGCCACTACAGTGGAGGGATCTCACACCAATTTCCAAGTACTAGTAGCGTAGTAGCTAGCTACAATCAGAATACATACATGTAGCAAGCGGCAAGCGGCATGATGAGAGACGCGAGACCAAAGGCATGGATACCGGTGTCCAGATGAGCTCCACATGCATCATTTTTTTATCCTCCTTTTGCTGGCGCCACGTAAAAAACAAATTCCTCCTTTATGGCTTTGCTTGTGAAGCTCTTCATGGTCATCTGTCTAATTTGCTGGAACGGATGCTTATCAGAAGAAGCTTTATCGCTCTTACTCAGCTAAGAACAAAGCGCAAAATGCTCTCTTGCTCCTTAGTTGATAAAGAAAAGACTCTCATATGCACGGAAACAGGATTGTATTTTGCTTTTACACAACGCTATCTTGCTCCAATCACTTCTACATGTATGATTTTGACCGAAGAATGTAACCAGTCACAATAGCTGTGCAGTCATTTTTTCTGTGGTGTGCTCCGTGTCCCAAAAGAGATCAACATGATTGTCTGTCAGGAGAGAGGGTGTTTGCTCCCCTGGTTTGGATAGAATCGAATCGAGGTGTAGATTGTGTTGTTTGATTCAAAGGTCTCCTGGAGAAGGTTGCCCCTTTCTCACCATTGTCAGCAAGGAAAAGTACCGTAGCCAAAAGAAGATAAAAGGTGGCTTGCGTGAGGACAAGAGGACAGGACGAAGATTTGCCAAACGGAGCAGATGTAGGTTCCTTGTTGCAGGTGGAATTGGCATCACCGTAGTTGTTGTGAAAACCGATCCTTTTTCGTGTTTGAGATTCCAATAGACTACAGTTGAGAGGATCAAAGATGAGCCCCCTGGAGGACACGATGTGGCTCCTTGCTATCGGTGGCAAAGAAAACGATTCCAAGGTTGAAGCTTGGCTACTAGCTAGCAAATCTAGATTCGTACGTTCTCCACAAAATTGCTCACATCAACTAGCTAGCTTGTGGTTGACTTCACCACCCTTGCCAAGTCCTCGAATTTGCCAAATCCAACGAGTGGTCGCCCGAGGCCTTTTTGCATACAGTACAGGAAAATGGGGGAGTCTTTCATAATTCATAATCCCTGCGTCATAGCATCGCCAAGTTGCAGTTGAGGATTTGACCATGGTAAATAGGTTGAGCCCGCCAGTTCACAACTTGCAGAAGCTGCCTGGGACCTCGGACAGGGGACAGGGACAATGCAGTCTTTTGAACCAAAAGACCAGTGCTGTAGAGCCAGAGCTATCTCTCCTCGAACTGCTGGTACGAGTACGAAACTACGTAGTACTACTACAATAGCTATTCCGGTTCGCTACCAGCCTCGAGCCAGACTGGCTAGCTAGCACCATAATATTTTATTATTCTTTGAAGTCAACCAAAAAGTGTGTTTCTACTTTCTCGCACAAGTTGATACTGCACGAGTTACAGTATAGTTACTGCACTCACAAGCTCCTAAGAAGATGATGATGAGCTCTCCCAAATCCACTCCCATTGCAACACCCAAGTTGGAACAGTTGGATCGTTCCGAATCTGAATCCGATTCCATCAACGGTGGTTCCGAAGTCTTTGAGAACGACAGCGGTGGTGGTAAGGAAGATTTGGATGCTGATTTCGAAGGTAATAGCAAACAGCATCTGGAGCCTGAAGCCCTGGAGTTGGCCAAGAAGGAAAACATGTATGTTTGGTATTTGCGATTTGTGGTGACGGCCTTGTTGGGCGCTGTGGCCTTGGCGGTTTGCCTTTCAGTCTACTTCGTGACCAAACGCAGCGAAGAAGCCGACATGGAGAATGACTTTGTCGATTTGAGTGAAAAGTTGGTGGACACCTTTGAAATAACCTTTCAGCAACGATTTGGCATTGTGGACAACTTTGCACAAGAATTGACGTCTTACGAGAAGGATGCACCCAATGTGACATGGCCTTTCGTCACAATGCCGGACTTCGAGCGTCGTGCTGGACGAACGGCCGCCTTGGCCGATCTCTTTTGCATCCTGATCTTGCCCATGGTGCCCGCCGAGCAACGCGTCGAATGGGAACATTATGCTGTCGCCAATCAAGGATGGAGAGGAGAAGGCTTGGCCTTGCAACAAGGGATTCCCGTCGAGGACGTCCAGGTCAGACAAATGGAACCCCGAATGGCCAAATTCCTCCCCGATGGCACCATCGCCCCCGAGGATCGACCGGGACCCTACTTTCCCATTTGGCAAACCTTTCCTGCTGTAAACTTGGAGGGTCATACTCTTTTGAACCTATACCGATGGAGTCCATTGTACACCAGCAGCATTGATTCTGTTTTGCAAAACAAGAGACCCGTATTGCCGGCCAGTTACGACTATTGGGGGGCTCCCAAGGATGACATAAGAAGAGCGGTCTTTAACTTGTACATTGTCAGCTATTCCAGGTACAGCTCACAGACATACGAAGATGATCCCATCATGTCCTTCTTCTATCCCATCTTTGACAGGCTAGATGGGGAACCACAAGACCGGGAGGTGAAGGCCGTCCTACTGGGCGTCATCTACTGGAGAACCTACCTCAACGGAATCCTACCCCCTGGAGCCAATGGCATTCATGTCATTCTCGAGAATCAATGTGATCAGACATATACCTACCGTGTCGATGGGACAGAGTCCCACTTCCTGGGTCACGGGGACCTTCATGACACCAAGTACGACTACCTTGAAACGCAAGTGGATCTAACCCTGGGCAAGGATATTTATGCCGATAACAACAACACTGCTGACCAAGAGCGCCTGGAAGCGGATTGTGGATACAAACTACGGGTCTATCCCTCGCAGCAATTCCATGACTCCCACACTACCAACAAGCCACTCATATACACGATTTCGCTTGCCGCAGTCTTCGTCTTCACATCCGCGGTCTTTCTCCTCTACGATTACTGTGTCGAACGTCGTCAAAAAGTCCTTCTGAAATCAGCACGGCAGTCAGGAGCCATTGTGCAGAATTTGTTTCCGGAAAATGTACGAAATCGAATGTATCAAGAACAAGAGCAAGAAGACAAGATGAGAGACGGAAAAGATACTTGGAAGGCAGATGGGGGTACTGGTGCAGCGGGCTTTCACGGGAGACCCAATGCGGACTTGTTCCAAGAGACCACTGTCTTTTTTGCTGATTTGGTTGGATTCACAGCTTGGAGTTCTAAACGAACCCCCGTAGAAGTCTTCGAGTTACTCGAGGCTCTGTATGGAGCCTTTGACAAAATTGCAAAGCGCCGTAAAGTGTTCAAGGTTGAGACGGTACGTTTTCTTGAGGAAGGTTTCAAGCAAGGATATGCTGTACCATTTCAGATTGCAATTCTCGTCACCAACCACTAACATTATCCTCTTCTGATCCTCATTTTCAATCTTTGTGTATATATAGATTGGTGACTGCTATGTAGCAGTGACTGGGATTCCAGAACCACAGGATAACCATGCTGCTATCATGGCTCGATTTGCTGTCAGTTGCATGGCAGAGATGAACCGAATGACTCATGATGAGTTGGCTGAGACCTTGGGGGAAGACACGAAAGACCTAGAAATGAGGGTTGGACTTCACAGCGGGCCCACAACTGCCGGAGTACTCCGCGGGGAGAGAGGCCGCTTCCAGCTCTTTGGAGATACGGTGAACGTGGCTTCCCGCATGGAGAGTAATTCGGTCAAAGGTAGGATCCATGCATCACAAAGCACTGCAGATGCTTTGACGGCATCTGGCAAAGGCCACTGGTTGACTCCTCGAGAAGAAAAGATCCTGGCCAAAGGCAAAGGTGAGATGCAGACCTACTGGGTCCAGATCAACCCAGGAACGGCAAGAACTGGTCAATGTTCTGCCCATTCGAATCATTCCCGTGGTGTAAACAATGAATTTGTGGCTGTGGCCAATGTCTAGAAGCAAGGATTCGGGACATCTGCCAAAAACTTGCCTTGGGTCTATATGGACCACATCCAACAACCAAGGAAATCATGATCATAACATCCCTTACACATCCCTCCAGTCTTTCAATTCCGATAGTTTTGTAGTCTCGTACGATTTTCTTCTCCATAGTGGCCGATCTTTAAACTTGGATCTGGCTACGTGTGCGTCTCCTGAACCCCACTTTATCTACCTGCGGTACTTCTAAGTTCTAAGGATCCATTCGATTCCATTGGAGGATTCATCCTGGCTATTTCAGTCCGCCTATTGATTTGTTGCCTCTCGACTTAACGTAGGATTTTGCTATCAAAATGAACTTGCCGCAGAGGACACCTTTGGAGGATTCCGGAACACGATCAGGACAGGGAGACTACGCGACTGCCCAGTCACCCCCCAGGACAAGGTCAGTGGAGAGTTACTCTGTGGCAAGGAAACTAGTATGCGGAAGGCCAATGGATCAACCCCAAGAAAGCGACCGCCGCCAGTGACCGCCAGTGTCCAAGCGCTGTGCCTGATGAGCTGGTGGACGCACACTGAGTTCTGCAAGCAGCCATGGAAGCACTATTATTTGTGTGTGAGATCACATGCCTTGCTTGCATTGAACGTCCTACAAGTCAGGCAGTGGGAAACGGTCTAAATTTTTAACAAGACATACCAGACCTATTTCAAAGCCCTGGATCATGTGCTCACGCACTACAATGACAAGGCCAAGGCATGCCCAATTAAAGAGTATCCTTCACATTGCTTGGTGAGATACAATGCAATCAGGGAATCAAATCCTGTGAAAAGCGGACTGCGATTAGCTGGTAGTGTAGCACGGAGCACAGGTACACAGGTGGTGCCGTCGGTCGTCAATAACCTCATAACGTCGCCAATGGTACCAGTACTCAGTCTCTTCCAGCTCTCTGGCTTCATTCCCCGTACCGGTTCTGCTTTTAGAAAATATCGGGTTTACTATGGATTAGAGAGAGCTAAGATGAGGATGGAGACAGAGCTGGAGGGGAGGGCATGATACAGGAAGGCAAGGCATTTATGTGTTTGTGGTTCCCCGAAGCCCGGATCTCAGCAACGCACGTGCCGGAAATCGCTTTGCGCTCACAATTTCAATCGATTTACATGGTCGAGTCACGAGTCATTGAAAACGTGACGGAGCTTCCAATCGCCACCACCTGTCGGTAACTCGAGGACCACGGGGAGCTCATTGAAGTGATTCGAGAGGCTTATAATGGTACCATTAGCAGCACCATCCCTTGTTTGGTCAGTGCGTATCTCACCTTGAATTTTGGAAGCCTTCCAGTGAAGATTCATTGGCTCCAGTATACTAAGCTAGCTTCCAGCGTGCCACATCCTCACAAATCCAAGCCAATTCCCAGCACTACGGCGATACAGGAAGCAGGTCCCAGAGCTTCCAACCAAGTTACCTTATTCCATGGTGAGCTTCCTAGCCCCACAGCAAGGTCTCCGGAAGTCCCCTTTGTGTTTTCCCAGCTACAGTTGAGTCAGCATGAGTTTACTGCTTCATGGGCTGGATTCATGTGTTTCCTCGAGTACAACCAATACACCTCTTCTTTTACCGGAGCCTACGTGATCAAAGGAACACGGGACCCGACTTGAGCACACCGGTACGAGAACGTCTGTCGTAGAGGTGCGGACGGTAATGATACAGCATGTAGCATCCACTCTGCTGGTTGCCTGATTTGTTGCTTGCTTTTTACTAGCTTTCGGTACCTGGTAGTACCGGTATCGCTAGCAGCAGGGTTGAACCTCTTCGATCTATCATGAAACCACATCTTCTCACAATTGTAACTTCCCGGGCTAGCCACGGTAGAACTAACTTTGACTTATTTCTTTGATCCTCGGCACATATACCAAGAGGTACCAACCTCATCTGGAGCTAGTAGCTAGGGCAAGATTGTCTTCTATTTGAGCACCGCACCAAGTGTGTCATCGAGCCGTTATGATTTGACGGCTGCTGCCATTTTGACTTCATCAGATGAAGCCTTGCCTCTGTTGGTGGGTATTCATAGTCTCTTTAGCAGCCTGAAGCATAGCCATAGTCGCAGGAACCATCATTGAAGGGATTACCATTTCCTCCTGCATTCCTGTGGACTTCTAATCCAATATGCCTTGCAGGAAAGGTAATTCCTTGGAGGGCTTGTGGATTCCCTTCCTTTCGTTGGATTTGACCATCAATCTATGAACACGAGACATCTTGCCCCGCCAGGAGCTGATTCATTTGCACTTGATCAGGATGACGGCCACCTGTTTTTGGGTTGAGCGAATATCCCCGCTGCTCTGATCACGTCTCGGATTGACACTATCTGGGAGATGTCACCAGGGGCTGCCACAGGGCTGCAGACAAAGTTCTTGCCTCACATTGTAGACATGATCTTCCTTCTAGGCGAGCCATTCGTCTCTTTAAACGATCGCAGCACGGTAACTCTGATTCAAACAATTCACCTTCAGCTCCCCGTCATGTCTTTCACCGGCTGTTGCACTTGGCTGGCAGCCCCACCATGCACACAGCACCAGCCTCCGGCTCCTGGCTGAATGTTTTATCGATGATAATTCCAGCACAGTACCAATCCGTTTCTCCAATCGGTTTCTCACAATTGACAGTGAGAAAGGGGGGCCTGGCTAGAGTACCCGTAGGGAAGCCGGAGGAGGAGGGCTAGTAGCCTACCAACCGGTACCGCACTATGCCCAGCTAGTATTATATACTTCTGCCAAAGATTGTGGCATGGACGCGGACAACATGAATGGATTGAAACTACACCATTTTGTTTTATCTTTAAGACATGCAGATTTCAGAAATGAAGCTCAATTCCACCTTGCAAAAGCCCCACCTGGATCTCTCTTTCTTGTGACCAGCCTTAAGATTCCCTCACCGAAGTTACACCGAGTAATCGCCAAGTGCTTCCTTTGTAACACTTGTAGTACTAGGATCTGCATTACCCAGGGTTTCCTTCTCCTGTGACGAGCGAGAAGCAATACTTTTAATACTCCGATCCACACTCATGTCCATGGACCCCACAGTAGAGCGAGGCAGGAGCAGTGGAACCACCAGAAGAGACCACAACCCAGTCTGACAGACAAAACGAAGATAATCTTGCATTGAGAAAGGTATTAGAAGTCCCAGACACCACTGAAGCTAAGTCAAACTTACAGGTTTGCATTTCTCCTTTGCCTTTTGCTGTGATCTTGTCTTCACGGGGAGTCAACCAATGTTCCTTCCCAGCCTGCTTCAAAAATTGGGCTGTTGATTCTGATACATGGATTCCGTTGGGAACCCCACTGCTTTCCATGCGGGAGGCTGTGTTGACCGTCTGTGGTGATTGAACCAGAAGGAAGAACAAGGTATGAGTGACACACATTCCACATCGACACACCCAGCAATTTGGGCACAAAACAAACAAAAGTACTTACATCACCAAATATCTGGAAGCGCTGCTTGTCTCCACGCAACACACCCGCAGTCACCTGAAGCAAAGCATGAAAGATACGGATTGTATCGTGAGCATAGGTATGCCAAGTTTCATACAGAAATGTAGTCCAGGTTTCAAATCAAAGAATGGCACTTACTGGTCCACTATGCATGCCAACTCGAACAGCAAGTTCGGAAGTGTCCTTGCCCAATTTCTGGCACAGCTCTCCATCTTCATGCACCAACTCCAGTGCACTTTTCATGCAGTCATTCGCGAATCGGGCCTGCGTCACAACATGGGAAGAATAAAAGAGCCGGTAAGAGATAGAACTCCGCAACCACCCATCAACATTTAGATTTTGGTGTGCATACCATGATCAAAGCATGTCCTGGCTGTGCTTTTGGTAGGCCAGTGGTAGCCACATAGCTAAGGGAGAAGGCACAAACGATAGTCACAGTTAGTTGCAGTCAAGTGTTGTAGCCAAATGGAAGGGTTTCCGAAAAGTCTGCACCTACCAATCACCTAGTAGCACACGAGAACAACAAGAGCATTCAGTGGTGAGTCAGTGAAAGCGGAACTGGCTGCCCAAGCAAGCCCAACAGCAATCCAAGGTTCCAAGCACTCACCGATCGTTTCAATCTTGAACACCTTTCGGCGTTTTGCATTTGCATCAAAGGCAGCATACAATGCCTCTAGTAGAAGAAGACTTCTACTGGAGTTCGGCAGGAAGACCACTTGGTAAACCCTGACATGATGGCAGCCAACAAGGCAAAAGCAAGTTAGTATTTCTTATCAATCAGCAATGATAATATGACAACCCAAAGCTGATCTTTGCAAACAGGCAACCTGTACTCACCAGCAATGTCACAAAAGAAGACTGTGCATTCGGGATACAAATGGGCATTGGCAGCAGGGGTGACAGGGTCACTGGCGATTACTTCAAATCCACCCCCAATTTGCTTCTTTTTGGCCTTGTTGTCTTCGTAAAGACGATCACGGACTTGTTCTGTTGATTCATTCATTCAATCAATCAATCCGAAAGTTAGTAACGCCTCTCCGTGTAGCAGCCTAACTACAAGCTTGGAGTACACACACAAACACACACATACCTGGGAAGAGCGAATGAACAATGGCCCCGGACTTTTCTGCTGACTGGACAACAATCTTTTGGCGTCGTTCCACACAGTAGTCGTACAGTAGGAAAACAGAGGAAGTAAAGACAAATACCATGGCCAAAGAGACGGCAAACAACCATGCACGGTCCGTTCGATAGGCCGACTCAAAGAGCTGCGAAGGGTAGACACGTACACGGTAATTGGTGTCCAGGTGGCTGTTGTCTGAATCTTCCATGCGGGCACGAAAGGCTGCAGCGGCAGTGCCAGTTGTGTTGTTGTCCCCTGACGAGTCGGATTTCGACATAATGTACCCGACGGCTTCCAAATGATCGTAGAGGGTATCATGAAAATCGCCGTGCCCTTCAAAGGTAGCATCGGTTCCATCGATACGGTATGTGTACTGCTGTCCGGCAGTGTTCTCGAGTATCACCACGACACCATCCGTCCCTGTTGGGAGGAGCCGATTCAACAGAACCCTCCAGTAGACCCCAAACACCATCAAACCAACCACCTCCTTTTTATCAAAGTCTTTGAAGACTGAATGCACATGATTGACAAGACCAGCAGTGAGTTTCATTGAAAGCAGGACAAGATACATTGATAGATAGATAGACGCATAGATAGGTATACATACCAGGAAGCAGCGATGGCCCAATGGGATCATTCTGGTATGGCAAGCCTCCATGTTTCTCGTATACTTTGAGACTGGCATCGTGCATTTTCTTTCGGGGATCCTTGGCAGCCGCTTCCGGGTCCATAAAGTCGTAGCTGCCGAGGAGCGCAGGCCGGCCTTCGGCCATGACTAGTTTGATGTTATCCCTGTAATGAGGATGGGAGAGTATGTTGTAGGAGTACAGCTTTTGATTAGAAGCCGGATAGCCCTGCAAGAAGACAGCGTATGGTCCAGTCTCGTTCGTGACCATATAGGGGGGCTTCTTGTCCATGTTGATAATCTCCGCTGGGATGTTGAATGACTCATTCCTTGCCTGCTCCAGCGAGATTCCGTTCATAGCCGCCTGCGCCTCAGGCAACCAGTCGCGGTTCTCTTCCACGTACATCTTCCATTCCTCTTTCTGGTCGGTTGTGACAATGTGCGCAATGCTCATGGACATGGTATCCGCAAGGACAGCAGCCTTTTCCGCCAGATAGTGAAAGCTGCGTCCGGGAAGCATGACAAAGGGCCACGAGGGATAGACCTGGGTTTGTCCCTGGTGAGTGTACTGCAAGCAGAAGTCTTCCATAATGCCAATGCGCTGAAGAAAGTTACGACCAATCCGGTCCACCATCTTGTCTGCCATGACTTCAAAGTCTTGCTCAAAACTTGCCGTTTCATTGTTCTGAATGAGAAAGAAGACAAGCAAACAGATCGCCAATGCCACACACAACAGCAGCGCCACGAGAATCTTCTTGAGACGCCACACGGCAATCTCTTCTTTGTGAGCCAGGTCCCGCATGGCCACGTCGCTGTTGCGATTCACGGCAGACGACTCATCCAGGCCCTCTCCTGGCGCCATCGAGTCATCTTCAAACTCCTCAAGGTTTAGTTTCGTCATCTTGTTTGTTAACATTGAAGGACTCTCAAAATCGTTATTCTCTTTCTTCTGCAGCACCATTGTTGTCACCTGATCGATGAAACCACTTTTTACTCTTTTCTTTGGTTCGAGGATGCTTTCTTTGGGAGCAAAATGAAAATGAACTGGTGCGAAATTCACCGAGACGGGGGCAGACTTTCTGCAATTCGGAATGCAGAGTCCTCAGTCAAGTTGTGAGCCTTCGCGGAAGGAACGAAATTCCCCCTTTTTCTAGAGCACCGGTAGCAGACCTCCAGCAGCTCCTCCAGCATGCCTTTTGATGGGACATTGACTAATATAAGCGGGTAACTGTCACGCGTATCTTCAAAAAAGTCAGAAGTCAGACTTAACAGTCAAAAGCAAGCACGTCAATTCTACCTCCTGTCTTCCTGGCACTGGCATTTAGAGCTCACTTATTACGAAAACAACAGAGAAGGGGAGAACAGAGAACATGGGAGCCAAGAGCATTATTTAGTGTTGGGAGCAGCTGAAAAGTACGACTGTACTAGTAAGAAGTAAGAAGATCCGAAGTGAGGTGCTAGTGAGGAGATAAGGGGCTGGACGTCTGGACAACTGACCTTCGCGGAGCGAACGAGCTATTAATAGAACACCCAAGAGTTCATGAATGTAAAACGCACTACGAAGGTGGGGGTTCCAAAGGAGCTAAAGTAGATCTAGCTACATGTAGTCCGTACGGTACTTTACGGTGTGCTCGAGTCCTCAAAGCTCCGGGTTTTGGCCAAGAGGCAAGAGGCAGATTCAGCTCCCACCCACCTCTTCGACCGCTACCTGGTACCATGTCGCCTTCATGACAGCGTGCGGCTAGTCTACTCCTCGTCCATGACTGCTTCCACGGAGCGACCATGACGCCTCTACAGGACCAGATGCGGAAACTATTGACACTGATGTAACCAGTTCTAGGTGGTTAGCCTTCGCGTCGACGCAACCCAACCCTCCTTCAGGCGGCTTCTCTACTACCGTTTGAGTGGTTGATTGTTGATTGACAAAAGCTACAATCCTTGCTTTTCGCCAACCTTCACCCAACAATCAAGTATTTGCATAGTGACAGCAGAGAACATTTGGTCAACACTTTTCTTTCTTCCGCGGAGTCAACCAGCCACTTCGAGTACCGGTATCTTTTGATGGCAGTCCCCTTTTGCAGACGCGAGAAGCATGCTTGATTCTTCACGGCTGACTCTTCAAACGTACAGGTCGGTACCCGGGGCCTCCAAGGCGTGTACCGTACGTGAGGCAGATCCATCGGACGACACATAACTAAAAACGAACCCACAGGCCACTACCCATGCCGGTATTGGTACACAGAAAAACAACGGAGGACAAATTATAAAACTATCAGAATTGAAAGACTAGAATGTACCGTATAACTTTCAGACCAACGTACGCCATGATCCCGATTTTCCTTGATGACTGGTTGTTGGACGTGGTGGATATCCCGTTCCTTGCTCCTAGCTAGACATCGGCCACAGCATCAAATTCATTTTCGTAACCAGTAGAATGATTCGAATGGGCAGAAGATAGACCATGTTTGTCACCACCGGAATGATTCGAATGGGCAGAAGATAGACCAGTTCGCGCTGTTCCTGGGTTGATCTGGACCCAGTAGGTCTGCATCTCACCTTTGCCTTTGGCCAGGATCTTTTCTTCTCGAGGAGTCAACCAGTGGCCTTTGCCAGATGCCGTCAAAGCATCTGCAGTGCTTTGTGATGCATGGATTCTGCCGCGGACACCATTACTCTCCATGCGGGAAGCCACGTTCACCGTATCTCCAAAGAGCTGGAAGCGGCCTCTCTCACCACGGAGTACTCCGGCAGTTGTGGGCCCGCTGTGAAGTCCAACCCTCATTTCTAGGTCTTTCGTGTCTTCCCCCAAGGTCTCAGCCAACTCATCATGAGTCATTCGGTTCATCTCTGCCATGCAACTGACAGCAAATCGAGCCATGATAGCAGCATGGTTATCCTGTGGCTCTGGAATCCCAGTCACTGCTACATAGCAGTCACCAATCTATATGTACACAAAGATTGAAAATGAGGATCAGAAGAGGATAGTGTTAGTGGTTGGTGACGAGAATTGCAATCAGAATGGGTTACGTTGCAAACCACGTACCGTCTCGACCTTAAATACTTTACGGCGCTTTGCAATTTTGTCAAAGGCTCCATACAGAGCCTCGAGCAACTCGAAGACTTCTACTGGGGTTCGTTTGGAACTCCAAGCTGTGAATCCAACCAAATCAGCAAAAAAGACAGTGGTCTCTTGGAACAAGTCCGCATTGGGTCTCCCGTGAAAGCCCGCTGCACCAGTACCCCCATCTGCCTTCCAAGTATCCTTTCCATCTCTCATCTTGTCTTCTTCCTCTTGTTCTTGATACATTCTATTTCGTACATTTTCGGGGAACAAATTCTGCACAATGGCTCCCGACTGCCGTGCCGATTTGAGAAGGACCTTTTGACGACGTTCCACACAGTAATCGTAGAGGAGAAAGACCGCGGACGTGAAGATGAAGACTGCGGCAAGCGAAATCGTGTACAAGAGGGGTTTATTGGAAGTGTGGTCATCGTGAAATTCCTGAGAGGGATACACTCGAAGCTTGTAACGGCAATCTGCTTCCAGGCGATCTTGGTCTTGCTCTTCTTGGTTGTTGTCATAGGCATAGATATCCTTGCCCAGAGTTAGATCGACTTGTGTTTCAAGGTAGTCGTACTTGGTGTCATGAAGGTCCCCATGACCCAGGAACTGAGCTTCTGTCCCATCAACACGATAGGTATATGTCTGATCACATTGATTTTCGAGAATGACATGAATGCCATTGGCTCCAGGAGGTAGGATTCCATTGAAGTATGTCCTCCAGTAGATGGCGCCCAAAAGCACGGCCTTTACTTCCCGATCCTGTGGTTTCCCATCTAGTCTGTCAAAGATGGGATAGAAGAATGACATGACTGGATCGTCCTCGTATGTCTGTGAGCTGTACCTGGAATAACTTGCAACATACTTGTTAAAGACAACTCTTCGAAGGTCATCCTTGGGAGCCCCCCAATAGTCGTAACTGGCGGGTAGTACGGGTTTCTTTTGTTTCAAAATGGCATCAATGCTGTTGGTGTACAAAGGCTTCCACCTGTATAGGTTCAAATGAGTATGACCAGAAAAGTCTACCGCGGGAAAGGTTTGCCAAATGGGAAAGTAGGGTCCCGGTCGATCTTCGGGAACTCGGGTGCCATTGTCAAGGACTTTGAACATCCGGGGTCGGAGTTCTCCCACCTCCACATCCTCTATAGGAATCCCCTGTTGCAATGCCAAGCCTTCTCCTCTCCATCCTTGATTGGCGACAGCATACTGTTCCCATTCGACGCGTTGCTCGGCGGGCACCATGGGCAAGATCAAGATACAAAAGAGATCAGCCAAGGCGGCCGTTCGTCCCGCACGGCGCTCAAAGTCGGGCATGGTTACGAGAGGCCATGTCACATTCGGTGCATCCTTCTCATATGATGTAAACTCTTGTGCAAAGTTGTCCACAATCCCAAATCGTTGTTGAAAGGTTAGTTCAAAGGTGTCCACCAACTTTTCACTCAAATCGACAAAGTCATTCTCCATGTCCGCTTCTTCGCTGCGCTTGGTCACAAAGTAGACGGAAAGGCAAACCGCCAAAGCCATGGCACCCAACAAGGCCGTCACCACAAATCGCAAATACCAAACATACGTGTCTTCCTTCTTGGCCAACTCCAGGGCTTCATGATCATCGAAATGATGTTTGTGGTTGCCACTACCATCCATATCTTCCTTACCACCACCGCTGTCGTTCGCAAAGACTTCGGAACCACCATTGACGGAATCAGATTCAGATTCAGAATACAACGGTACTTGTTCCAACTTGGGAGTATTGCTACGGGTCGTAGTGGGCATCGTCATCTTTTATCAGCCAGTGCAGAAACTACTGTAACTTGTCGGTTTGGTGGCAGTAATCAACTTGTGCGGGAAAATATACAAAGCAAACAACCTTGTTTTTGTGATGCAAAGAATGCGCTTGAGGCTCGAGGCAACAGGCGTATTTCACGAATGCTCGAATGAAAGACTGCCGGTGCAAGCGACCACCAAAAGCTTGGCAAGTTGCGAACTTGCGAACTGGCCTCCCTGAGCTCCTGCCTGACAGGCGAGGCCAACCTTCCTATTTCCACTCCACATTTATTTGGCTATGGTTCTTGACGACTTGACGACAGCCAAACTTGGAAAAGCAGCTTGTCGATGCCGTACATGCAGTACACATCAGCACATCAGTAGTCGAGTATATAAAGACTGCATGGTGCCATCATCAATCATCAAGTTAGATGTACATGTCATTGTGAACTTCTCTGGCTGATGACTGGCCAACCTATTTACCATGGCCAAACTTAGAAGAGCAACAGTTACAGATCGTACTCAGTACAGTACTTCTTGTTAGCTCTTGTTCATAATTTCTGTGTGGCGACATGCCGATCGCAGACTCTAACTCTAGAACAGCTTTGGAGCAAGCGAGCGAACCCCTCAAACCATAAACTACATCCAGAGACATAAGCATCCGACCGTCTGCTACGATTATATTTGAAGATATTCTCCTGAAAGACTTTCTGTGTCCACAAGACTATTGAATCTACTTCATCCATTATATCCTTCTTGGTGATGCGGGGGTGAACTAAATTGAAAGAAGCTTCAATGACCACTTTGCCAGAGATACAAAAGCAGAACCCAAATCACGTTGTTGTCAAAGAGCAATTATTGACCGCAAGCACTTGGAGAAATAAAATACGATGTAATGCTGTAGAAACAGTATTAATACATACATGTACCAGTAATTCAATACCTGGTACCTTAGCTTACGCAAAAAGTACAGCGTACGTATTTATTTGGTCCGCGCCACTGCGGGTTTGATGGGTGAAATTGGAGGCGCTACACGGCGAGGCCTGCCATTCCAAAAGTTCTTCAGGTTCGGGAGGTACTAGCACTATCCTAGCTACCGGTAGCTAGCCAGTGATAGCAAGCTATGGACAAGAATTAGTGCACGCTGCTCAGTAGATAGGTCCTAGACTACTGTAGTCATATCTGGTACGATCATTAAGATGACATGGCGGAAGTTCATGACGGTTGCTGGTCTAAAAGACTAAGGTATCCGCAAGATAAACTTGCTACGGTAGCCAGTTGGTCGCTCCTTTCGAATGATGCCATTGTGGCTGAGTATGGCGATCCATTGATTCTTGGCTGGCTAAATCTAATCGGTGTACTTGAGCTGTAAAGTGGCGTTTTATTAACCATTGGCTGGCTGGATGGTCAACTCCAGCTTGTTGCCGCTGGGGCCTGAATATTATGGCATCATCTCTGACTATTGACAGCAGCTGACATCAGCTTTCTAATGGCCCTGTATTCTAACTTCTGGCTGACTTCGGCATCCACACCTGCGGTACTGGTTCCTTGCTTGCTCTCATGAACCTTTTGTTCCGTGGGAGCAATTGCATGAAGGCGGAGCTGTCGCCAAAGCGGAAAACAAACTTTCCTCGTTTATCGTTTGTATGGCAGTCAACAGTCAACTTCGGTAGCTAGCTAGCTAGATCTACCGGTAATGGTATCAGCTATGGTATCTTAAGTATCTTTGTATCTTTCTATCTTTGTATCATTTGGTCTCAGGCTCTGGCCATTGGAAATTATTTGAGACTTAGAGGCCAGAGCAGCGGTTTCAAGGAGTGTGTTAAGAGTTGTTCTGACACGCTGCTCAGAGATCCCAGCTTCTGTGTTCTTTTTTGCTCTCCTCTATGGTAGCTAGGAGGATAAAACGCGCAGCTGCAATCACCAAGAGGAGTGGTACTCCGCACGTTGACTCTGCATGTAACTAACACCGGTTCTCACATGTTGCACTCTGCTCACCGGTTACAGGCTGCTCGCGACACCATTGGATTTCGGGTGGGTAGATCCTACATCCAAACCTCTCTAATTACCTACAGGTGCCTTGCTTAGCTTGCTCTTAATGAACCTTTTGTACAGGTGCCACCAACCACCAAAGCGGAAGATAAATAAAATTACTCGGCCGATAAAGCTGAGAATTTTGAAAAAGGTGATAACTCCTCAGAATGAGCAGTCAGGATTTTTGAATCAGTTGGATGGTTTGGGTTAGGGTGAAAGGAAAATTCTCAACTTGATCTTCAGATTTGTGTAGAAGCTGGTAGGTTTGAGAATTCTCAACTTAATCGGCGGAGTATGCAACCCCCGAATTCTCTCTCTGTGGCCTGTGATTAGTATTCATTTTAGATTTAGAGGCCAGTGTCCTTTTGGCTGGAAAACTGAAAGCAGTGTATTCAAGGAGTGTTTTAACAGTTAGTTGTTGTGACATACACGCTGCTCGGAGAATGCCAGTGGCTACTATCATGCACTGCCCCTACGTACTCCGTGCTATCAGCTGCACTAGCTAGTAGAGCTGCCATACCGCTAGCTACAAGCTACACGAGTATGCCTAATGGTATTTGCCAGGTCGTTTCATCGCAACACAACCACACCCAAACCACAGCTGACCACACAATGTCATGGTAAATGCATAAACTGCACAGCTCAAAAAAACTGGTACAACAATCAGAAGGTACTACGACTGTACCCGTAGCTACCGGTTGGGTAGTCTAGCTAGTGTCTAGTACCAAGAAGTATGGTACTAAACCCATACCGCGAATTCAATACTGCGATAGGTCGCTGATTGACTTTCAATCCGTGACCAGTAAGCAGACCAGAAGGAACAATATTGAGACTTAGCAGAGGTGGGTGTCTTGTGGATTGTGGAGCAATGGAAAGTGGTGTTTTAGGGGAGTGCAGTAACAGGCTGCTCCCGGAACGGAGGTAGTCTAGATGCGGCAACCCACATTTTTTTAATCTTTGACATGCATTCCTGATTGCTACTCGACTCGACTCGGTGATCTCGTGCTCTCTGTTCTTCTTGTGGTTGAAGGTTCTTTTCATGGTAATTACTATATAATCAATCGTACTCTCAAACTGCACAGCTGATTTTATTCCGTCCAAAATAAAAAGTAGAGATAGATTGCAAAGAAGCTCTTTACATAAGCAAAGAACAATCATGCTTCCATGAGGGTCATATGTCGAAATCTGATCATTTAAAGAAAGAGATAGCTTGCTTATGGGTGTTTGGGTGACTGTCATTCATTCCGGCCATGCAGCATGCTACTAAGTAAATGCTAAGGACATTCACCTTTGCAGATGTATTTTTTTAATACTACTCGAGTACTGAGTACAGTGTACTGCAGTATTATGTTTCGTCCATCTTCCATTGACTTACCGGCAGAAACGCTTCTTTTGACCACCTTCCGAGGAACATGAACATTTCGGTCAGACCAGGGACCAGGGATGATGCATTGTTCAGCTTCGAAGTTCCAGTAAAACCGTACCGCTACCACCGCAGACAACTCCGTACCTGTCTCGACTCTGATAGCCGCTGGTACTGCGAAAAGCGAAAAGCAAAAAGACTCAAGCCGGTTTGGTTCCATCAATCGACTCTTGATGCCGAAACTGCACGGCAGCTGCTTCATCCCAGCTCAGTCTTTTTGGTCACAAATTTTTCACACCCGAGCACATAAAGCAAGCTACTAGCGAGCCGTCCAACAGAAGAAAAAGACTAAAAAGTGTTTCATCGACAACCATGGTGCTCCAGAAAAAAGAGAAAACCGATTTTGAGAGTCCTTCGACTTTAACGAACAAGATGACGAATGTGAACCTTGAGGAGTTTGAAGATGAGTCGCTGGCGTCGGGAGAGGGCCTGGATGAGTCGTCTGCCGTGAATCGCAACAGCGACGTGGCCATGCGGGACCTGGCTCACAAAGAAGAGATTGCCGTGTGGCGTCTCAAGAAGATTCTCGTGGCGCTGCTGCTGTGTGTGGCATTGGCCATCTGTCTGTTTGTCTTCTTTCTCATTCAGAACAATGAAACGGCAAGTTTCGAGCAAGACTTTGAAGTCATGGCCGACAAGATGGTGGACAGGATTGGTCGTAACTTTCTTCAGCGCATTGGCATTATGGAAGACTTCTGCTTGCAGTACACTCACCAGGGACAAACCCAGATCTATCCCTCGTGGCCCTTTGTCATGCTTCCCGGACGCAGCTTTCACTATCTGGCGGAAAAGGCTGCCCTCCTGTCGGATACCATGTCCATGAGCATTGCGCACATTGTCACAACCGAGCAGAAAGAGGAATGGAAGATGTATGTCGAAGAGAGCCGCGACTGGTTGCCCGAAGCACAGGCCGCTATGAATGGCATCTCGCTGGAGCAGGCAAGGAATGAGTCCATCACCATCCCCGCGGAGATTATCAACATGGACAAGAAGCCTCCCTATATGGTCACCAATGAGACCGGACCATACGGCGTATTTTGGCAGAACTACCCGGCTCACAACGACCACATGTACTCCTTCAACCTTCTCTCCCATCCTCATTACCACGATAACATCGAACTGGTTGTGGCCGAAGGCCGCCCTGCTCTCCTCAGTAGCTATGACTTTATGGACCAGGAAGCTGCTGCTAAGGATCCTCGAAAGAAAATGCACGATGCCAGTCTCAAAGTCTACGAGAAGCACGGAGGCTTGCCTTACCAGAATGACCCTCTTGGGCCAACGCTGCTTCCCAGTACGTATACATATCCATGTGTATATTATGAACCAATATGTCTTGTCCAGCTTCAATGAATCTCACTGCTTGCTTGTCTTGTGCGTTCAGTCTTTAAAGACTTTGATCAAAAAGAGGTGGTTGGATTCATGGTGTTTGGCGTCTACTGGAGGACTCTGTTGAATCGGCTCCTGCCAACAGGGACTGATGGTGTCGTGGTGGTGCTCGAGAACACTGCCGGACAGCAGTACACGTACCGCATCGATGGAACCGATGCTACCTTCGAAGGGCACGGCGATTTTCACGATACCCGCTACGATCATTTGGAAGCCGTGGGGTACATTCGGTCCGACATGGATGGCGATGTCGCTGCCGCCTTTCAGGCCCGTGTGGAAGATTCAGAGAACAGCCACCTGGACACCAATTACCGTGTACGTGTCTATCCTTCGCAGCTCTTTGAATCGGCCTATCGCACAGATCGGGCATGGTTGTTTGCTCTTTCCTTGGCCATGGTATTCGTCTTTACCTCCTCCGTCTTCATCATGTACGACTACTGTGTGGAACGACGCCAAAAGATTGTTGCCCAGTCGGCCGAAAAGTCTGGTGCCATTGTTCATTCACTCTTCCCAGGTATGTGTGTATGTATGTGTGTGTACTCCAAACTTGTAGTTCGGCTGCTACACGGAGAGGCGTTACTAACTTTCAGATTGATTGATTGATTGAATGAATCAACAGAACAAGTCCGTGATCGTCTTTACGAAGACAACAAGGCCAAAAAGAAGCAAATTGGGGATGGATTTGAAGCAATCGCCAGTGACCCAGTCACCCCTGCTGCCAATGCCCATTTGTATCCCGAATGCACAGTCTTCTTTTGTGACATTGCTGGTGAGTACAGGTTGCCTGTTTGCAAAGATCAGCTTTGGGTTGTCATATTATCATTGCTGATTGATAAGAAATACTAACTTGTTGCCTTGTTGGCTGCCATCATGTCAGGGTTTACCAAGTGGTCTTCCTGCCGAACTCCAGTAGAAGTCTTCGAGCTACTAGAGGCATTGTATGCTGCCTTTGATGCAAATGCAAAACGCCGAAAGGTGTTCAAGATTGAAACAATTGGTGAGTGCTTGGAACCTTGGATTGCTGGTGGGCTTGCTTGAGCAGTTCCCCTTTCACTTGCAGGTGACTCACCGGCTGAATGCTCTTGTTGTTCTCTTGTGCTACTAGGTGATTGGTAGGTGCAGACTTTCGGAAAGCCTTTTGTTTGGGCCACAACACTGACTGGGACTAACTGTGGCTATCATTGTGCCTTCTCCCTTAGCTATGTGGCTACCACAGGCCTACCAAAAGCACAGCCGGGACATGCTTTGATCATGGTATGTACACGACACTCTAACTATTGCTGGGGTGGTTGCTGAGTTCTGTCTCTCACCTGCTTTTAATCCTCCCTTGTTGTGACACAGGCCCGATTCGCGAATGACTGCATGAAAAGTGCACTGGAGTTGGTGCATGAAGATGGAGAACTGTGCCAGAAATTGGGCAAGGACACTTCCGAACTTGCTGTTCGAGTTGGCATGCATAGTGGACCAGTAAGCGACATTCTTTGATTTGAAACCTGGACTGCATTTCCATATGAAGCTTGGCATACCGGTGCTCACACTACTGTATCTTTAATGCGTTTCTTCAGGTGACGGCGGGTGTGTTGCGTGGAGACAAGCAGCGCTTCCAGATATTTGGTGATGTAAGTAACTTTGTTTGATCGTGGCCAAGTTGCCGGGTGTGTCAAGGTGGAAAGCATGTCGCTCATACCTTGTTCTTCCTTCTGATTCAATCGCCACAGACGGTCAACACAGCCTCCCGCATGGAAAGCAATGGGGTTCCCAACCGAATCCATGTATCAGAATCAACAGCCCAATTTTTGAAGCAGGCCGGGAAGGAACATTGGTTGACTCCCCGTGAAGACAAGATCACAGCAAAAGGCAAAGGATTAATGCAAACCTGTAAGTTTGACAAAGCTTCAGTGTCTTAGACTTCTGGTACCTTTCTCAACACAAGATCCTCATCATTTTTTCTTCCAGACTGGGTTGTGGTCTCTTCTGGCGGTTCCACTGCTCCTTCCTCTACTGTGGGGTCCGTGGACATGGGTGTGGATCCGAGTTTTCGAAGTGTTGCTTCTCGCTCGTCACAGGAGAAGGAAACCCTGGGTAAAACAGATCCGAGTACTACAAGTGCTACAAAGGAAGCAATTGGCGATGACTGGGTGTAGATATGAGAGAAAGACAATACAAAGGTGGGGCTTTTGCAAGGTAGAATTGAGCTCTTCATACTCCTACTTTATTAAAGGTAAAATGTAGTTAGGTTGACGAAAATAACGCCGTCAAGAGACACTCCTCGGGGGGGGGAGCGATACTGGCCTCCATAGCAATGGAGGGCGTGGAAGCCGAGGGCCGAGTGAGCAGCATACCAGCGTAGAGCGTGGAGGAAGAAGTTCTCGACTCCCACCGAAAAGAGCTACCGTACCGTAGGACCGACAAACAAGCAAAGGGGTTTTAGAGTACCGATAGGGAAGTTATCTTTGTCATAGCTATCATGTTATCATTCCAAACGACTGGCGACTCGTCACTTCGTGGAACAAGGTGCAGCTTCGTAGTGCTCGTGATCACAAGAAACTTTGATTTTAGCATGACGAAACAAAGCAAGTCCAACGCTGTTGTCGGCAGCACGCATGGGGTTGTCTTGGCTTGCCTGGAAGGAGAGCTGGAATGGATTGCAAGCGAATGCTCAAAGTGCTCTGGGCTATTTTACATCCCTCAACAAGTACCGTATGGCAGAGCCAAAGCGCGTTCCCTCTGTGCATCCTTGCACGATGTTGTGGATGGATTGTGTTGAATGAGCAATGATCTTTTCCTAATGGCACTTTGCAGTGCCTTGATACTACTTCGACCTCTTTGCCTTTGTCTTGATGTGGGAAAGGCCAGGTAGATCGACGGGCCCTTCCACACGTGGTCAAGCAGCGCGCTCAGAGAAACTGCTATTAGACAAAAAACAGATGGCGGGGTTTGAAGTGTTCGCGCACTCCAAGTCGTTACGATACAGTTGTAGTAAGTTGATCATTTCTTTGTTTGGTTTGCAGTATGCCATCTGCAAGATCCTGAATACTTGCTGTATATAAACGTGCATGTATCTTGGACGTGGTTGTCTCCTTGAGGGTGGCGTGTGGGCTAGACGTGCATTGTCTTGAGCTCCCTGGCTCTGAGGCTGTGCTCACCGTACGGCTGTATGCGTTGGACAGCTTAGTTGGCTAGTACCGGTATGGGGCTAATAGTTAGGGCTAAGTACGCTAGCGTGACAGCGATCGCTTCTCGATGTCGTCCCTCTTTCCTTCTCGACGAAACAACAACCACCAACCAACACGAAGCCAAATAGATACTAGTAGTAGCACTGCGTTGTCTCTCTTGATTGACTTGGTCTATTGATGATTGATTGACTTATTCTTGACGATTATTGCTCCATCATGAGTATCACGCACGAGTTTTACAATGCGACCGTGGCCGACGCGATGGACAATGAGTACTTGCAGTGCAAAGACAGCATTTGGGTGCAACACGTGATGCGTCTGGTGCTTTTGTACTCGTCGGCGGCGCTGAGTCTGCTCAATGGAGCGACTTACTACGGACTGCGCAAGCGACTCCTACTCCGAACAAACTCCCGTCGAGTCTATCATCGCCGACTGGCCTACTTTTGCATTTTTGCCGGCGCCATTTTGGTGATTGCTGGCATGCTCTTTCTAAATGCCTTTGTGGCGCCCTGCGGAAGAAACAATTTTCGTCCGTCGGATTGTCGCTGTCGTGGTTTTGACATGGGATACTTCATCTTTGGACTCGCCGCGTTGTCGTTGGGCGTCGTTTGGTGGGGACAGCATTTCCGACACCGCGCCTACGAGAATGCCTACAAGGTCCGTGCCGCCATGCCACGAGACACCGGAACCGATTTGGCCGACACCGATGTGCCGGATACGGCCACGGATCCTGAACCCGAAAACCACGGCATGGAACAAATCACGGAGGAAGAAGAGGGCTCCTCCTCCTCGTCATCCTATGAGGACGGTGGATTTAGCAGAGCCTTTGTGGTCTGATCAGATGGGACCAATCCATGCTTCTTTGTGTGCTTGGATTTTGCAAGCCGTATGTACGACCTATTCATTGGTTTGCATCGGTTTGCTTGCATATACGGTATATGACTTACTTGTATGATAGATATTCTAGCGTAAATTAATTTCATGTTGTATATGTTTTCTTCTCTGGTAGGATAGGACAGACAGCACTTACGTGTGTTTGATGGAAGGGCTGAACCTCGTTGCTATGGAACCGGTAAAGGAAAGCCTTGTCGAAGCCAAGGTACCACCATTGGAGCCCAGCCAGGCACGAGGTTCAGTGCCGTCCCTATACGGGGGACGGCACAAAGACCTTTGGCTTCCAAAGTCTCCCTTTCGAAAATGATGACAGATTGACAAAGCAATTACGTACATGTCACTCGCCAACCGGTCCATCAGGGAATATTTTACTCGAGCAGCTGTCTCTGGATCTCCTCGTGAATGTTCGGGGAGGGAAGGATCACAAGTCCCGATATTTTATCCAAGAAGAAGCAACCAGAGTAATCCTGGCAAAGAGCTTGGGTCCGGGGCCAGATCAGCCAGCAATCAGGGTATCTCTACCTTTGATTGTCAAACATTCTTGGCCAGTGCTTTCGTAGCACCGACCGCCTATTGTAAAACGTCTATAAGGAACGTTTGAAAACGAACAGAGCCCAATCTGTGACGATTACAACCAGCAAGACCACCTTCTGACTAGCTAGACAGTGTTGGCCATGCTTCAACCTCAAGTTTCTTCTAGTGCTTCTAGCAACAAGACATGTACCGGTACTGTTAGAGAGCGGAGTGTGTCCCCCGCTCGCTCGTTGTGGCTACCTTGTCAAAACATCCTTAGCCATTGCTTTCGTAGGACTGACCGCCTATTATAAAATGTCGTTGGACAAAATGAACGTTTGAAAACGAACAGAGCCCAACTCTTGACGATCACAACCTGCCTGCAAGACCAGCTTCTAGTAGTAGCGAGCTCGAGAGTGTTGACCATTCTTCAACCTCAAGTTCTACTAGCTAGTAGAGTGCAAGCTATAAGGACACTATCGAGAGGCAGCATCGAGACATGTACTGCAAGAGAGCGGCGTGTGTCCCTCGCTCATTGTGGCTGTCCGATAACGCTCGCTTCTCGCAGTCTCCGTAGTCCTTTTTTAAAATAGCTAGTTACCTGGTACCCATTTTACGCCAAAGGTGCGCATTTGCATGGTACACGATGATCGAGTTCTCACACCAAGAAACAATCCAGGATCATGGCTTCAAGAGAAGTCTACTGCCAAAGAGCTGCATCCGGTCGTTGGTGATACCCTCCTGAGGACCCAAATGAACGTTTTGGCAGCTGGCAGCTGGGAAGAAAACGACTCTCAGGCCTAGTTGGTCTGTGTTGCTGGCTAAGGAAGTCAGTAGATTCATGCTCTTTTAATAAAACTCATTGATCTATCATAGAAATTTAGTTTAATTGGTAATACATGTAATTTGGTATCGTGAGATCGATGCAGTTCGTGTAGCGCCTGAAGCCAGTCGAAGTGAACGAGCGTTGTGAAAACTGCCAAAAAGGACATCACCATTCGCTGATCCGTATTAGTTAGCATCATTTCAATCAGCGGCCGCTTTGTGCAACTGTACAAAGTAGCAATGTTCATCTATCTTCGTCTGGGTAGAGCTGGTGGTAAAGACTTGGCGCTCTCGGTACGGCCGTCGGATGACCAGCGGTCCGAGCTGTCGATCTTGCTGTCATCGTGGGGTCGTTTGCTTCCATGGTCATACCAACTGACCCTCTCGTCGGCTGTCTTGATCAGGCTGTCGTCCAATGGGACAGGGATCCAAATGACGGTGGGGATCTTGCTTGAGGGCCTGCACATGGTCGAAAGTTTGAAGTATGAGAACTGGAAAGATTGTGGCTTTGGTGGGTACAATGATTGTTTCTAAAGGAAGTATTGACAAATTTATGACAGACAGAGGGGGGGATTGAGAAGAAGCAAAGGCCAAAGCTGACAAACCTTTGACAGACAGCTCAAGGAAAAGTTTTTGATTTCCACCGGAAACATGAAAACCGAACGATCACGCTTGAATTACAAAAGCCTCGATTGAAGAAGAAGGCTGAAGAGAGAAAGAGTTGACATAAATAAATAGGAGTAGCATTCTTTGGCTGTAAGACTAGAAGTCTCCAGGGAGCTGAGAGATTGTGGGATCAACATCCACTCCAATCCTAAACAGCTAGCACACACTATCTTTTGATTGCTCCGAAACATATCGTACCCCATCTCATAGATTTTCTTTGGGTATAGCTTTGTTCAAGTTCTCGTTTGAGGCAGATTTTATGCTAAGAAAAGAACTGCGGCTGGGCTTCCTTCAACGGGAAGGGTAGAGGGGGAGCAACCCACACACGCCATGGCCACCGCGCTCGTAAATCTATGGTGTCCAAAAACGAGAGAATCTTGAAACTTTTGAGAACAGTGGCTGCCACCTCATGCCGCATGGATATGTACAGCAGCTGCAGTGGTACAGCCTTTCTCGCTGGGTGGCTACTGCATCATAGGCAATCCGAAATCTAAGCTCCGTTGATATAATTCATTGGCATTGGACTTCACAAACAGCATCTGGCGCTTATTAAAGGGGCTTTTCAAATGGTTCAAATAGTTCACTTCTGCATCGCCAGCCATCCCGCCAGGATGCGAAGAGTGTGCGAAGTCTTCTTTAGAAGAAACTTGTCGCTGTTGCTGCTGGACATGTCACTTGGTTTGCACTACAGTACTAGTAGTTGGCTATCAACAAACTTCCTTTGCTAGAGTATCAGTTGAATTTCCTGGGGATGCGAAGCAACCAAAGTCCAGTGCCCTGATCCTTCCGTGCACGAGTGCATGGAGTCTTCCCAAGCCAAATGCACGCTGCAGCTCGCCAGATTTAGTTAGTTAGCTGGCTAAGTATCTGCAGCACTTGTAAAAGTTGATGCGTTTGGTCGATCCCGTGATTGCTTCAAGGAGACGGTGTGGGCCTCCAGTGAGGGATCCAGAAGCAAGGACGTTGCTGGCTCCTTGCAGGCTCCTATTACACGGTACGATCAGATAGGTGCTAGTACAGTAGTCACTCAGCTGGTTCTACGCACAACCCGAACAGAGGCTGATTCTTAAGCTATACGTTTACCAAGCTAAACCATAGGTTTCCTCACTAGAAGAATGTGGTCTGCTGTGGGTTGAAGCGGACGCAAAGAGCAGGCTGGTGGCTCAGCTGATGTCACATAATATCAACTTGCAGCGCTGCTTCTTCTAAGATCCAGGAAACGTTGTCACGGAGAAGATGTCAACATGATCAGGACGTCCTTGCAAGTCTGGAAGCTCCGTCAAGACTGCAAGTTTCGTCACGACACCTCCTTGACGTCCAACAAGATCCATGACAGCACGAACAGTGGCACCACTCGCGAGACAATCGTCTACCACGAGAATACGCTGTCCAGGTAATACCGATCCAGAAACAATCTCCAAGCAGTATTCAGGGTTGCTTGGATGGGAATCGGCAGCTTCGCATTCCTCCCCTTGGATAAGGTTGTGAATGTTTGAGCCGTCGTAGCTGACTGAGTCCTTGTCGCCGACTAGCTTGCCTCCCTTTCTTAGCAAGATCAGGGGCTTCTTTAGAAAAGATGCGACAGTACCGGCAAAGACAAAACCTAGTGATTCCGGAGAAACAATAGCATCGACACTTGACGTCTGGCCATTCTTTTCAACCCACTCGACTACCGATCCCGTCCACAGCGCCATTGCAAACGGTTGAAGAAGAAGGCTTCCTACAATGTCCCTGTACTGCACGCTTGGTTGTTGTACCGTCCTGACACATCGCTGAAAGAGGCTCGGAACGAGGATATCCCTTGTCCAGGTCGCAGCTGATCGGCAGGTAGAGTTCAAGCCATTGTCGAATACAAGATCCCAGAAGTCGTCGTCCTTCGCATCTGCCGCAAGCTCTCCATGGGACTCGTCGATTGTTTTGTCGTATGTCCACCCTCTAGCTTCTTTTGCTTCATTGCTTGAGGTGACCTTTATCAAGAGTACGGGCTTCCCGGCAAGACGACGAGCGTAGTCCAACCCGTCTCGCATACCAGTCAAGAGCAGGATTCGACCGTCGTCCGACCCTTGGACAGTCTTGACGTAGCACTCTGCATCATACGCAATGCTTTGAGCCTTCTTTCTTTCGTAGAAGGCTGACAAGGATTTGCGGTGGCTTTCTTTGTAGCGTCGATTAGTCAGAAGTTCGTTCAAATCCACCCCTGAGTGCACCTCGGCAAACTCTCGCTTCGTTTCGTCGCTGATGCTGCAGACGGAGACCATATCATTCTCAGTTTCACCCATCACGCTCCTGAGGGTTGCATAAACGTTTGAGGCCAGCCAGTCCTTGCCCGAGCAACGGGGACCACAAACGATTAAAACTATGCCTCGAGCCTGTACACGGGGATCGTCGTCAACCGCAGCAATGGGACAGGCACAACCTAAAACGTGTAGTGGATCTGCCGTTTGCTTCATCCGAGCAAGACGAAAGTGGTTGAGCCCAAAGGCACGTCGTGCCAAGGTCTTGTCTCGAGGACCCAAGTCAGACCCGTAGACTCCCTCGCTGTGGGGTATCAGAAGATCTGTGGACCATGCAAGCCACTCTGTTGCTTTCTTTTCCATGTCCTCGTCGCCATCGGGCCAGCGAGCTGTAACAACGGCGGCAAAAACCCACTGGCGACATCCAAAAGCCGTTTCAAGGGGCCCGACACGAGCGACAGCCCCTCCCCCATGCAGGAGGTGGATATAACACCACTTTGTCGGTGTTTCCTTCATACAGCGGGAAAGAATGGATTCGTGTTTCTCTGTGAGTGAGGGCAGGAAAAGGCAACGCTTGTTCGACCGCAGCTTGGTCGGTAGATTTTCGTTGGGGCGCAGGACGCGATGAGGAGCAAACGCATCTGTCATGTAGAGCTCACGATCATACAATTGAGTAGGGGAATGGGTGGACCAGGCTCCAACCTTAGCGTTGCCTTGAAAACCTTGAACCAGACAATCTTCTTGGTTGAGACCAATATCAAAATGGCTGGTAGCAAAAGATAGCTGATCTGAACCCGACCAGAACAGAAAGCCATCAAGACAACCTGTATCCAGAAGGCACATTGCCTCTTTCGAATAGCTCCTGAGAAGTTGAGCGTATGACGAGGAGGGCAGATCGTAAACGATATCTTGGGCAGCAATGGAGTCAAGAGGGAAGGCTCGAACGGTGATCTCCAAAACCACTCCAAAGTTTGAACCAGCCCCACGGAAAGGGAACAACTCTTCCTTTGTCGAGGCCTCTTGGATCTCGCCATTCGTATTGACATAGACAACTCTCACAATGTTGTCGGTTGCAAGTCCGTGCCTGCGCATAAAGTGGTTCAAGCCTCCAAGCAGAATCAGCCCGGCTCCGACTCCAGGTCTATCCCCGAGAGGCACGACAAGGTCATTCTTTTCACACTGTTCGGTCACTTCTCCGCTGGTAGCTCCACCCCCAATCTTCACCAGCCTTTTGACAGTGTCGACTTCTACTTGGTTCCACAACGCCATATTGATTGCAATGGCATTGTCAGCAAACGCATTCTCGCTGTGCCCGCCTCCAATCACGGTAACTTTCCCACTTCCGCTTGATAGCACTGATTGTAGCGCGGCAGCTCGAAGGCATGCTTGAATCCCCACAACTGTGCTTGGCTTGACGACAGCAGAAGGCGTTTTCTTTCGCGCCAGGTAGCCGACTTGGCATCGCGCCTCGTTGAAGCAAGCAGAGGCTGTTTCTGTGTTGTTCAAGCTGCAACTGTGTGGTTCGACGGCAATGCATCCTATCAGGCGTACTACCGATGTCTGTTGATCGTTCAAGGAGACATCCCCGTCAGTGTATCGGTTGAGTCGCATACGTTGGACAGCATCCAGATGCAAAGTGCACAAGTGGCTTTCCCAAATTTTCACGATATGCAAAAGTGACTGTTCAGTGAAGCATTTGGAGAGACGATCAAGTGTCCCGTTCGGTTCCCACCGATGAACGATCATCAATATTCCACCGGGGGCAACGCATTGAAGAGCGCGTTGAACCAGGTCCACTTGCTCGGATGAAATCAACCCGTACAGACAGTGGCTCAAAAGGACAACATCAGCAGTGCCGCCAACGTCCTTATGAGAATTCTGCACGTTGAATTGAGATTGGATGATGTTGGAACGGTCCTCAAGTCCGAGGCCGGTGGCCACAGAACACAGCTCGGCACATAAGCTTGCATCCATCTCATATGCCGCATAGTGCGCAATTTTGATAGACCTCCTGACGTCGCACAGAGCTCTCAACACGATACCGTTTCCTGCACCAATGTCCAGGATGGACAAACCTTGCTCTTTCCTCTGACTCAAGGGTCCAATGACAGCCTCTTCAACCGCTTTGGCTATGCTGGAAGGTTCGTCCTGAGCACATTCCAAGTACAAGCGATAGTTGTCGCAGTCTTTCCATTCGCCGACTTCGTCCACAAGATGGGCTCTTTCACCAGACAGATGCTCATGTGGATCTTCGGTGATCTCCTCTAATTTGCTGCATTCGCTGCTAGCAGTCACTGGCACTGCTTGCTTGATGACCTTGCTAGCATTCACTAGTGACAGGAATTCATCAAACAACCCCGACTCTTCTTGAAAGACTCCGAGCTTTTGAATTGTAGTCGTTTCTGTGCCATTGCATCTCACACCTCTCATTTCCATGCACATGTGTCGGCACGTAAGGATCACTGCAACTCCACGCGGCTTCAAAAGACGTTCCAGTGAATCGGCAATCTCCTTTGTCAGCCGTTCTTGTACTTGGAGCCGCCTGGCAAAGACTTCGACAATCCTCGTCAGCTTGGACAAGCCAATGATGCCGACCGTTGGATCTGGGAAGTACGCAATGTGGGCAGCCCCAAAGAAAGGGAGCAAGTGATGTTCGCAGAGAGAGTAAACTGGTATGTTGGTCTGTGCGATAACTCCTTCGCTGGCTTCCCCAAATATCGCCTCGCCCACCTCAGCATCCACGGTCATTGCATATCCAATTGTCAGCTCGGCGAAAGCTCGTGCATGTCGGTGTGGCGTTTCCTGCAGACCTTCCCGATCTGGATTTTCGTGTGGTATGGCTCTCAAAATCTCTCGTGTTGCAGCAGCAGACCTCTCCAGCTGACTCGGCAGCCGATCCTCACCACTTGTTGCTGGCAAAAGGAATGAATCGCCACCGCTGGCAATGGCCTCAAGACCATCATTATCCACTTCCAAGCGCATCGTGTCGCTCTACTCTTCTTCCTCGACGATCTACTAAGACTAGAACTGACACTTGATTCAGTGCGGCTTTCTTTTGTTGAGGAGAAGGATTTCCTCTCACACGATCATTGGATTTTCAACCAAATATGAAAATTTCCATTTCCGCGTGGAACCAGTACCAATTTCGAAACAACGGTTTGGGCACTACGAAAAGGAAAATTTCGTCTCTCTCTTTCCGTTGAGGCTCACTCAAGCTCCCCCTTCGTGACGCTGTTTCTTTGTTTACGCCAAGGTGGTTTGTCGCATTCGCACATGCCTCAAGAGCAAATCAACTTGTTGTTGACTCTTGGAAACGGAGACGGTGGGGACAATCTTTTTGGGTCTCAAAGCTCGAATGCAATCCACCAGTTCGGGAAAGGACGAGTGTTCACTGTAGGGGACACTGTGCACGGTCAACTTGCCAGTGGTGGCCGTGGTCAGGAGATTGTGATTATTGTTGGGTCGATTGGACCATCCGGTGGGTCGAAATCCCACGACGCGGTCGAATTTGGCGACGGGATGTTTGGCTTGGCTACATGCGTACAAGTACGGTGGCAATCGTTTCATGTTGATATGCCCCAATTCGACCACCCACAGATTGGATTCGTTGCGTTTCGTGGTCAAAAGTCGTTGCATCTTGTCGGCGGGCCATTCCAAGGCGGCCACGAGAACCTTGTATCGTTGACTATCGACGTACACCTTGACACCCAACCGTTCTGCCACGGCCAAGTAGATGCGTTCCTTGCCAATCGTGTAGGCTCCAAAAAGCAGCAACAACCGTTCTTTCGCGGCGCGAGCTCGCTGGACTTCTTGGACGGCCTTTTCGACAGTGGCTTGAATGGCGGCTTGTTGGGTTGGCAATGTGTACCGTTCCTGGCAATAGGTGGTATCCAAAAAGAGTTCATCCACCGGCAGTTGTTGTAAGACGCGCTGCAGAGGCGGTAGCATTTGAGCGCGATGCCATCTGAAATCTCCAACATGCAGAATCGTTCGTTTTCCCACTTGAAAGAGAAACATGACGGCTCCCGGACAATGATTGGCATCCAAAAGTGTGACTGTGACGGGTCGTCCGGCACTGGTAGCAATGACCGTGGGAGTGTTGAGGGCGAGCGGATGCAAGTAGTGTCGATCGACTCCCAATCGTTCGTGGACGAGATTGGCCGTGGGCAAACTGCAGTAAATGACCCCCGCTTGCCATGTGCGCGTGATTCCTCCATAGTGATCGGAATGAAAATGCGTCAAAAAGTAGGTTTGAGAGAGGGATGGTTTGGCATATGTGAATCCGTCGCAAATAAAGTCCGTTCCGGTGATGCGCTTGTATGCCGGACACGTTTTCTTGACGTAGTTTTGTCGGGAGTTCCATCGTGCCTTCTTACTATTATTATTGGCTGTTTGTTGTTGTTGTTGCTTTTGTTGCTTGTTGAGTTTGGAAGTCTTTGCGGCATTTTTGGCACTGGCGAGTAGTACATTGTTGAGTGATCGGAGTGGAGCCTTGAAGTAGCTCGTGAGAGAGGTCTGTTTGGAGGCTGCAGCTGCTGGTGCTGCTGATGGTGTTTTGTTTGATTTGGTGTTTGTACTCGTAGATGTTGTAAAAGTGCCCGTAGCAAGTTGGAGGTCTCTATCCGCTCCTGCATGCCATGTGTGCTGAGTATTGTTGTAGGTTTCCGTTGTATTGTTGTTGTCGCTATTGTTGCTGGTTTGTTTTGCGTATGGGTTTATTTTGGCGGGAGCTTTCTTACAGTTGTCTTGTAAGTCGTCATTGTCGTCGTGATTGAGTTTCATGTCCTGCGCTTGTACTCCATGTTTTTTTGCACATCTCTTGATGTGGTTCAATCTTCCCTGGAATCCAGTGGTGATTCTGTCAAAGGAAGATCCACAAATGATGCAGACATCATCTCCTGGTTGGGGAGTTTTCCCCGTGTTCTTCATCTTGGGCTCTTTTTGCTGGTCGCTTCTTTTAAAATTGGTACTTGTGTTGCATGGAAGTGCAGCGTCATTGGTGTCTTCTTGGTCTTGTGTTTCTTCTGATTCATCTACTTGTGGATCTTGATCCTGATCATCATCATCATCATCATACATTTGAGTACAGTAGACATCATCGTATCCTTCACTTTGTCCACTTTGATTGTCGTCGTCGTCATCATCATCGTCATCAATCTCAAAAATGACGGGTTGTTCATCTTCAGCAGAGATTGCGTGTGTTTCTTCTTTGTCTTCTTCTGATGGTGCTGATGGCTCTGTCTGTAGTGGCATTGGAAGTGGCAAGGAGAGTCTGGGTCGCTTGAGTGGGCCATCCGTACATGGAGTAGTAGCAGTAGTAACTGACTGTTGAGGAAGTAGTGGCAATGGATCACTGATGCGCCGTCGTCTCGCCTTGTCATTGTCGTCATTGTCATTGGAAGCACAGCAGCTGCCACACCACAGATTCTGGCTAGACTTGCTGACGAACCGCCGTTCACAGCCAAGACATTCTCGCACACGGCGGACCATCGTCACAAAACAGCCAAAGGAAAATCAACCAAGAGCGACGAGCACTGGCTGACACTGACAATGGGATGGGTCGGAGGAATCTCAATTGGCCATGAGGAGCGAATGAAAGGAGTCAGTTACTAGCTAGTGTATACTATAATTACCCAGCACGAGGACGAACCAAAGGAAGAGAGCTACTCAGCATGAACAGTTCGCAAAACCATAATCGGCTACCTTGGACGCTGTCACACCTTTGGCTGCTCTTTCCTAATGTGGTGGATGAGAGATGGATGAGAGGAGAGTTGTTTCTTTCTTGCCCCTTAGTTAGGGATAGGTTTCACACCGGACGGCACGATCTTTCGCGGCAAAACGATACTAGTATCTTTGTTGGTGGATTATCCACGTAAGCCAGCAAGGGCCAGCTACTCCGGAGCGCAAATGTGGACAGTCCTTATTTACTACTTAGTTTTAAGAAACCGGGCAACCTAACATCGGCTTGTAGAGTGAAGATCAGTCAGCCTTCACACCTTGACATTGAGACACACTGCAACATATACACCCTTACATTTAGAAATATTTGGTGCAAAAATGACCCCTTCCAGTAAACACCCAATATGACACTATCAACTACACTATCTCAACAAAGTAAGACACTGTCATTCAAAACAACATTATTGCTGACAAATACCATTTAACAACTAGGTCAATTGGTTGGATATTGACTGAGATCTGGTAACCAGAAGTTGGTTGCTTTTTGATAACAAAATCATCCTCCAGTCATGCTCCTAGGGACGTTAAGTAGTAAATTCAAATGTGTTTCCAAAGTGTTCCAGAGGTTTTCCTCATTTTTGCATCTGTCCGCATTTTTGCCGTGGAGTAGCCAGGCTCTTAAAAGCAACGAAGAGTCGAGTCGACTGATGACTACAAGTAATGGAGCTACCGGTACCGGTATGGGGTTGAATATCTAGCCAGAGAGTGGAATTATCTACGGAACGCCAGCCTTAGGCAAAGAAGGTGCAAGCGGAAGTCAGGACTAGCTAGGTTCACACACAGCACATGTATTGCTTCATATATTTGCTCCGATCGACCCCTTGTCCCTTGCTTTCTTCCGTTCTCTTGTTGATTGGCTCATCTTCTTTTACCGGGCGGGACGTCTTGGAAGCCATTTTGCAAGGAGATGGTTGGAAAGCTGTTGGAAGGATTTGATCGAAGAAACCATCGAGAACGGCGGCACTTGGGGTCCGCGACCTGAAAGGAAATGATTTGTGTGCATTCGGTAGACTTGTATGGTATGGCACCTGGTACCATGTACATGGAACATGCATCAGTGTGATATTCTCATAAACGTAATGGTAGAATTTTGTGCTATGAATGAAGTGTATGCATAGATCCCTAAAGTGGTACTATCCCAACACCTGATGAACCTTGAACGAGTACAACGGTGGAGGCTTTGGTGGTTCTTTGGTTGCACTGAGCCGAGAGGAACTGTCCTCGTCTTCATCTTCCGAACTCGAGTCTCTGTGTTGCCGAATATTTCTGCCGTGATTGCTGCCATCGGGATACCGATACGACTCGTCGTACCCATCTTCAAACTCACGATCCGAGTTTTCATCTTCAATCCTACCACTGACTGCCAGGTTATCGGCATACGATGCTTCCATGAGATCATCAAAGTAGGCTTCCGCAGTTCGTTGACGATCACTCTTTTTGTGCTTCATGTAGCTTTTGTAGCAGAATGACAGAATGAAGTACACTGCGAGCAAACAAAAAGCGATAACAACAGGCAGTACATAATCTGATGTACTCTCCTGTTTGTAGAGAGGGTCCTTGTTTCTGTGGTATCTGCTAGTGTCGGCTTGAGAGCTCGGTGTCGATACTTCATCATTCAAGTCGACAGGAGCCAGGGCAGGAGATTGAGTGAAAGGTGCATGAGTAGATGGAGCGAGAGTTTCTCTAAAAACGGCAGATGGTTGTTGCGGCTCAGGCGCCACGGTTGCAGCATTGGTAGTTGATTCTGGGCCAATCACCGTTGTTTCATCACTAGGTGCTGCTTCAACGGGCTCTGACAATGTTACTGGTGTCGTCTCCGGTGCTTCTTCTCCGGTGGGTATTGTAGTTGTTGGGGCAGGTTCTGTGTCTATGGCAGGTACAGCTGTTATCGTAGCCATTGACTGGAACGCCTCTGTCGTAAAGGGTGTCCCATCACAATCCAAATACCACAGGCATGACTCTACCACAAGGCACTGTGAACAAAAAGTGCACGCGACCGGTGTGACACCCTTTCTGAGTTCAAAGGTGCTGCAGACCCATTCCAAAATGTGCTTGGCATCTTTCACACCGGTATACATTTGCTGGCCAAATCGAAAAAAGGGAACATCGACACTGTTGTATTGGTAGCTCCCCTTGAATTGTCTGTCCATATGGGCCTTGAGGTGAAGATTCACAGTATCCCCTTGGATGCCTCCTGCCATGTGCATGCAATTGTCAATGGCTCGCTGCTCGACACGAGGAACTTCGCCCAGCACTCGTGATGAGCATGAGGCAATATCAGCTGCATTGTGGCACCCGAATGAGTCAAAATGTTCCATATATTCCCTGAAGAAAAGAAAAAGGGAGGTTGAGTGCAGAGGACAACAGATCCAAGATGCAACCTTGGAATCAATCAATCCATCCTGTGAATGATCCCTTACGAACCACTGGTGTATTTTATTGCTTACCAAAATCGCAAATCACTGCCGTGATAGAGCTCAATAAAACAAATGCGTCTAAGTGTTTCTTCCACAAGGAGATTTCCACGTGAATTCTTCTTGGGATCCTCTTCTGCTTCAGCTGGGATGACACAGTACCGTCCATGGTTTGTACATCCTAGAGCACAGTGTTGGGGCACGGGTACAACTTCAATCTCTGTTTCGGCGTTGGTGTCTTCATCCCAGCCCAATAGCCTGCAGCCATAGTCCAAGCCATTAGTGATGTAGTAATGGGGAACCACCTGAATGATTTGATTTTGATTATGCATGCGACGAACAACTCCCTTCAGGAGTTGCCAAACTTGGTTCGACTGCTCGGGAAGAGCTATGTTGGTCACCACTTCCAGTGCCATTGGCGTCCCAATGGTGGCAACCTCCTCCAGTAACAGGTCGTGTGCGGCATGAGGGTAAGGGACATAAGAATGACGGTCCATTTGTTGTTGTTGACCGACTACTGGTTCAGGAGGCACGGATGCAGCCATAACAAGAAGACAGAAGAGGCCCCTCATTGTCTTTGTCATGGTGCTGGGCTCTAGAAATGGCAGTGTTGACTGTTGTCGCGAATTCCGCCTCTTTCCCCCCCTTCGACAGGCTGAGCATTGACGACCCCTCGCAGGGTTCCTTATGTCCATGTGTGGACAGCGGGTAGCTTCCCCGGGCCGTCTCTCTAAATCCCTTCTGGAGCCACGGGTCATCATTATTGATGAGACAGTGTGCGTACAGAGAAGATGCTGGCTAGGGACTGGACTCATGGACCCAATACCACACAACCACGCAGCCTTTGACCTCGGCAGTCTATCTGCCGAGCCCTCAACCCCCTTTTTACCCTCCGGATCAACACATCACATCTTCATGATGTATGGATGTATTTGCTCTGATTGACCCCTTGTCTCTTCCATTCTTCCTCTTCTTGCTTGTCTCATCTTCATGTACTATACATCATGCCAACGGCAGCAATGCCATGAACTACTGGTTGGAAGGATTTGTGATCTCACGGAGCGACTGCTGACTCAACTCAACTCGACTCGACTCCACCTCTATCATCTGTGCTGTTCTGCCCCCGATCCCACGGAACCTAGAGTCCTGGATTTCAGTCTTTTCCCAAGCCTGGTCCCCGCCTTCCGTAGATAACTACCGTACCTACTTTACTAGTCTAGCTAGCTAGCTAGCTTGTGGCCAGACCTCCCTACCGTACTGTGGACAATCTACTAGTAGCCACTAACCGCGGGAAAGTGTTGACACACTCGAGTGTCGTGTTATATCTTAACACTGAGTTACGCACATCTATCCACGACCGACTTTGCCGATCGAGAGCGATCCGAAGGCTTCTAAGATGCTCGAGATTCCCAAAAGATATCACTTCTGTCGTGGGTAGCTGCGGTAAAGTATATTTTTCATTCTGCTTCCAATATTCAATTGAATTGAACCCTTAACGCCATATTTACCTCAGCTACGGTGACCGATGGAACGTGAATAAAATCTGATCGAACTGGCACGGTAGATCTAGACCCAAAGATACAGTCAAATTTTGCTTCACAAAACAAAGGCAGGCTATCAATCTCTCTCGAGTCTGTCACTTGTTGTTCTCACCTTGCACTAGTAGTTGCTTCGGCTGGAATCAATTTGAAGTTCACCATGGCCTGCAAGCTTTTCCTCTCTGCTGCATTATTGCTCTTGTTGTCTGCGCTGGTGGGCGCATCCCGTTCAACTGGGGAAGCTACCGGTGGCCCCCGCCTCCGTGGTTCAACCAAGACGGCCGGTGGCTCGTTTGCCCCCCAAAGGACCAATTTTTTGTACCATCCAGGAGCCATTCATCAGCGTCTTGCTGTTGGTGGATTCCATAAGCAGCAGCATGGAGATGGCGCTGGAAACTGGATGGACTCGCCTTGGCGCCGGTCGTCGCCGGTTGTTCGTATCCCTGGTGACGAGAGTGATGAAGGAGACTTTTCGATTGGGATGTCTATGACACGTCTCTCCCCTGATGGCCAGACAATGGTCAGTGGGCACTGGCTCTCTCGTGTTGCGGTAGTTGGGACCAAATCGCAAGCGGAGCAAGTCAAGGCCTTCCAGTTACACACTTTCACTTACATGGATAAGTTATCTCGTTGGATTCCACAGGGTCACTTCACTGTGTCCGGAGATTCGGCGACTTGCCCGGAATGCTTCGACTTCATTTTTTCGATGGAGATGGCAAGTCGCTCAAAAGTGATCCTGCAACAAGGCATTGGCCTGGACCGTGGTGAAGTTCTGCTGAGTAAGGTCCAAGTGTACTCCAATGAGTATGTATCCCGTGATGTCAGTCCTTGGTTGGCCGTGGGACCGCCTATTGTTCCTGTAGATAACAGCAGCTTCATCAGGAGTGTGAGTATAGCCGACGAAGCCACATTCGTAGCGGAGGGTGTTGTGGTTTCGGTGGGGCTGTTGCCAAAGGACAATGTGTCTCCTGGGTCAGTTCAGATCTGGACACCCGAGACGGAGTATCACGAAGAAGACCAGTTCTTGCCAAAGTTGAAGTGGGTCACGGTTGGCAGTGCAATCCAAGGCAATAATGCGTTGTTTGGTTTTGATATCAAGCTAAGCCGAAATGGCTCTATTGTGGCGATTGTGGGATCGAAAGACGCGCCAAACAGTGACGATCCGCGTAACTTGTCTTGCTTCATTCGAGTCTACAAGTATTCTGAAGACGATTCGGAATGGATGCAAATGGGTCAAGATTTGATTCAGGAGAAGGACAAGTTCATGTTCTTTTGCCCTAAAATCAGTCTCGCCGGTGATGGGCTCACGGTCATGTCGGGGTACCGCGCCTACGAGAAGGGTTGTGATCTCCAACCTGAACCCAACGGCCATGTCAGGGTCTGGTCCTGGGATGCCTCGTCTGAGAATTGGAATCAAAAAGGTCTTGACCTGGACGGCCTGTTTCCCACACCTGACAGCCCTCAGGACTTTGTTTTTGGCTTTGATCACCGGTTGTCTTCAGACGGAAACCGCGTCGCCATTTCAGGATACGAGAGTGTCCCGTTGTCTCGGGCCAGCGACAAGGCGAACGTCTACTACATTGTCACCTTTGACTGGCGTGATGGCAACTGGACGCAGGTGCCAGGAACTGTCGACTCGGGCGTGTTTGCGTCGTTTGCCATGGATGATGCAGGTACAACGCTTGCAGTTGGCAATGTCCTTTCAGAAAGCCGCACAAGTGGAGTTATTCAATCTTACAAGTACAGGTCTTGGGACGATGCAGTTTCCACATGAATGGAGCTCAGCACTAGTTTGGAAATTTGCGTAAAATCGTACTGCTTTGTGGATGACCAATAAATCTGTAATGTATGTAGTGATTGAGTTACACCCAATCATCTCCGGGTGTTTCCTTTGTAACACTTGTACTCGGATCCGCACAACCGAAGGTTTCCTTCCCCTGTGACAAGCAAGAATCAACACTTTGAAAACTTTGATTCACACGCAACTCCGAAGACCCCACAGTAGAGGCAGGACCGGTGGAACCACCAGAGGAGACCACAACCCAGTCTGGCAGACAAACTTTGAGAAAGCTACCAGAAGTCCCAGACATCACTGAAGCTATTCGAAACTTACAGGTTTGCATTTCTCCTTTGCCTTTTGCTGTGATCTTGTCTTCACGGGGAGTCAACCAATGTTCCTTCCCACCCAGCTTCAAAAGTTGGGCTGTTGATTCAGATACATGGATTCCGTTGGGAACCCCATTGCTTTCCATGCGGGAGGCTGTGTTGACCGTCTGCGGTGATTGAACCAGAAGGAAGAACAAGGTATGAGTGACATGCTTCCTACCTTGACACACCCGGCAGTTTGGTAACAATCAATCAAATTACATACATCACCAAATATCTGGAAGCGCTGCTTGTCTCCACGCAACACACCCGCCGTCACCTGAAGAAACGCATTATTAAAGATACAGTAGTGTGAGCACCGGTATGCCAAGCTTCATACAGAAATGCAGTCCAGGTTTCAAATCAAAGAATGGAACGTACCGGTCCACTATGCATGCCAACTCGAACAGCAAGTTCGGAAGTGTCCTTGCCCAATTTCTGGCACAGTTCCCCATCTTCATGCACCAATTCCAGTGCACGTTTCATGCAGTCATTCGCGAATCGGGCCTGTATCAAAACAAGGGAGGATGAAAAAAGCAGGTAAGAGATAGAACTCAGCAATCACCCAGCAATAGATAGAGTGTTGTGTACATACCATGATCAAAGCATGTCCCAGCTGTGCTTTTGGTAGGCCTGTGGTAGCCACATAGCTAAGGGAGAAGGCACAAACGATAGCCACAGTTAGTTGCAGTCAAGTGTTGTAGCCAAATGGAAGGGTTTCCGAAAAGTTTGCACCTACCAATCACCTAGAACAACAAGAGCATTCAGTGGTGAGTCACCTGCAAGTAAAAGGGAACTGCTCAAGCAAGCCCACCAGCAATCCAAGAGACCAAGCACTCACCGATTGTTTCAATCTTGAACACCTTTCGGCGTTTAGCATTTGCATCAAAGGCAGCATACAATGCCTCTAGCAGCTCGAAGACTTCTACTGGAGTTCGACAGGAAGACCACTTGGTAAACCCTGTTACGATGGCCGCCACGCGAGGAACAGACCAACAAGGCATAAGCAAGTTAGTTTTCTCATATCGATCAGCGATGACAACATGACAAGAAAAAGCTGATATTTGCAGGCAGGCAACCTGTACTCACCAGCAATGTCACAAAAGAACACTGTGCATTCGGGATACAAATGGGCATTGGCAGCAGGGGTGACAGGGTCACTGGAGATTGCTTCAAATCCATCCCCAATTTGCTTCTTTTTGGCTCTGTTGTCTTCGTAGAGATGTTCTCGGACTTGTTCTGTTCATTCATTCATCAAATCAGAAAGTTAGTGACACCTCTCCGTGTATCAGCCACACTACGAGCTTGGGGTACACATACACACATACCTGGGAAGAGGGAATGAACAATGGCACCAGACTTTTCTGCCGACTGGGCGACAATCCTTTGGCGTCGTTCCACGCAGTAGTCGTACATGAGGAAGACGGAGGAAGTAAAGACAAATACCATGGCCAAGGAAAGAGCAAACAGCCATGCCCGTTCCGTGCGATAGGCCGACTCAAAGAGTTGCGAAGGATAGACACGGACACGGTAATTGGTGTCCAGGTGGCTGTTCTCTGAATCTTCCACGCGGGCCTGAAAGGCGGCAGCGGCATCGCCAATCTTGTCGGACCGGATGTACCCCACGGCTTCCAAACGATCGTAGCGGGTATCGTGAAAATCGCCGTGCCCTTCAAAGGTAGCATCGGTTCCATCGATGCGGTATGTGTACTGCTGTCCGGCAGTATTTTCGAGTACCACCACGACACCATTGGTCCCTGTTGGGAGGAGCCGAGATAACAGAGTCCTCCAGTAGACTCCAAAAATCATCACACCAACCACCTCTTTTTGATCAAAGTCTTTAAAGACTGAAGCACATGATTGACAAGAGAGCCCAGTGGTGAGATTCATTGAAAGCAGGACAAGACATGTTGTAGATGGATGCATAGATAGGTATACATACCGGGAAGCAGTGATGGTCCAACAGGGTCATTCTGGTATGGCAAGCCTCCATGCTTCTCGTAGACTTTGAGGTTGGCATCGTGCAATTTCTTTCGAGGATCCTTGGCAGCCGCTTCCGGGTCCATAAAGTCGTAGCTACTGAGGAGAGCAGGGCGGCCTTCGGCCACAACCAGTTCGATGTTATCGTGGTAATGAGGATGGGAGAGTAGGTTGACTGAGTACACATGGTCGTTGTGAGCCGGATAGCCCTGCCAAAAGACGGCGTATGGTCCAGTCTCATTGGTGACCATATAGGGAGGCTTCTTGTCCATGTTGATAATTGCCGAGGGGATGGTGACGGACTCATTCCTTGCCTGATCCAGGGAGATGCCATTCATAGCCGCCTGTGCCTCAGGCAACCAGTCACGGTTCTCTTCGACATAATGCTTCCATTCCTCTTTCTGGTCAGTTGTGACAATGTGCATAAGGCCCAAGGACATCGTATCCGACAGGAGGGCAGCCTTTTCCGCCTGGTAGTGAAAGCTGCGTCCGGGAAGCATGACAAAGGGCCACGAGGGATATACTTGGGTTTGTCCCTGGTGAGTGTACTGCAAACAAAAGTCTTCAAGGATGCCAATACGCTGAAGAAAGTTACGACCAATCCTGTCCACCATCTTGTCGGCCATGACTTCAAAGTCTTGTTGGAAACTTTCCGTTTCACCATTCTCAATGAGAAAGAAGACAAACAAACAGATTGCCAACGCCACACATACCAAAAGCGTCACTACAACCCACTTGAGATGCCACACAGCACGGTCTTCATCGTGAGCCAGGTTCGGCATGGCCTTGTCGTTGCCATGGACGGCAGTCTCGGCCAGGTCCTTTCCCGACGTCATTGACTCCTCTTCAAACTCCTCTAGGTTCACATTGGCCATCTTGGCCATTACAATCGAAGGACTCTCAAACTCAAGCTCAAGCTCGTTACTGTTTTTCTTCTGGAGCACCATTGTTGTCACCTGATGCAAACCCTTTTTACTCTTTTCTTTGGTTTGACGGCTTGCTAGTTTGCTAGCAAGTACGAGTAGCTAGATAGATAGCTTGATGCTTTGGGTGCAAAAAGTTGTGACCAGAGACTCTGCTCGACGCTCGACTCTCTAGCCGACTGGACGCAGGTGTCGTGCAGTTTCACAAGAAGACACGAAGACTCGCTTTGCTTGAGCCTGGGCCTCGCTGGCTCCGTAGATATTCCACCTATCCTAAACCCCAGTTTGTATGAGTGGAGTCCACGGAAACAAAAACTGCAATGCCGTACCTGAGCAGGGAGCAGTAGATATAGGAACCGTGCCAGTAGTATGATAAAACTTACTTGATAACTGCGCCGTGCAGTATCCATTATGGTGCCCCCAGGACCCAAGACCAAAATGTTCAATGGAAGGTTTAAAGATTACATGTAGATGGTCAAAAGCGCAAACGCGAGTATTAATACAGTACTCTGAGCTCTGAGCCCTTTGAGGTGTCAGTCATTGGGGTACTACCTGTATGTACCAGTATGCAGAGTAGCTCTGGCTAGCTAGTAGCTAGTAGCCAGCTACGAGTCGAGTCCAAGCAGAGCGGCTGCTTCCACAGCATCAGGACCTCATCGACGACTATCTACTGGTAGCTACCACCGGAAGAGCTACTAGTACCGGTACGAGTAGCCTCGTCTTCACACTTACTTCACACACGATTGAAGAGGCGACAACTAGGTACTAGTACGAAGGACGAAATGAACCGGTTGCTTAACTCTTGCTGACACTTCTGTGATGTGCCAGGTGAGGGCTGCCAATAACTCTCGGTGTTGTTGTTGTGTTGTTGTGCCTGTGCCGTTTGGTAGCTGGAAGATGGGATTTATGTGCCCCAAATCTGAATGACCGGGAATCTTCTTCTTTTTTGTCTCTCTCCCCCCCCCATTAACCCCCCAAATCAAGTCTCACAGCCTTCCAAAAACTCCAACGGCTGGGCCAACGTCTTTGAAGATCCTTCTTCCTTTCTTCATCGCAAACGAGTTGAGGGTGCCGTAGCTACAAGATATCTTGTTCTTCTGCCTGTCTTGACGATGATTGTTCGAAGCGTACAAGACATTATTGGAACTGACCGTGATATCCGTGGTGACAGTTGGGCCAGTCGACGGTTGTTGGTGGCCAAGGATAGTGTTCCGTTCAGTTTGAATGAAACGACTGTGGAGGCAGGCACGGAACTGCAGCTATGGTACAAACATCACATTGAATCCAATTATGTAGTGGAAGGTGAAGGTAGTGTGAAAAATCTGGATAGCGGCGAAAGCTTTCCGTTAAAGCCAGGAACTTGCTACACTCTGGACCAACACGATCGCCATATCGTCAAGGCAACCACTCGATTGAAATTCGTGTGTGTCTTCCATCCGCCATTGACCGGTCAAGAGAAACACGATGAGGATGGTTCCTACTTGCCTGCGACAGAACATGAGGGAGAATCGTCCTAGGTGCCTACTATAGCTAGAGTGGAAAGAACCATTCAACATAGTTGAAGCTGATCTTGGATTTTGGAAGCTGCAAGCATTACATGAATTCTGAGATAAACACTAGCTACAGACCACGCTAATAGAGATCACAAGGGAATGGAAACCCAATGTTTGACGCACTTGACAATATGCGGTACAGTACTATTAATAATAGTAGTACGATGTTGGTGCGCCCAAAGCACCTCTTCTTTAGAATGAGTTATGGCCTGGATCACCGGTACCATACCGTAACAGCATCCAACTGGGCGTGCTCTAAAACATCTTGTCCATCTCGTTGAGCTATTGGTACAAGCGGAAGCACAAGTTGTACGTAGAGTACGGTAACGTTAAAAATGAGTTTGTGGAGGCTTGAAACTACCGGTACCAGTGCCTCCAACCATACTCTGTGGGGAACTTTATGGCTGCCGGTACCTTATTGGCAATCTTTCTAGCGTGCTATACTCTCTAGCTAATGACACATTGGAGAAAGAGACGTGGAGAGGGTGGGGAGAGGTTTGAAGCCATTGCTATAGCACCTTGAGGCTTTACTTGAGCCAGAAGAGGAAGGAATGCCTCTTGGTGCCGTTACAGATAAGCAGCTCAGTTGGTTTATCAAAAGATCCAAGATCTTTTAATTAAGGGGGGTTTAGAGTAGGGAAAATTATCTACGGAAGCCAGCCGGGGCCAGGCTTAAGCAAAGAACAGTCGAAATTCAGGACTAGGTTCTGTGGGATCAGGGGCAAGAAATGGAGGACCATTATGGGGGGCAAAGGGTTTGGCTTTGCGGGATCCACGGAGACATAAATGGGTAGATCTTTTAGTGGATCAGGCCACACAATCATTAACTCTCCTTCTTTCCACTAATACAAACACCTTTATTAGCATCTGTTTATCGAAACCAAGATGCGCCCTTTCCATGCCTGGAGTCTCGTTCTGGTGACTTGTATTATTAGTATGTACATGTTTTCCCTTGCTGGTGCCACGGATGCTAGTACCGGTACTACAGATGATAGTTCAGTGGTTCCCACTGCAACGCTGTCGAATGGTCTGGTGATTCCTTTGGTCGGTTTGGGCTGTGCCAGTGGTGTTCGCAAATCCCACGTCTTGTCGGCGCTGGAAGCGGGGTATCGGTATTTGGATACGGCCCAAGCGTATCAATGGGGGTATCACGAACGCGATGTGGCGGCCGCCATTGCCGAGTCTCCTTTTGTGACGAGACAAGAAATCTTTGTGGTGACCAAAATACATCCCGAAAATTTGGGTGTCACATCAACTCGTCGTGCCATTGAAGGATCGTTGCAGCAAGCTGGTTTTGGAGGATATTTGGATGGCATTTTGATTCACAAACCCCGCTGTTGGCCGGGAGCGTGTTCGAAAGACCCGGAAGGCACGTGGCAAGAGAGTTGGAAAGTCTTGGAAGAATACTACGATAAAGGACTCGTCAAGGCCATTGGCATTTGCGATGTCGACAATGAACGCATGTTGGACGAACTCATGCAACAACGCATTCCACCTCATATTATTCAAAATTGGTTTGATCCATTCCATCAAACACACGACATTCGTCAAGCCATTCAAGCCAAGGGAATTCTCTTTCAAGCTTACTCGACACTCGGGACGCAATGGAAACATTTTCGAGGACTCGATCAAAATCCCGTCTTGACGTCCACCACACTTACCGACATGGCACATCGTCATGGGGTGCCTGGACCTGCTCAGGTTGTGATCCAGTGGGCTGTCAACAAGTACGGAATCTCCGTCTTGCCCGCGTCTACCAATCCTCAACGACAAGCCGACAATTTGCACGCATCGTTTTCCTTTGTTCCAATGAACGAACAAGACTTTGAAGTGCTGGATCAAATGGACGGTACGGCACCGGCACCCTCCCGGCCCGATCCCAATCAAGTTGCCATGACCTTTACTACAACTACACGACGACAAGAAGAAGAAGTAGTACAGGCGTTTTGGGTGGACGAAGACGGCCAGGAAGTTCCCGTGGGGACTATCGAAGCCAATCGAGAATTGAACATGAACTCCTATCATGGACATGCCTTTGTTTTTCGCTCTTCGGCGGGAAAGCTTTTGTTAGAGCATACCGTTTCCAGGAATGGAGGCAGAAAACAGACGGTAGTGGTAGGTGATGGAGACAACGATGAGGAGGAATTGTAATATTTCCATTCTCCATTCTCTAGAAATGATAATGGTGCCATTGGACAGTGTGGTTGTCTCTCTACTAGCTGTAGCCGCGAGAAAGGGATGTCAACGTCATTTGCCCAACAGCGAAAGAGGAAGAAGAAACCAACAAGACGGGTGTTTTCGTTCACATCAAGTGAAGCAACCTTGCCCGCGCAAGAAACAAAAAGGGAGAGATTGATTCTCTTGGTCAGAGGTCTGAAAGCTCCCAAACCTCCTGGGCAGCATTTGGCTCTTGAGGAACCTAAACTTCTTTTAGTATAGCTGGTAGAGTCTCTTGTAGTTCCTTGATGGATGGTTAGCTATTGCAAGAAACACCACACTAGAGTGCTACCGTGGAACCTAGCTAGTAGAAACTATAGATGCTGTCAAACAGTAACGGCGTTCGATATCGCCAGCTAGCAAACAGCCCAATGGCAGGACGGGACTACCTGCTGGTACGGACCTGGATAGCGAAAAATCGAAGGATGGTTGTTGCTCCAGCATAATTGTCCAATATTTCATGAGGCTCTATCTATCAACATGTAGCTAGCTACCAGACTTCTCAAGAACCAAAAAGGATACATGGTAGCAAACAGGTTCATGCGTTGACTCTTTGGAAGGGATAGTCTTCCGAGTGGCATCCAATGCTATCGTAGATGTTGAGATGCCTATGATGACATGGGTACGGTACCTGGCGAAATAGTGAATGAGAGAATGGGTACCGATCTTTGGACAAACGACCTGGGCCATGTTGGCAATGATCCAGTGGCTGCAGTAGCTAGACTAGCTAGACTTTGGAAACGCAACCATTTGAGATGGCTCTTGATGGTATCATTGAGTCGAGTCGAGTCCATGTATGTGTGTTCTACCAAACTCTGAGCTGCACCATCTAGCTAGCTGCTACGTAGCTGGCTCCCCACGGAGCTTGCCTTTTCCGTGGCCGAGGCTCACTGGGTAGCACTTCCAAACAAGCCAAGATTAGGGTCTCCTTCAGCCTCCTATAGTCTATAGACAGACAGCAAACCTATGATCGATTTTAGTTCATATCACATCATGAACAACAAAACCCTGGAGCTCCAAAGGATACAAGCTACAGTAGACTAGTATCTCTAAAACAGAACCTATTGTGTCTTACATACAGGACCTTCTTCAAAAGGAAGAGAAGCAACAAGCGACCAAACAAAAAGTTGAACACCGACCATCAGCGGTGAAAATGTGAGACGCCTACTCCCACCGCAAAAGCGAGGCAGACCCGGAAAGATGGTTTGTTAGAGCTCTGGAGATGAGGCGCCACGAGGCAAATAATATTATGTTGGGGTTAATAATGTATAAACAGGGTATAAATATACCTCATCTACTTCTTGTACAAATTCAAAAATACCGTCGTCACAGGATTCGGTTTCAAAGGCCATTTTGCCTGCCAGGTTTGCTGTTGGCATTGCAGGTGACTCTTGGCGCTCACAATTTCGCTGGCTCCTTGGTGGACTGCCAGAGGGAAAACGAGAATCACTTCCTGGATTGTCGACGACGGTTTGGTTGTGGAAAAACAGAGGATTGGAAGTACTGTACTGTAGTAGTTGTCGAGAGGTTTATCTAGTCTATCTTGACGTTTGATAGATAGATTGGTCTCATATCATAATAAGAAGTGTGAAGTTGAATCAATCGCATCCTTTTGCTGCATAATAAGAATTATGAATACTGTACCTGACAAGATGGCGGCTACCTGTGTTGCTGGATCCAAGTACAAGAGGCGTCCTCCTTGCTACTTTAAAACTGGCAAGTTGGAGTGGGGCTACCATGGTGTGTTGGGAATGTCCTGCTTGATTCTGAACGGGGTGTCTTTGTACAGCCTCAATCCTATCCTTATCCTTCTCTTCCAAGTGATGATTCACTTGCAATGTCGCGATGCCTACCAAATGATTTCCTTATCTCCCACCTTGACTCCCATCTTTGACATTCATTGGCCGTGGGGAGGTCCTCCCACCAAAATTGCTGCCGATCATCAGCCTGCCTTCAAATTGACCATTGATATACTGCACTATGTCACGGCACGAGTGGTGGCACTGTGTCTATATCCCTGGGCGGCCAATTCCATTGCCTTTTGGAGTTTGTGTGCCATTCAACTGTGGCGTTGCTGGAGATTGAATCCCTTGCACGTATACCCGGCCAAAAAGTTCATTACGCACTTGCAACCATGGTTGCTACTGGTACCCGTGGGGATGGGAGTCTTTTTGGACACCATGCAAGTTGTGATTGGAAGAATTAGTGAAAGACAACAAGATCTAATGGGCTTGACTACCCTGCTGCAGGTTCAAGGACTGTGTCTGGGAATTGCCTTTCTCTTTACCATGGCCTTTCGCAAATACATCAGTATGGTCTTTCTGTTTTGTGCCTCTGTGGCCATTATTTGGGGGATCAATGTTTACGTATGGAGGATGCTCTCCGATACCGCTTCCGATGTGCTCCACATTTACCAACAGTACAACAACCAAAATGATAACACCATTGATAACAGCGAGGATACGGATGCCTACCAAACCATCCAAGATGTCATTCACGACAACATTTCCAAAGTGGTCGAGGTTATCACTGGTGTTACTTCGAATAGTGGATTGGAAGAACAACATATGCAACCAGTTGCTTCGCAGCCTTCAGACTTGTATGATCAATCAGAACTCTAAGAGTCTACTACAGTACTTACTGATTGGCAAAACAAACAGCAGGAGGATTTTCAAACGCTCTTGTTTGTAAAGGAGACAACAGATTGCATAAAATGCTTAAGTTAACCAGGAGAATGAGCATTCCACACACATGTCTGTAGTCAATTATTAGGTACCTGTACCAATAGAAGGAAGCTCCAACCCTCGGTAGAAGATAGAAAGAATCGGATACACTACATGTAGCTTGCTAGATGGGAAACCAGAGCTCTGATGTCTCCCGCGTCTTGATCCATTTCCAGAGCTTCAAAGTACTGTACTGCATGTCCCTGAAGAAAGGGCAGCTGGTGGACTGGCTATTACATGAACATGACATTGTGTAGTACTTGTAGCGGTGCAACATGGTGATGGGCAACCAGCTTCCGGTGCTGTGCAATGCACGTGTCCGAACAGACATTCGTCTTCTTGTGCGAGAAATTTTGATGACGAGCCCGTGGTTGTTTTCCACGCCACGGTCTCATAGATCGTGGTTTCTCTCATGACTGGGGACAGCTCTGGGGACTAGGGCAAGAAGAAGATCCAACAGACTGTCACTCGACTCACTCGGACTGAACCGCGAAGCACCAACAAAACTCTTCTCGCCACAACTCTGTCCCCATCCTCATCTTAGCTCTCTCTAATCCATATATAACTCACAGATCACAATTCTCGCCACAACCGATCGAGGCTTCTAGCTAGACTAGAGTAATTGAGCGCAAACAATAAAAGACGAATGACAACACCGAATTACCCCTTGACAAGGTCCTCTCCAGCTTTCTGACTGATGATAGACTGAAGGATGTGACGCTGGTGGCAAGTGATAGCGAAAAAGTGCGAACAAACCTTTTTGTCTTGTCAGCAAGATCACCCGTCTTTCGTAGCATGTTTCTGGGCAAGTTTTGGAGGCGACCAAGCCTGAGGTCAAAGTTGGTTTTCCTGGAAGCATCATGCGGGAAATAGTGGAATATAGTCTATTCATACAGACATGTGTGATAGTCTCGGAGGGAAGAAGAAAAGAAAGGCCTGTGAGAATAACGAGACAGATGAGTGGAATGCAACCAAGGAGCGAATCCAAAAACTGTTGGGTCTTGTGGGGGCTGCTCGCTACTACAACTTGCCTAGCCTGGTGATGAATATCCAGAAGACGCTCTCTGAATGCTGCGACATTATCCCTTCGTTATCACTTGTGGTCATGGATGCATGCCAAAAAGAAGGGCCCTCACTGCCGTCAGAGTTCAAAGAGCTTGCTTGGTCTTATGTTCGGACCAAACATGGTGCCCTCAAAGACCCAAAGTCCATTGCATGTGTGGATGCAGATTTGTTGGAAGAAATCCTGAAAGATGAAAAGATGGAATTGGATGAATATCATCTTTTTGATTTTCTAAACCATTGGGTTCAATTAGATCCAACAAACGATCGAAAATCAATTGCCAAGGACCTTGCAGGCAACCTCCATCTGGAGAAAGTAAGTCCTGTTCATCTATCCACTTCAGTTGCCTCATCTGGATTGTTCCTGCCTGACCAGATCAATGAAACTTACAAGAAGCAAGCCCTGGCAACACAGCAGTATAACGCACTGTCCTTCCAAAGATCTCGGAAATCCTTTGTCTGGAGAAAATCTCTGACAGCAAGGTTTGGATCAAATTCCAAGAACATCATAGACACACTAGACTGTCATCCAATCAAGGAAGGTATCCATGAATGGGCAGTGCAGGTTTTGGACAAGTTCAGCTATATGCGTCCCACTGCTATACTTGGGATTGTTTGCTCGGAAACATTCATTGACAACGGATCAAGGCTTGGTAGCCAAAAGGGAAGCTGGGGAGTTGAGGACTCTGGTTGTGGATACAGTGAGGGTGAAATAGTACAGGGATCTTCAAATCCAAGCGAAATACAAAAGGGGAAAGAGGTAATACTCACACTCAATCTGAGCCACAATGATGAGCAAAACGGCACATTGAGTGTTCGCTACATCGTTCCAACATATTACGGCGCTCCAAAACATAATTTTGTTCACCTCAGACTTTGCACAAATCTTCGAGAGCATTTGAAGTCCCACCCTGGGGGGTTTCTTCCTGCAGTTTCGGCTTGCAGTGGTGCATGCATGAAGTTTTTGCGAATGAGAAAACTTGAAGAAAAAATCTGATTCCAGAAAACATCTTGTGACATCTCCATAATCATACGGTTCCTGGTACTGGAAATCAAAGGAGCGGCACTTCGGCTGGCACGACAAAGAATTAAATTCCACATGGCCCGCTTTGTTCATTACGGTAGAAAAGTCGTTTGACTTGGGCTTCTGTGTCGTCATTGCTCCAGCCAGTTCGAGTCGAGTTCAGCACTCGAGTTGCTGAAGTATTCCACGTATCGGGCTCACGTTGCCATTGAGGCTGCTTCGGATCCAGTATACGAGCATCACGCCCATACACTTCGCTGGTTCTTGCAGATACTAGCTAGCTGGATGGGGCGGCAAGGTCAATGTTTCGAGTGATTACTTCCCTCCTCTGGCTACCCGTACCAGTACCGTAGACCCCGCCTTCCTGGTTTCTCGAAGGAACTTGAGTGATTTATTGCAGCTTAGCTAGCTAGCTTTGGGAGTTAGAATCGAGGACACAAAGGGTCCTCATGCACCCATCGAGATGGGATAGCTGTCCGGCAGTTTATCTTCCCCAATCGCCACAATTCACGTCTGATGATGGATACCTGGTACCCGATTACACAAAAGCAGAGATACAAGTCGAGAGCAGCACAATCATTTATCAGTCAGCTAGCTAGGGCATCAATAAGATGAATCCCTCTACTGCTGGCACCACTCCATCCAACGGCAACAATGATGTCCGTACCATCCGAGTGATTTTGCTGCGTCATGGGGAGAGGGAAGACGAGGCAGAAGACTACGATAAACACCAACGATCGCGTCGTGATCGAATAGATCCCTTCCTGACAGCCTTTGGACACCGTCAGGCGTTGAATGCGTGGAAGCAAATTCTTCGTGCTCTACAAGAGGTATCTGATGATGATACTAAACCCATGCTATTGGCCACCAGTCCTCTGCGACGATGCATTGGAACTGCCATGATGGTGGCTGCCGCACAAGCTCAAACAGAATCAACTCTCCAGTTTGTGCTGCCGTCTCAGCAAGCTACCGGTACCCAAGATGCTAAAAATCCAATCCCGCTGTTGGTCATGAATGGATTGGGAGATTGTGCGGCTCAGATGCAGCACATGGGTGGCATTGGAAAAGTGATCCAGGCGGGATGGTTGGATTGTGCGGCGTCGCCCTCCAATGATTGCAACAGCAACAACGATACCCCTATCAAGACCTGTCTGACGCGAATGGCTAAAGCGGCCGCCACGGTAGCCCAAGCGGAAGCGGTCAAGGACCAATCCAAGCAGAACCACGACGAAATCCACACCTCGGTACCATTGCAATTCTGGAGAGAATCCACGTATTATACCAAGGCACGCACCAAGCCACTCCAAGGTTTGGCGCCTCTCACCCACCCAAAGTCTCTGGCAGAGCATGCCGCCACCACCATCGGTGCTAGTGCCAATCCATCCACAGACGACCCCACGACGATGCAGAGGAATGCACCGTACTTCGATGAACGCTGTGCTCAAGCCCTCGAACGAGCCGTGTGGCGGACGGTGCATTCCGGTTTGGACACGTGCGTCTTGGTCACACATCGAGAAGCCATTCGCTTTGTCGAAGGGTATTGGGCATCCCAGTCACAACAACAAGTGGGACACTGTGGCGCCAAGCATCGCAATATTTCACGTCAAAACATGTCCGCCACCAAACTATACTGTTGTGTGGGTATTTACAGTGTCTCGGTGGACATGACAACTCATCGAGTGTTGGGGTGGCAAGCCAAAGGCGTCGTGCCCTATCAAACATTGCAATCATCTCATTTGCAGCTGTGATGTATGTGACAAAGGAAGAATGAAAGGAAGAAAGCAAGCTTGAGACGTGACACGAAATCAAGCCATCAAGTGTGAGCTGGCTAGAAGGAGGTTTCAATGGAGCCGAAGTTGAATACAAAAACCATGATGCATGCTCAAGTCAAAGTAATTGCCAAGCTCAAACAGAAGCTTTCAAGAGTGGCGGGGAGAAAAGAAATGTGAATGGTACACTGATAGTTTCTCAGTCAAGAGCTGGTGGCTGTGGTACCGGCGAGTGTGACAGCTTCGGCAACTGCGGAACTACGCACATGTCCATTCAGCGGTGGTATGCGTGGATTTAGCAAGATGTTTTAGTTTGGCTCTCCCCGTGAATAGGTTTCTAAGGATTCAACCTTTCAACTACAGTAATCATAGCTCATCTCTCTCGCGCCATTTTGTGAAGAAGCCTTGGCATCTTGAGAATGTGAAGGCATCTCTCTTGTATCTAGCCACAAACAACACGTTATCTTTGCGCTACTTCTAGAGCCACTATTACCACGAGGTTTGGGCATGAAGTTGTGGACATTGGACTATCGCAACCAATTCACAGAAGTTGCACAACGGTACTTTTTGCAAAATTTCTTTCTACACCTGCGGTCCTTTGGGATGGTTGCGAGACCAATCAAGCAAAGAACTAAACCAAGCAAGAAGACACTTGGCAATGGACAACGAGAAACAAACAAAAAAGAGAATGGCAGGCAAATAAATACAAAGTTATTTGTAAATTATTGCTGATTACACAAGACGCGCTTGGTTGGTTGAGACTCTGCCTCCGCTGGAACCACCGACATCTACCCCTGTCCTTTGGTTGATCGTGCTGAAGCCTGAATGAATAGCCACAAACCTGCTTTCTCCTATACCTTGCAACGTCAGGATCTGCCATGATCTATTCCAGCCATAGACAACAGCATATCCAGTGGCATCATCGCCACCGTAGACTGGTATCACAACACAGGAGACCGACGCGACGATGGCGCAGGTAGCAGGTTACTATGGTGGCGTGGGAGTGCAACCGTGACTCGACGAGAAGAAAGCATGAGCCCGATCACACTCGGAGCTCGCAATGCAAGACGTCCGTCAGCTCTCGAGGCTACGATCGGCTTGTTCGAAAAGTTCACAAAACCACAGTACCACAAACAATAATAACGAACACAACCTCTATCCAACAAAACAACTCAAAATTCTCTTCAAGAAGATTACTCTCACTCTATTGGCCATTGTCACGCCATGCAACTCGCTTGCTGCAGCACAAACTCAAGAAGGCCAGGAGGGTCAATCCCCCGCGAGTGAACCATTCACCTGCGAAGCCGCCAATGAATGCAGAGATTGTGCAAGCAATGGATGTACCTGGACCAAAGGAGCCTGTCAAGATCACTGTGAGGACATGTTTGATCTGAGATGCTACAGCACTGAGACCCACCCCTTTTGGGCAAACATTATCGACTACATGTGTGAAGTTGCAGACAAGGATGAAGAGAACTGGGCAACCTGTGGTTCAAAGCAGGACTGTGCCACATGTACCTACACAATGATACATGAAGCTGTAGATGAGGGGTATGAGCATCCCTGCTACTGGCACCTCGAGGACCTTGCTGGTACTGGTAGTTGCAAACCAACATCAGTTGATGAAGTTGGAGGGACCATTGGAGCAGACACGTGCTTGGAACGGTGTTTCTTGGGAGGCACTTATAGCTGTGCTTCGTGCCTGGATATGGGATGCAGTTGGACCGGCGACCTTTGCATTCCTTCCTGCAATTCAGATTATTTGGATGATATCAACTGCTACAGCCAAAGCTCTCACGACAACTTACAAGAAGGCAATGGCACAATGATTGACAAAATTTGTACTCTGGCAGAGGTTGAATATGGAGACCGCAATGTGTGCTCAGTCCAAACTGATTGCCACGAATGCTTGGAAACTTACAAGCATGGTGGGGACACGTGTCAGTGGTACACTGATGATGTCACAGGCTGGGGCTGGTGTGGCACAGGTGAATGCGATAGCTTTGGCAACTGTGGAACCACCACTTGCCAGCATGGTGGTGTACGTGGATCCAGCAAAACGCCTTAGGTTGTGTGTCGCCTAGAGTGCACACATCAGATAGATATTAGAAGATACCTATCTGCCAACTTAGATATTAGCTCCGTTTCTAAACTGCGAACAACTGTGTACAGCCGTAGTACAAACCGATGCTTCGTCCCTATCACTAGTACCGTACCACAGTCACCACAGTCACCACAGTCACCACAGTCACCACAGTCACCACAGTCACCACAGTCACCACACGAACGTGTGTACATTGGACTAGCCAGCAGACGAAGCGTCTGATTCAGACGCAGAGAAAGATGAGAATTCAAACTCCAGGAACAGAACATGTCTGCAAAGAAGCGAGGAGTGCATGGGAACATTGGGTGGCGAGCAAAGAAGATGCTGGTCAGAAGGAAGAACTTTTGGGCGGACGAAGAAGATGCAGCTGTGGAGGACAATGGGGAGCTCTGGCGGCTGAGGGCATCCTACGGCGGATGATGCAAAGAAAGAAAATGACGGAGGACGGAGCTCTGGTGGCGATGAGGGCACCGAAGCTGCCAAGGGCATGGAAGAGTTGGCTAGGGCGTCGGCCTCTGATGACGCATCACCCGCGAGAGGGTGAAGTGACACATTGAAAAGAGAAAGAAGGTAAGATTTGAGACATGCAAGTGACACTTGGATGGCTCCTTGGATGGCAGCTAGCTAGGCCGTCCACAGACTTTAATTAAGTGACTAAGCTAGGTGGGAACAAAGCGATCAAGGTCGATTGCAAAGCTTTCCGACCTTGCCTTCGAGAACGGGAAAAGAGCCGCCCTGGTTCGGACCGATGAACCCAGAGGTATGGAGAGGCTAGGAGATGAAACGTAGGCTAAGAATGGGAGCGGCGGGGACTTGGAAGAGCCAAACGATGGGTTCTTGGAAAGGAAAAGATTAGGAATGAAGAAGAGAAAAGCACGAGAGCGAGAGGACGAATCGGCAAACCAGAAGAACAGTAACCCGACGTAGGCCGAACGGCGTCCCGGCGACCTCATTTTAAAATGACAAAAGGAGAACAACAAGCAAAGGTTAGAAAGACTTGTTACAATAATAACAGACAAAGAAGTGAAGACTGTTTGACTGTTGGGTGCCATATTTCCGGTGAAGAGTGACCAGACGGACTCATGAAATGGCCGTCCAATCACTCTCCTAACAAAGGCGCGAAGCAGCTGCAAGCAGCACCGGAAAATGGCACCATTGTCGAGACGTTGCTACCGGTACGCAGAATGGGAACTGACCTTGTGTGGATTCAGACGGGAACACCAACGGCCAAAGCAAACACCATTGTCAAGATCTACGTTGGGAACTAAAGGAGATGAGGCGGCAACGGTCGAGGACCGTGAAGCAATGACACAAAAGACAGGAACACATGGACTTACCTTGAGAGGAACCACCGCAAGACGACTGAGTCACGAACGGCCAAAACATCATTGTCAACCGCATGACAAAAGGAGGAAAGAAGGAAGGTTAGAAGACATGTTGCAATATCAAATGAAGAAATGAAAGGCTGGTTCCGGCAGAGAGCAAATGGAACGGACTCATGAAATGGCCGCCCACTCACTCTCCTAACAAGGCTCGAAGCAGCCCACGAAGGAGCACCGGAAAATGGCACCCAATGAGACATTTTGAGAAGAATGTGAACTGACCTTGTTTGTTGAAGATGAGGAACCGACCGTACGAACCAACCAACCCACTGGAACCACCGCAAGACAACACCATTGCCGGCGAAGAGTGAACAGTGGGCCCCACAGGGGAAGCCCAATCACTCTCCTGCAAGCAGCACCGGCAAAGGTGTCATCGTCATGCATTTGGAAGAAGAAGAAGTGAGTTGTGTTGTGTTGTGCTGAGAGCGAAAAAGCTTGTTGCCTTGCGTTTCATCAATATTAATTCGTTTCATTTCAGCGACGACTTTTTGGCAAGACCAACTCAAAATCGAAAGAGGTGTCAACATCAAAAAAGATCAAATCAAAATGGAGTTCGTCATCATGTTGCCGTTTTATTTTATTTTCAAACTGAAACGACGTCGGAAAAGGTACGGAACGATCGAGTGGTGGTTGATGTGATACCCTTCCACGGATGTCTGGATAATGGACAAGGGGTATATCAGCCATCGTGGAAGAAGAAAGCTTACCGTATGGCAGGCTACCGCAGCAGTTGGAGGAGATCACCTTGGCTTGGGTAACAGGTCAAGGATGTTGACGAAGAAGACCAGACCAGAGGAGTGGCGGTGCCTTGCTGTCCACGATGAGCGAAGATACTGATAGGTACACAAAATGGTCAAGGTTGTTGTCCGTCGCATGCCTGTATCAACAAGATAGAAAGACAACAAGCAACAAGTAGAAAATAACTCAACTGACGTCAGTTGGGTGTCACACTGTCAACCCACGGTCCACACCCCGACTACAGTGTGACGTCATCCAAAGAGAGATAGTCGCAAGCCTTACTAGCTAGTATGCATTAGTCTACATTCTGGTAGTAAGTTACGGTACTGTATTCTGTGTTGATTCTGACTCTGACGTGGTGACTGTCAACAGTTTTGGCTCTGCGACTGCGAACGATAGAAGGTGCATTGGCAATCCTGGCAATGGCAACATCTACAGTGCTAGACTGACTAGCTATAGTTGTACCGGTACTTGACAGCACAAGACCTGCCATAAGCAATATAAGCCTCGCGTATCCTCGCATTCTTTCTCGTGTCTTCTGTGGCAATCCCTGAAGCCCACGTCAAGCTTGGAGGTATACGAGCTACCGGACTCAGTCGGTCGGTTCGTTAGGCTTGGTTCTAAGCTACACGAAGATATACCGTATCAGGCATCGTATGAGCTAGTGGCAATCACAGGTGGAGTGTGCGGAGGCAAGCTTGTTGACCAATCAATCCATTCTTGAAAGTGACGGTAGCTGGCGGGTGTGTTGTGAGCTACTAGTAGAGTGGGCTCTGATTGGCAAAGGGTTGCTGTGCAGTTTGGACAACTTCCATTTCTACAGCTGCTGTACTGTGCACAGCTCAGCAGCAGAGCAGGAAGGCTTTGATTTGATTTTGTATGGCCAAGAGTGCAAGAGTACCGGAAATTGTCCCCTTGCTCCAAGAGCCAGAACCAATTAAGACAAGACGGTGCTATAGGTATGATGACTCGCCTTTCCACACTTACTACATGCATTGCAAAACCACCCACAAGGACACTTGCAGGCAACAATACTTGGAGATTATCGCATCATGGACTAGCAGTTGTAGCACTCTTGATGATTTCTCCATGGAGCAGTCAAGGCATTTCATTCCTGGACCCTCGCGATGTCCGGAACACTGCCATCAACATCACCCGTACCGGAGTACTCGATCAGATTGCATCCTGTATTGATCCACAATCCAATGCGACAACGTCATGCACCAACGCCAACGCCAACAGCAGCATCGAAACACTCTACTATTGTCACATTGCCAATTTTTTGGCGTTTTCGCTTCTATTGCCGTCGGGACGGATACCATTTCGGAACACTGCTCCTCCCATGACAGCTGCCGTCTTGTTGGCATTGGACATGCTCAATACAGGAGATGGAAGCGTCATTCAAGAACTCGAGGGATTGAATCATCACTGTCCCATTCGATTCACCGCCGAGTTTTTGGATACCTCATTGTCCCAATCCGCCACGGTCCAGCAAACCAATCAATTATTGAATCGACAGACGGAACATGATCAAGTCGAAGTCTGCGCGTTTATTGGAGCGGCACGATCGGCCGTTTCCATTCCCATGGCCATTTTGACAGGGCTGGCCAATCGCGTACAATTGAGTTATGTGAGCACATCCACCGTCTTGGATGATACACAACAATTCCCACTCTTTGGACGATTGGTTCCCTCCGACGAAGGAGTGGCATTGCCGTATCTGCAGTTTTTGCGCGCTCGAGGCGTCCGACATTTGGGGGTCGTCCATTGGAACGATGACTACGGGAATGCATATGCGCGCGCAATGTTGAAAACGGCGTCCACGTATTTTCCCGAAATGACGATTCTGTCGGTGGACATTCCTCGTCTGGGGTCTCCGGCAGAATATCAAGAAGCCGTGTTGGCGCTTAAGGAGTCACAGTTTCGGTGGTTTTTTGGAGTCTTTGGCGGGGACTCGGATTACGTCAACCTGATGGAACAGGCGGCAATGGCGGGGATTGCTGGAACCGGTCGTCATGTTTGGATATTTAGTGATTCCTTGGGGACAAGTGTGATTCCCTCTCTGGAAGTCGAACGAAATTCTCCCCTGGCACGAGTCTCGCAGGGAGTTGGAATGGTATGGGCTCAGGGAGGTCGACCTGGGATGACAGTATTTGACAAATTCTACGCCAAGTGGAGAGCCATGGTCGAGAACCCGGAAAATCTAGCATTGGTGGCTGCTCAGCAACCACTCTATGCCGACGAACCCGAATACACGGGTCATGATATTGACGAGAGCATGTTTGACGAGGATACGAGTCGACCGGCATCCGTGGTATTTGATGAGATTATCTTGTTGGGTTTGTCCGCCTGTCGTACTCTGGCAATGGGCCAAGAGGTCGACGGAAAGGCCATGTTTGAAACATTGCTACAAATATCGTTTCAAGGTGCTACGGGCAACGTCACTGTGGACCCAAAGACCGGAACGAGACTGCCAGCAACAGCATTCTTCCGCATGGATAACTTTGTTCAGGAACCAATCAACGAAACGCATGTAACGTTTGGGATGCGGTTGAGCGAAGCGTTCATTGACGGCCAATGGGTCGAAGAGGAACCATTTGTGTTCAACGATGGAACTACGACCACACCCTCGGATCTGCCTGCCGTGGAAATCAACTATAACCATATCCATACGGGGATCCGTGCCGCCGGACTAACAATGGCAACTGTCGTGCTGGGACTCTCAGTTGCTCTGGCGGGCTGGACAATCTACAACAGGAAACGACATGTCATTCGTGCATCACAGCCGATTTTTCTGACAATCTTGTGCACTGGTACCTTTGTCATGGGATCCACAATCATCCCCTTGAGCATTGATGATGCTCGCACAAGTCCTGAAGGTTGCAGCACGGCGTGCATGTCAGTCCCTTGGCTATTTTGCAGCGGATGGGCGCTAGTATTTGCGGCCATCTTTGCCAAGATATGGCGTATCAATCGACTTTTCAACAATCCAAGCATCAAACGAGTCAAAGTTACCGCCATGGACGTGATGTATCCTTTGATTGGTCTCATGATTTTGAATTTTATTGTGCTGACCTCATGGAACATTGTCTCGCCCTTGGTCTGGGAAAGACAAGTATCGTCTGTGGACGTCTTTGGGAGAACCGTGGAGTCTCGCGGATATTGCACATCAGAGCACTTTCTTCCCTTTGCCATCATCTTGGTCGTAATGGATCTTGGGGCTCTCGTGGTTGCATCTTACCAGTCATACCTGGCTCGAGACATTGCCACTGAATTTGCCGAGAGTGAATATATTGGAAGGGCCATCGCTTGCATGCTCTTGGTTTGCTTCGTGGGAATACCAACGATGATCATGGTGTCCGACAGCAATGCCAATGCACGGTTTTTCGTCTTGACCTGCATCATCTTTGTGGTTTGTGCTTCCGTGCTACTGTTCATTTTTGTACCCAAGATCATGTCTTCCAAGAAGAACCTAAAGTCATCCATTCGACGATCGGTATCCCAGCGCTCGCAGCAAATCAATGTGAAGTCAAGTGCTACCGACAATGATAACAACATCAGCAGGATTCTTTGGGCAGGGGGCAGCGAGTCACTGGAGGTTGCGGATGCGGATGCGGAAGGCATTCGAATCATGAACCGACCTGAACAACTACGCATGGTCTCCTTTGAAAACGGCAAACTCAAGGCGGAGAAAGAGGAACTAAAGGCCCGAAATAATGAGCTCGAGAAACAGATCTCAGAACTCCGAGCCCTTGTTCCAGGCCACGAAGCGGCTACAGCCAGCATCAGCTTTGCGGAAGGCGACTAGCTAACTACTGTAGCCTGATGGGTCGACTGGTCGAGGGCGAGAGGTGCTTCTGGGACAGCTCAAGCTGCACAAGCACCGCCCAGCTTTTGAAAGCAGCGTGTACGATGTGTGAATGGCACGAGTGCCCAATACACTTGCTTTCGTGGCCACCTAGGCTTTGTTTTGAATACGAACAGACGAATGATTGGGAGCAAGCCCCGGTGTTTTGTCGGATTGGCATCCCACAAGCTCGGACGTCGAATCAATCTCTTCAAGCTGGGAATTGAATCGCGCACCATGTTCTGGTGACAATAAAATTTGGCCAAAGCTACCAAATGGACGGACGAACGACGCGAACGAGACGTCACTGCCAAATACGTTTGCCTTCCACCTGGCAATTGAATTGAATCGAATCGATTCGAATCGTAGCACTATCTCAGGAGATACAATGGAACACGGTGAATGACATCGATAAATACAAATATCGAATCCAACGATTAGGAATGAGGTGAAGAAAACACGAACAATTACGAGCACTGCAAAAGTCACGCCAAGCTCCCGAGGATGAGTTTGCCATGGCTCCATAGCTACCGGTATGCTTGCTTTTGTTGGTTGACCGGTCCGGTACACGATCATGGCGCAGCCAATTGAGCCAAGCATGCCATGTGAGGAACCGAAGCCGTCGAGGAGAGCAAGCACCCGAAGCAGGCTTGAACGAGGAATCTCCAGTTCAGCTCTATCAAATGCAGGCAGCTACTAGGACGGCACGACGGCCCCCAACCGAACACGCCAGGAAGTCGTCTGGTCAGGACAAAGTGAGGTTTTAGTATCCCACGGCTCAAAAACTAACTAATGCATCCATACCTCCGTACTGGCTACCGGTACAGTACAGACCAATGATCTAGCTAGAACTCGCGAAAGCATCATGCTCGTGGGTGCGCTCATTCACTTCACCGTGGGACTTCGAGTACCCAAACTTGACGGCATAAGAGCAACACAGGAAAGATGAAGGGTTTGTCAAACATCCGAGTGATGGAGAAACGTTGGGCGCAATTGTGTGACGGTTTCATGTGACATGGTTGTAAGTAACCTTGTCTTGGCGTTGAGAATGCTGGGACGGCTCGGTAATTAACGGCATTAAGATTCGTTTGCTCTTAAATACTAAAGCAGAGCCAGGCGAAACGTCATCATTTGCCTGCCCAAAAGCCGTTACTTATCCAACATCAACCTTGCTTTCTCCACCCTCTTCAATCTTTGGAGGTGTCAGCGCACCTTCCCTCACCAAATCTGCCATTTTTGTTTGATTCGTGAAGCTGCTGGTATTACAGTACGGTACTAGTAGAAGACGAAGAGACTGTTCCGACTCGCATAAACGGTATTGTGGTGTATGATTCCCATTCAGTTCCACCCAACCACACGACGGACAGAGCAATCCCACTGCTGCCGTTGCTGGTCATCTCTTTATCCTAGCCGCCATCTCTCGGAAGCCTTGTCACTTCCACCATTGACCGAGTCTAACACAACGCAACCATTTTCTTGTCATCAGACGATTGAAAATTCGAATTGAAGCCTCACGCACTCAACTAGCTAGTCTATAGCAACGTAGCAACCACCATGACTCTACCAAAAGCGTCATCCAGCACCATACTACAAAGAGTAACGTCTCTCCTGCTCCTGCTCAGTAGTTCCATTCGTACGGCAAGCGCCACTCGTGTCTTGGCATTCAAGTGGCTGGAAGGCAGTGGCACCTGCTATAACAAGTTCCACAATGGGAACGAAAAATGGGACATTGAAATGAACAACTTTCATGTCGACTGCGGGAATAGAAATCACGGCTGCACGCCTGGGCACAGTGTCATGATCTATGGTGATTGTAAGTGACTTATACCTGAAAAAACTACCTATTGGCCAGGGGCTACCCGTGCATTCCCACAATCTAACCCCTTCAATCCCTGCGCTCCTTCCGCCATTCTTAACACACAGTCTACTCCAATGCCGCATTTGAATCGGTCGTAGATGTGGATATCAAAGCCTGCGAGTTCGGGTCTCTGATTTGCACGCCCAACTTTGTGGAAACCCAAATGAACGTCTGCTACGACTTGGATCTGCTAGATCTTTACGGGAACGAAGTGTGCAATCAAGTTGGAAACTACACACTTCAAAAATCCTACACGCTCCCCAGCAATCACTCCTGGTGGGAAGACGTGGCATTTGAGGGACTCAAATTCAACATTGTCGTACTCATTGACAATGAACTCGAATGTCGGGGTACCTTCATGACACGCGTCTACTATGAATACGAATCATGGATGGGATGGACGGTCGGATCCTTCGCCGTGGCGGCGGCACTCTTTTATTACCTCCGTCAAACAAAACAGGGGCTGGAATACTTCAACAGAAACTTTACTTGCCTCGGCAAAATCAATTTGCAAGTCGAAGAAGAGCGGGCCGAAGAAGAAGCCAGAGCAGCAGTTGCTTCCCAAACGAAGAAGAAAATAATATCCAAGACCACGCCCGTCACCGTGAAAAGTAGCACTAGCACTGCGGACGATGAAGAATCCGTCACTTCCACGGCATATCTGCGCATGTTGGACTTTTCGCCAAAAGGACTGGCACACACCGAGCGAATGGAACAGGTCCGACAAGCACACTTTGAAAGATTACGGAAAATAAGAGACTCGCGGCGGGCTGCATCGTCGTCACCGCCGCTTGTAGTACCGCAATCATAGTATTAATTAATAGTAGATCGAGAAGCAGGGGTTTGCTACGATTGTATTGTATTTGGCTATATAAACTAGCATCAGTCAGGAGTCTGGGATGGAGGAATCCGGTCGAGCTATTTTGTTAGGTTCATTATTAGTTGTGCCGTGCATGTGCGTCAAGGAAAGTCAAAACACACTGTACCATAGTCTCTTAGAATTGAGGTCTTCCAAAAGGAGGAGCAGAGCAATGGGCGCTGTGTTTGACCTCACAGAAGCTATGCATAAGTATGGCATGAATATCACGGAGGTGACGGACTGATCATTGAGCACGGCTGGTCACGCAGCAAGGGTCAACGATGTATACCTTTCAAGATAATGATAGCTAGCTGGAGTCTATTGTTATTGGCTTCATCTACATCGCTGACTGGTGGGTGCTGGAACCTGGCACCTGTCGTTGCTTAGAAAAAGATGGTCCCGTCGTCCAGTGACACCAAGAATTCTGCCATGTTCTCGCATATGGCCACAGAACGACGCTGCTGTAGCCTCTTCTGTTCACTTTGATCTTCAGCCATTGCTGTATCATTGAGATTCAAGGCGGCATCCGACGTACTGATGCGACGCAAGCCCTTCTTCTCGGAAGCACCACGGCAGTCACATTTTGTCTTGGGCGCTGGATCATGCACGAGAGGCATGGAAGCAGGGGCAAGCTCGAGAATGTGATTGAAGGTGTATCCGCACCAGGATACGGGGTGCAATCCCAGGTTGGCCACGAGGGGAAAGTCCCAAAGGTCCGAGTCCAGCCTGCGCAGAGCACATTGCCAGGTCTCGTCGTTGCACAGGATTTGCCCTCCCTTGGCCAAGTCACCAATCTTTCGCGAAATGTCCCAGGCTTGGCCCACATAAAAGGTCCGCCCCGTGAGAGAATTCTGACGAGCTTCCACATCGCCCCAACCGATAGATGCTCTCACACGGAGTCCTCGTCGACCTTGCGCCTCGCGGGCCCAAGGCAAATGCAAAATATCGTCGCTCCATGAAGCACCGTTCAAGGCTTCCTGCAAGTCCAGAGCAAACGAGACGGCATCACTGGCTTCGTGAAAGGCAAGAAAGAAGGCGTCACCTTCCGTGTCGATTTCGTATCCGAAGTATTCGCAGCAGATTTGGCGTACAATCTTGTCATGCACTTCCAAAGCCTTGCGCATGGCATTCGGGTCGGCTTCCCAAAGGGCGGTGGAACCTTCGACATCGGTCAAGACGATGGCCGCCTTGCCGGATTTGGGGGCATGGGAACACTTTCGAGACTGCAGCGATTCCACTTCCAGTCGGGACATGCTTTCTCGTAGCGACTCGTTCTCCTGATACTGACGATCAAAGAGAGCAAGCATATCATCAATCAGAACAGACTGCTCAACAGACTGCTCATCTTGTCCGACAGTATTGAAAGAGTGAGACTGAGACTGCGAAAGTGATTGCGAAAGTGATTGCAACGACTGATCCAAGAAACTGTCATTCATCTCCTCCTCCAGATTCATCTCCTCCAGGAAGTGCGAGAGTTGAGATTCATCTGCAGTGCTGCTGTCTTCGTCGAGACCCCTTCCTTCCTCCATCAGCCGCCTTTGTGAAGGTGAGGTGCTTATCTTGCTGAAGTTTCGTGTCGTGAAGGATCTCCGCCGCGTGGGTTTGACAAAAGCTTTCAACAACTTGGGGTCACTAAACGACGCTCGACGGTTATGGGGGGAGACATTCCTTGGTGCGACCAGGGAAGAGAGGTTCATGGAGGATGCAGAGGACTCAAGATTTGTCTGCTCTTCGGAAACCACGCCCTTACTTTGCGAACAAGACCTTTGTCGCGACGGAATCACCATGCCAGGAGAACATGATCTTCGTCGTCTCATACGGCTCGCAGCGGAACCGAAGTTGTTCTTGGCGGCGCTTTGCTGAGTGGCGTCGTTTGATGCCTGGCCAGGCGGAACTGGAGTCATACATCTTCGAAGAGCTGGGGATGATGCCATTGGCGTCTTGGAGCGGAGACCAGGAGGAGTCATGGATCTTTTAATCGGATCAGGGGAAGCAGACACCGTGCTTGCCAGAAGTGCAATCTGTTGATGGTTGAGAGAGCATCGTCGTTGACGAGAGATTCGCCCACTTGAAGCAGTGCTAGTGAGCGATCCCCTTCTTGGCTTAACAGATTGGGAGGCTGAAACATCCTCAGCGGAACCAAATACGGCAGAACGAAACACATGGAGAAACTTGCGCCTGTGAATTCGGTTTGTAACCTTCAAGTCATCAAGAACAGTTTCCACAAACTCTTGTTCAGACAGGGATGCCAGAAGCTCTCCGTCGATGCAATTGCCGGCAATCTCCTTCACGTAGCACTGATATCCAGAGCCATACGCGGCAACAATGTCAGCAATCTCACTCTTGCTGTATTTGGTTAGTGATTTGGAACCAATCGCTCCCATGGTTGGCTGCTGTTGGCTTCGCTCTGTTTTCAGTTTGGTCAAAGAGGTGGAGGAGTGATGCTCTTCAAAACAAAGCTGAATTGTGAGCTCTTCCACAGGTTGCGAAAATCTGGCAAGGGGAACTTCTGAGGTGGTTGCATCCGAATAGCAAAAGGTTACGGCGACCAGGACTGTCTCCAGGTGGTTGCGAACAGAGTTTTCCCATTGGCCTCAACAACACAGTTGCCGAGGACAAGGCGATAGGGCTACGTGTAATCGAGCGCTGCTGCAGTAAACGTACCAGGTAACGGTAGATTGCCGTAGACAGGACAGATCAGACGAAAAGGTCCGTACTTTAATGAAGGAATGCCTTGAAGTTGATTGACTGGACACATAACCTGCTTCTTTCGTCACTCTGGAATGTTCTGGTACCGTACGCTGTACCCGGTTTACCGGTACCAGTGTACCTGTACTACATGTAGCTACCAGTAGTACAGCAACTTCACTCTAGCTAGCTAGTACCAGGTACCGCAGGACAATAGTGAGAAGACGAGAAGACTGTGTACCGTACCGGATCGGGTACCTCCGGCACTTTTGAGCGACAAACGTCACTCTGGTCGGTGGCGACTGACCCAGAACCCAGATAAACAGTAAGGTTCGTCCGAACGTGCGAACCAGCGACATTGATCTTTGCGAGAAGCTTCAATTTGGGTCATAGCCGTGCGCCACCACAGCTACTGGCTAGCTAGTAGCTAGCTATTACTAGCTAGCTGCTAGTGCTACAGAGGTAACCCACAACCCTCCCGTGAGGCCTGCCTCGACCACTGTAACAAGATATCGTACTGGTTTGTCTGGAATGCTGGTTTGCTGGCTGGGTGTGTGAGAACAGCCACAAACAAATTGTCTGTGGAGCACACTAGTTTCTGGAGTCGAAGAACCTTACCCTTCTTCTCGCGAATTTGGTCTTGCTTGCCATAGATTCTTCCAAGGTGGCTCGTATTCGTTGCTGGTGGAACCTGCAATGCCGCTTCCGTCGGGGCGTCGGGTGAGGCCTTCACACTGGCAGGAGCAAGAGATCAGACAGGTTTCTGTGTCCGGGTTATTTATTTATAAAAATTGCTACTAGCCACTGTTGATGAGAGCGCAAACTTTTGTCAGTGGAGCATCGGAGTTTCTCGGGGTTAAACAGCGACGCATCGCACTTTGCAATTTGTGGAGCTCGCGCGTGGTTGCCATCTCAGAAATCTTGATGCCACCGTGCCACCGTCGCCTTTACCGTAGAATCTTGCAACTTTCCAATTCGTTTCTTTTGTCCGTGACTGTCTGACAAATTATCGTTTCTGCGGACTTCCGCCGCTGCAGCATTTAGGGTTTGAATCATTCCCGCTGGGATTCCTTGATACATTTCTGTGTAATAGCAGCTCGTGCTGGCTTATGTAAAAACTACATGTAATCCAGTGTGTGGATGCGGCAACTGCGCATGAACCTCTGGCACTGCCGTGCGGAAGGTCATTCCGGTACTGGTGCCAACAAATGCTGCCATGTTCTGTCAATTTTGACCAATCAAAAAGCTTCTCACAATTCCTTTTCTGCCACGTATGTCTGTAAGGGTGGCTGGAAGAAGGCTTTTCAAAGACATGCGTGGCCGGTTCTCTGAGGTGGCAAAATAGCAAAATGCGTCATTCCAGATGTCGCTACTCAAAGATTTAAAGGTCTCTTTAATGTCTCATTCATCAATTTGTTCGTCCTTCTGTTTTCTGTCCATTCAGAGCCTAAAAAGAAGACAGTTGACAGTTGTCTGCTACCCCGGTATCGCTGCTGCCAATTAATTGCTTCCCTCTTCTTCGGCACTCTGCACAGCCACCCCAGAAGACTCGTCGTCGGCCACTGGAGCAACAGCAACCCAAGCCAAAGCCAAATTCCTGTTCACGACGACTGTCTCTGAAGCATTACAACCCCCTTGTTTCGATCTGTTCATTCTCTTACTCATCAGTTAGAACGGCTCTTGAAAGGGTTCGAATATTCCTCTCGCTCTTGTCTGTCTAGCTACATCGTAGCCAGCTGCAATAGGACCATGAAGAGACCAACAACAACGACAAGCGAATGTGACGCGGGAGCCGACCCGTCCGAACCGTCTCCCTCCGCAATGAAACGGTCAAAGCTATTAATAGAAGCCCGGACTGCCGGCCAAGTAGACTTACCACATGCCTCCATATTCGCAGATGTTCCCCTGCCCAAGAAGGCTGAAGCCAACATCCTTTCCTTCCTGAAACCGAGCGATTGCTTCAAAGCCCGAGCCGTGAGTCGGAGTTGGAAGATTGTATTCGACAAGAACCTCGAGGACCGGGTGCTGGCCATTCTCCGAAAATTTGACCTGGTGCACAATGTGAGCAACTACGTCGAGTTCAAGCTCTCTCTGTCATGGCCCACCAAGGAAAGCAGCGCGCTGATGGACTCGAGGGAACTCATTCCAGTCCAAACTGCCTGGAAGGCACTCGAAGCGCAGCTCCGGTGTGTCCACGTCAAACTGGGCGGCAACGAGTTTCTTCACAGGACATTCGCCAGTACGTTGATCCTCCTCAAGCAAAACGTTTTGGGCCTTCTGGTCAATTCCAAGAGCATGTGCGTGTACACGGAGCGTCAACCGGAGGCGCCTCCTCCGTCCGATACTGGTACCACCCTCCTCGATAAAGAACAATACTCCGGCGCCTTGTGTTTCTGGACATCCGACGGCACCCCTGCCTGTGTATCCTTCAAGACGTTTCTTCAGAGTATAAGCTCTCAGATATGATAGGACTCGACTGTCACTCGACTCAAACTACAAGAGTTAAGGTAGGAAGTAGCACAAATACATACATAGCTAGGTTATATTGCATGGTACCTGGTACGAAACTGTATAAAATACTGGAGGATTCTACTCATCATCTTGCTCCATGAATGAATGCCACACGCCAACGTTTCGACCATACCGAAGTGTCTTGACATTTCAATAGTCAGTTCTATTTCGTTCACGTAAATCACAGTCCTCAAATGTTGAGAGCCAGGACACCAGCGACCAAAGCTTCTTCTCCGTCCAAATCGTCATGACGTTGTTCCAAAAGTGCATTCGTCTCTGCTTGGCGATGTTCCAAAAGTGCATTTGTCTCTGCTTCCATCCGTCCCACTTTCACCTTTTCGTATGTGTCAGAACTCGGATGGAACCGCACAATGAACATATTACTCACTTTGAACTCGTAGAAGCGCTCCAAGAGCTCGCGATACAGATTGAGCTGCATGGAATACTTGTAGTAATTGGTATCTTTCAGCTTGTGGAGGGGGCTCTTTCCAGGACGACCCCAGTAGGAGTTTTTGTTTTGTAGAATCCCATGTTTGCTTCGTTTCCAGTCGTACATGGTGTACGAACCATCCTCGTCATTCTGGACAATCAACCTCCAAGCTTGTGTTTGCTGGACCAAAGGATCATTTCTGTCCGATAAGCTTCCAACTTATGCTCTTCCTGAAATGCTTGAAACTGTTTCCATTCTTTTCGGCTCTGGTCATACTCAACTTCTTCGTCATTGTTATAGTACGCCTCAATGGCTTGGTGGAGACGAGTGCCTTCCTCCTTTGCTTTGTCGCCGTCCGCCCTCCACATTTCCTTGATCTCGTCTTTGGTTTTATTGTAGCACTCGGGCTTTTTATAGGAGTTTTGCTGCCATCGAGTATAGTACTTGTCAATCACCGCATCGGGGTCAAACTTGGGAAAGAATTCGCCCAGCAGCGTGGTTACGCTGATCACTCCTTCGGACGAACCCTGAATCAAGTATCTGTGGCCTTCCGCTTCGAACGTCACAGATTCGTCTCTCGGGTGAGCATTTCGTTGGTTCAACGGGGCCACCATGGTCTGCCTGCCTGTGATTCGTGCACTCTAGCTAGCTAATGCATGTAGAGAGATTAGATTGATTTGATAGTGAGCAAAATTCTCACTTGACTTTGGATCCAATCAGGTGTCGATTCGTGCACTCGAGCTAGCTATGTAGATAGGGAGTTTTTAACAATGACGAGGCAGCAATACTCATTCGACTTTGGATCCGATTAGGAGATGAAAATTTTGCCACACGTTGATCCTGTCATAGTAAGCGCGCATGTTACGTGCTTTGGATTCGATTCTTGGAAAGCGAGAATGGACGAGGGCAGTCGCGCGATCTTTCGTGCTTGCCGTGGTAGGCAAAGGGGTGGCTTTCGGTACCAGCCAGTGGTGACAGGCAGGTAACATGTTGTCATTTAGCCAAAGGCATCTGGTTGGCTACCTTCATCTGGGTAATGTGGGCATTGTGATACCGTACAGTACCGTTTGGTCAACTGTGGTAGACTGACTACATCGTACAAGCTAGCTAGCTAGGAGTTGTCTGGACGCCAGCTTTCGAAAGGAGTGAAGAGAGCGTGTGGTGGAGGTTGAGTAAGCGTGGAAGGATAAACTGGTTTTACTTCACCTGTCCTGCTGCTTTATTGTGACGCTGCTTTCCACGGCGATCCTCACCTCTCACTTTTCTGACGTCATTCATTTTTGTTTTCAGAACTTTTGCTCGGCTCCATCTATTTATTTCTGCACCCTTTGCGAGGGCAACAGAGCTTCGTCAGAGCAACTCCATTGTCTATTGATCCAACCCCACCTGATAGCTGAAGACTACTGCCACTACCACTAGCTAGCAAGGTCTCTTTTCCAGCAGAAGCTATCTTATCTGGTGGAGGTTGAGAGTGAAGTTCAAGTTTCTGATCAAGATGGCAGCATTACGGCATGTTGTTCCACCATTGGCGACAGTGGCCCTGATATACATGCATATATTGATATGTACTGGATTACAGAGCCCAGTTCATGGCTTTCAGCTTCCAGTGCCAGCGGGTTCAGTGTCAAGCAGGCATAGCAGAAGGCAGTGGAATTATCAAGCCAATGTGATTGATACTTCAAGACCAACAAGGAGATCGTCACAAGTGGCAGTGCTGCATCAGAGTAGCACTAGCAACAGCAATAGCAACGGCAACCGACCGCCCAGCAAACGACGACGTGCGGTTCTCAAAGTGAAGAATCTGATTACTGGGGTTCAACGAGGCACGGTAACATTTGCAACTACCCTTTTGGGCAAATTCAAACGGTTGTCCAAGAAGTCCAAAGTTTTAGTTTGTGCCTACATGCTCGTTGTATCGCTCATCTTGGGCAGTGTGGGCAGATCGGTCTATCTCAAGAGAACCTCTCCGGATTTCCCCATGAATCCCAAACGACCCATTGAAATCACATACAGTTCCTTTATGGATCTCGTTGAACAGCAGCAACAGCAACAACCTGTACAACCACAATCATCATCATCACCGTCCATTCAGTCACTCACCAGAGCTGCCACGAAACAGCCAGAATCATCAACATCACAGTCATCGACAATTCCCAAAGTCGACAAGGTCAAAATTGCCGCCGATCGAATATCCTTTCGATTGTCCAAACCCGACAACGAAGGAGGCACCAAGTACCTCACGGCATACACGCGCAAACCACCGGCATCCCCCGAATTATTGGGGTATCTGCGCCAACACAATCTCGATTTTACCGCTGCCAGTGTCCAACGCAACGTTATTATGGTCTATACGCTACGGTCGTGTTTGTTTACGCTCTATGGACTCTTTTTATGGCGCATGTATCAGACCATGCGCAGTAATTCGGGACAATCCTCGTCGGATGTACCCGGGAAACTACTGCAACAAAGTGAACGACCATTGGCATCCTTTACCGACATTCAAGGCATTGACGATGCCAAAAATGAAGTCATGGAATTGGTCGATACGCTACGCAATCCCAGCAAGTATGCCATTTTGGGAGCCCGGGCACCCACGGGACTTTTATTGGAAGGACCACCCGGAACGGGAAAGGTATGTATAGTTGTCATGTGTCTGTTTTGAGAGTGTTGCATGCAAATTGATTTTCTCACGGACTGACCGTCTTTTTAAAAATTGCTGCAATGATTGTCGAACTAACGAATGATTGATGGATTGATTGATTGATTGATTGCATTAGACCATGTTGGCTCGTGCCACGGCTGCCACGGCGGGTGTCCCGTTGCTCTATTGTTCGGGCAGCGACTTTATTGAACTCTACGTGGGCCGTGGAGCGGGACGGGTCCGACGTATGTTCGAACGAGCCATCAAACTGGCACCCTGCATCATTTTCATTGACGAATTGGATACATTGGGCAAAGCACGAGATTCTGGAAGCAATGGACTACTGGGTGGCATGCCCAGTCGCGCCAATGACGAAGCCGAACAAACACTCAACCAACTACTCTCGTGTATGGATGGATTGGATTCCAGTCGACGTATTTGCGTACTTGCGGCTACCAATCGCAAAGATGTACTCGATCAGGCACTGATACGACCCGGTCGGTTCGATCGTATCGTGACACTGCGACTTCCCAATGCCCAAGGACGAGAGAATATATTACGCGTGCATGCCAATAAACTGCCAGGATTTGAAGAATGCAATGGAGTGGATCCCGATCGAGCCAATGCGTTGGGCAAAGGCAAGACAATTGACTTGAGTGCCGTGGCGGCCATTACGGATGGATTGAGTGGTGCCGAATTGGAATTCATAGTCAATGAAGCCGCCATTCGAGCGGTGCGACGGGTCAGTGGTGCATTGCGACAGGGCGCCAACCCCGAGACACTGGTCTCTCATGTGGATGCCTCCGATTTTGAAGCCAGTGTGGCCAACTTTTTTGCCACGCGACGCAAAGGCGGCAACAACAATCCAGCGGGGGATGTGTGGAAAAATATGTTTCAATCGTAGCTATCCTATGGCTGCATATTATGTTGTTTATCTTGATGGACCAAACCGGCAGAGATGTCAGCCGAAACACAGCAAGTATGATTATATATGAGGAAGAGGCTTGACTGGCTACAGTGTATCATTTGCATGCAGAAATACATAGTAAAAAAGGTCTTTTCCTTCTGCTCTTGTACCACTTACTTACTTCATCATCTGCAGTACGATGATCCTCGTTTCCCTCAAACGATAATATAGTTGCCAGAGAGTAATGAATCGATTCAATTAGAATAGCTAACGGAGAGACCAAAGAGAAGCACAAAAGACACTGAAAAGTCCCGAGCATGCATGCAGTTTGCCAGCAACCTTTGGATACAGTACTGGTATCCCAGCCAAAGTAAGTAAGTGTGCTCGTGGCATAATAATAATTTGGAAGCCCATTGGAAAACGGGAAAATCATCTATAGATAAACGGTGCTACAATGCTTCGTGAGAAGGCTGATATGAGAATTCAACGAGTCCTTGCTAACCAGATTAGAATATCTACCATACCGGTAGTTCATAGCGAGTTGGCTGAAAGAATCATGTGCAATTAGTTATGTATGTAGGTTGTTACGGTAGGTACCGGTAGCTATGACGTAGTAGTAGTGTGTGCGACTGTAGAATTGTGCATGAAATCGTCGTCTTGTGGCTTTGATTGCTCATCAGGCAACTTGTGTGGTAGCTCTTTCTCCCTTCGCTTCTATGGTACGGTACTTTTGGCTTGAGAGTTTAATTAAAATAAATGGGAGTATCGGGAATGGTCTGCAAGTTGTCAAAGAGTGCTTGCCGTGGTCCTGCAAAACTGAGAAAATCCAATAGGAGTACAAAGAGTATCATATCAAACCAGAACCAAGGATCTCGTGCCAATTCTGGAAATCGATCGGCAGCGCCATCGGGATCAATGGAATCCAAGAGTGGATTGGGAATCACGCCCTTGCCAAACATGCCAAAATCTTCGTCGTCGCGATCCATGGCCGCCGCCGAATAGTACGAGTATTCCTCCTCGTCTTCATCATCATCGTAGTCTTCGTCGTCGTCATCATCGACATAGTCTTCGTCGTCGTCATATTCATACTCTACATCGTCTTCATAGGATCGTCTCCCCCTTCGTCCCACGCGAACTAGTTCCCGTCGTCGACGACGATCCTCTTCATCGTCTTCCAAATCTTCGGCTCGTGACGCCATTAGTAGTGGTGAAACTGTTGTTGTTGTTCTCAATAGTAATACTGATGATGATGGTGCTACCGGTACAGATACATGTGTCGGTGTGGTGAACGCAGATCCCCGCGGGATTACTAGCAAAAACAAAAACAGGATATTGACATTGGCTGTAAACTTGGACATGGCTGAAAAGGGTGCTGATAATAATAATGATCTGGGTTGTCTCATCATGTTAGTTTCTAAAGAAAAAGTGCCAATCGATTTGATTTGTTCCTTCTTTCTTTCTAACTAAAGATCTATGGTGATATCGAAATGATGGTTGGCGTTTACAACATCTACCGGATCTTTGGATGGCATGGGTGTCAACGAGTTAGTTGCCACCACTTGGAACTGTTTGGATTTTCCATTTGGCATTGGCTATGAGCTTCAAGTTTTCTTCCCACACGCATGCCCTGCCATTCTGTGAGTCCCATCCCAGCGGGAATCATCGGCTTCTTTTGCAACGGTCGGACACCAAAATTCTCGCATTGGCACCACTTCCAAGATTGGCAGCGCTATGTTGCCAAGCATGCTTGCTTGTGCGCCAATCTAATAAAAAGTGACGGTTATCCATCAGCCAAATAAATGCTGGCAAATATTGGTACCGTGCCGATCTGATCGATCGACAAGTGGGCGCACCGCTGTTTCTTTTCTGGATTGAGGTTTGTGGCCAAATTTGTGGGAGACGACTGTTGTGTGATTAGCTATTAGATAGATGTGCTACTTGTGCTAGCTAGCTAGTAGTTAGACAGTGCTTGTAATTGACGATGGTGCGGTTTGAATCGGGCAAGAACCAGGGTCCTCCGGCGAAGCCCTATGTCTATGACAAGACGTACACGTCCTTTTGGGATGCAGTGCTTCAGGAACAGCAGCAACAACAACAACCAGGCGGTAACTCCAACGATACGTCCTTTGAAAAGAGTGACATTCCTCTCAAGAAGAAGAAGCCTACTACCATCTCTACTGACAACAACACTACTGACAACACTACTGACAACACTAGCACTAAGAGTAAGATGATGATGCACGATGACGATCGATCAGAGCACAAGGAGGAAGAACAAGTCCTCTCCTCCTCTACTCCCTCTCCACTCAAGACACCGCCAAGAACCGTCGAGACTACTTTGGCGCGCACACAGGCTCTTCTAGAAGCTCATGCGGCGGCGGCATCCAACGACACTACTACATGTACATCTACTAGTACTAGTAGTCCAACCAAGGAAGAGGAAGAAGTGCCCAGCGATGAATCCAAGGCAGACTCACAGCAGCGAATCCAACAACAGCTTGCAGTACATGACAGTAGTAGTGTTAGTGTACATGTTGTACCAGATGTTGTGGTCAAGACGACACCAGCTCCCAGTGTGGTCAAGACTTTGAGTGCGTCTCCTACCGAGTCTCCAACCTACACTTGCTCGGAAGAGTCGGTCGATACAGAGACGCACTTGTCACCGTCTCTTATTACTAGTCCAGCTATAGAGACTGCGGACAAGAAGGATGCCATACAACACCTAATGGCACAAGTCGTTCTAGATGCGGCAAAGAAGGAACTGGAAGCCAGGAAGAAGCAGCAGCCAGTGGAAACACCAACAGAAGAACCACCAACACCTGAACTTCAGATAGAAGCAGAAGAAGAAGAAGAACACACAACAACAACCCCCACCCCTCAGCAGGAGGACACTCCTCCTCCTCCTACTCTAGAGAGCACTCTACAAATGCCCATGGATGCCGAAGCTCTCGCAAAGGCACAGGCACAACTCATGGAGCAAGCCAAGTCACTGGCAAAGGCTCAAGCGTTGCTAGAAGCACAAGCCAAACAGTTGGCCAGACAGCAAGAACTACAGCAGTTGACGATGGAAACATCATCACCGCTCAAGCCAAAGATACAGGTAGAAGAGATTCCACGTCAAGCGCCTTTACCCACACTGACCAAGCCATCCGCCTTTCGAGCTCCTTCGGATGAATGCAGAATCAGTGCCACACAATCACATGCCAGTAGTAGTTCACGTCTCGTGGCTGCCTTCAACTCCCCCGCCATCACCACCACTGTCACTCGAATGTCTAGTAGCGACGTCCACTCGAGTACTGACACTGTTCCCATTGCCAATACTAAAACACTTGCTCGATTGTCCAGCAACGACCTCAACTCGAGCATTGATAGTATTCCCGATGACGACGAAGTACCCCACATTCCAAGGCAACGAAACAACAAGACCATGCCAGACTCGGATGAAATAAATGCCGCCATGGACGGAGATTGGTTGTCACGCGCTCGATCCGAAGCCAAGGCCAAAGCGCAAGCACTCCTGCAAGCCGCACAAGTGGAAGCGACCGCTCGTGCCAAGGAAGCACAAGCACTCATTCAAGCGGCACAAGCCGAAGCCGCCGCCCGGGCACAAGCAAGAGCGGATGCCAAGGCGGCCGCACTAGCACAAGAAAAGGCGCGACAAAAGGCAGAAATTGAAGCACAGCTCCAAGCCAAGGCCGTACGAGATGCCTGGGATTTTGAACAAATGAGAGCTCAAGTACAAATGGAGGAACGCATCAAGTCCAAGTTGCGCGCATCCGCGAAAGCAGAAGCCGAAGCCAAGTTGCGTTATAAAGCCGAATTGGATGCTGTGGCAGTTCAAAAACAGCACATGGCGGCCGCCCGAGCGCAAGCGGATATTGGCAAGTTGCGGCAATTGGCCAAGGAACAAGCAGAAGCCAAGTTGCGACGCAAGGCGGAAGAAGATGCCAAGCTCGTTCAGCAACAACAAGATGCCATTGCGGCGGCGCAAGCGACTGCCAGACGAAAACGGCAAGAAGTGGAAGAAGCACGGCTGGCCGCCAAGGCAGAAGTCGAACGCAAGATCCAGCTCAAGGCGGAGATTGATGCGCAAAAGTGGGCGGCAGCCGAAGCACGCGCCAAGCAAGAAGCCGAGCGACGAGCTCTGGCTGCGGCAACCGCCAAGGTGCGAGCACGTCACAGCAAAGAGTTGCAGTTGCCGACTCAATTGTCCGCGGCGCAGCGCAAGGCCAAGGCGATTGCCGGGACTACCGATCCATCACCATTGCAGCCACATCATGCACAATCACAAGGAGTTCCCAAGGATTTTGTCCCCTTTGGAAAGAGCAAAGGAGAAGAAGCCGATGGCAATATTTGTCTCTACTTGCAAGTTCCAGGTGTCGTTCATGTGAGCGAAGTCAAGGTGGAACTCGAAGATGGTGTCCTGTACATTTCCCGTGGGATTGTTCTTCCCGGACGTGGGCTGCAAAAGTACACGCGCAGCTTTCCGTTTGAGGAGAACCTGTTGGATACTTCCAAAATCTCCGTCACGTTGATTCCGACCAATGCCACTGCGGATGGAGTGAGTGTCCTCAAGTTTTCCTTGCCCAAAGTGCAGCCAACGTGGAATGTACCTCTCTCGTTGGTGGATGAGGACGCGTCACTCTCGGCCAGTGGTGGACGACACACGACATCCAAGGATGACGGAAGTGGTGGCGACTTGGAGGATCTGACAGATGTCTCGTTATTGGATGCCCCCGATGATGAAGTGCATACTCTTCATCATCCCAGCGACGAGTTGCGCAATTCTTCGACGCATGCACCGGACGATGAAAAGGCGGCAGATCCAGAGGATTTGCAAAAGACGTACAACAAGGATGGCTGTCGCTTTGTCGAACTCTTGCAACTCCCGGTTGCCTTTGCTTTGGAGAATATCGTCGCAACCTATAGCGAAGAAACGGTCACGGTGGTAGGTACCGAAGGCGACGAGGAACGAACCTCCTTTCGACATGTGGTCCCCATGAGCACCCAAGACGTGGATGTGCGACAATTGACGGGTAGCTACGACCCCAATGTTGGACGGCTTGTGCTCAAGGCGCCACTTCACAGCTCTATTCCAAAATCACGTCGAATCCGAGTGGTGAAGAAAGAGGATTCCGAAACAATTATTGAAGGTGTGCTATCTCAGTTTGGTGATGATTTGTCTCTCTCCACCAGGGGGTCTCATCCACAGTCCGTTTGCAAACCTTCTAGCTCAAACAGTTTAAAATCCCAGGCGAGAAAACATGGTCTGAAGCTCACGGGCAACCTCAAGTTTCTGGCGAGCAAGTATCTGCGGCCGCGGCGACCGAAAAAGGAATCGAGTCGGTATCGGTAGTTGTGAATGATTATCGCGGAAGCTTGGGGGTGCCACTATAGGAAAGGAAAAAGACGAGTGAAGACGGACGAACCAACTTGCTACAAGCAAAGACGCGGTTGGGTAAGTCGTGGTAGTTCAGTCAAAAGATAACCAGTTAGGATGTATTTCATAATGAAATGTGTTGTGTTGGTCGCGATGTTGTGGACTTGGCTCGGAACTTGATTTGTCATCCGTCCAACATCACTGCTTCCCAGTCGACTCCCTCTTCTGCAGTTTGATTACCTGGTGCTCTACAACTGATGCGGACTACTAGCTAAACCAGGAAGCTGCCATTGTAATATCCCTTGCATGCTATATGTATTCTACTGGGCGTGTTGACTACGACAAACCATATCACTAAAAATATAGATAAAGTTATCATTCACAAACCAGGATATCCAAATAGTGAGCAGTAGGTTTCATACCGCTGGCTGCTGTGTGCATGCTCACTCACACACTCGCTTGTGATTTAAAAAGATACCAGATGATCTATAGACCCATACGCAAACTCCCACAATGTCAGAAGCTAGTCGTTTCCGGCACCACTTGGAATGATATTCATCTCAGTGACATCCGCACCCCACTCCTTCCGTTTGGCGGATATAAGTACATCGACCCACCAGCCTCTTCCCATGAAACTAAAAATGTTGAGCCAGACTTCAGCAGCAATGCCACTATTTGGGGCAATCAAATACCAAATGTAGTTGATCATTTGTCGGTCAGAGGTTGGGAAACTCCAATGTAGCTGCTTGCTCCATGCCAGGACATTCTGGTTTGTTGGATACAATTTTTGCAGATTTGCTGGAAGTTTTGCTGCTGCGTGATCGTAGGCACGGTCTGAAATCCTTGCTTGTCCCAGATCTCTCAGAATTTGAATGATGACAAGATCTTTGCGATGGATTGCCAGTTCCAACGTCTTCATCTCCTCAGAAAACTCTTGTTCGTGAAGAACCATTTGCAAGTGTTCCTTTCTCTGTTCCAGAAGGATTGTCAAGCATTCATGCTGTCCGTTCTCTACTGTCGAAAGCAACTCACTATAAGACGCAAAGCAGTTTGCATCTAGAAGAAGCTTGAGTAGCTTTGGATAGCCATAATATGCCGCAACAGATAACGCCGACCGTGGACGCCAAAACAAAGCGCAATCGCTGAGGTCGACGTTCCTAGCCAGCAGCGCCCTCGCATAGTCCATCAAGAGTCGTTCCTGTTGTTCCTTGGGCTTGGAAGTCACAGCCACTTTTGAAATGGCTTTTGCCAAGTAAGATATGGGCAACTTGGCAATCTCGTCCTCCGTCGCCCCCAGAATTCGTTTGGTGCACTTGGCCAAGCGACCGTGTTCAATGTCGTTGACATGGCGATCCCATGGAACAGATGGAAAATTGATTTCCGACCAATAGATGTTAGAATTTCCTCCCATGCGTTGTCGTGATGAAGTGCGCCGCTGCACAAGATTGGTGGAAGTGCTATTACTACCGGTAGTAGAACTCATCATGGTGTTGGTGCTGTTGCCAATCAAGATCATAAAAGTGTGGAGGAAACAGAGGAGAGTCGAGACAGAGCGTGCCATGCCTTTTGAATTTTAAAAACATTAACAAGCCAGTGAGCTGTGAAAGTAAGATTAGTCCAGATGCTCACAAATTCTACCTGGTATTTGAAGATGCGGAGAAACTACGGTACCTGGATCATGACCCGCGCCTTCCCACTGTTGTCTCTGGACGATGTAATGAGATGGGATGGGGTCACTCCCTACAGCGCTCTCTTCCTTCCATTTGGAGATAGAGGCCACAGCGCTGCAACCGATGTTCTCTCCAAGGTCCGTGAGGTTAGCACGGAGCGAGAAGTCCGTGCTGCCGTGGAAACTTTGGCCGTTTTTGTCAAGGATATCGCAGAGTCACAGTCAATCCTTGATACGGACCACGATATTTTAGAGGACTTTGACGAGACAAATGGAAATTGCAACCATGTTTCAATCGTGCGGTGGAAAGCTCTTGTTCGTCATCTTCGGCAAGCCACCGTCGACCTCCACGATTCTTGCCTTGCGGACACCTACCTTGTCGCAATAAAAGCAGCCATCGAGTTCTCAGCTCACGTTGGAACAAAGCTCATGCCAGATTGTCCAAAGTATGAGTCGGACGAAGATGTTTGACGAAGCAAGCTACTTACTTGATTCAATGCTATGAACCCTAACCTGTCTTATATACATAGTATAATGGCTGAGTACACTTGTAGACAGTGATGCGTCCAGGCGGGGCATCAGAGTGGCGTGCTGTGCGAGAAGCCCTTATCAAATCTTGCCAGTCTCTCTCAAAAAAAAATAATCATAGGTTGACAAAGAACTGGAGTCGAGTCGAGTTGATGACACATGTCCAACAAACACGACTTCCGCTACACGACGAGACCTACCGCTAGTTCGGAAGCAATAAAGTCTGCGGTTTCAATCTTATATTGGGATTTATACATATGGGTTTTCGTTTGTCTGGATCCCTGCAGCATTCATCACCAAGTTTATTGACGACAACAACCATCCAGTGACTTCTGAACGAAAACACCAACTAGATGTACACTCAAAAGGACGAGCCATACTATTCATCTACACTGGGAATCACAACACCACAAAACCGAGTGTTACACCCATGGCAAATCCATCATCTTTGTGAGTTGTCGTGTCATGTATAGGTTTGAAGTCTCGTACTTAGTTACGCCCAGGCAGATGTAGCTGCTCCATTCTTTTCGTCATCATCATCCGTCTCGGAATTCTCGGTTGGCGGCGTCTGATGATAGGGCCATTCGGGATCCTGATATTCTTGCATTGGAATCTGCTTCATGGCCTTTGTCGGGGACAATCCCAAGACATCCTTCATGCGTCGTCCGGCTTTCAAGTAGCGTCGAATATTGTTGGCATTGGCCGACCATCGAAAGGAATCACGAGCAAACGCCGGTGCCAACCTTTCATAGACACGGACAAAATGTCCAATGAAGCGCACGTAATAGTCGGCAAAAGTGGGACTCTTTTGCAAGAGTCCCGATTCTCGCAACGCCCAGAAATGCAATCGCATCCAGACGCGACATTCGTCCAATTGGAAATGACGTCCAACACTGTGGCGTGGTCGTTTGGGAGAATGCCATGCAGCTGCATGGGCCGAACTTCGATCGTGGACAACAATGGCGTGACGACCTCCTGCGACCAACACGGGTGTCTTGTCACGCAACCTGCGATCGGCATCCCAAACGGAACTGCCACTGAGTTTTTGATGAATCCACTTGGCAAACCGTGCTCCGTGAGGATCCTCGTGGGCGCGAATGAACTGATCGAGTGTCGGATCTTGAAATGCCTTTTCGTAGAATAGTTCTGTCATGGTTTGCAAATCCTGCAGCGAGACTTCTTGCTGAAGGAGGGCGCGGGATGCCGTCGAGACCATGTGCGTATTGCCGCCCATGCAGAGTGGAATAAAACGATAAGGATAAGTTCTTGTTGTGGTTGTTGTGGTTGTTGTTGTTGGAGTGCTGTTGTTATCATGATTGCTGTTGGTACTTGCATTGGGTTGGTACTGTGCTTCGGCATGCAAGTCGCCATCCGCCAAACGAAGATTGTGCGCTTGTTCTTCAATGCTCATGTTGTTCTTGCTGTTGCTGTTGCTGCTCGTCATTCTATTGATTTCTTCTTAGTTAGTCTAGTTATAAGCGGTTCCACGTTATGTTTTGTTATGTTTTGGAGTTTATTTACTTGTGTGTGGGACACAGAGTGTTGCGTGATCCTTGGCTTGCACGTACGGAGAAGTGGAGAACTCTTGCCTTGACTCTTCGACGCTTCGGCCGCTCGGCGCCAGCCTTCAACTTCGGCGTCCAAAACAAAACAAAAAACGCACACGCAAAAGAACAACGGAGATCAAAAAAGAAGATTGATACCATCGGGTGTTTTCAATAGCGCTACCGGTACCGATAGCCCTAATATATCCCTAATGCCACGACGGTCTTAGTACTACCGGTAGTAGATCGTTCTAGCTAGCTATGAAGAGTTACTATTTTAGTAAAACTGGAAGAAAGAAGAGTCCAGTTGAAAGTGAAGCCTTTATACTATAGCTAGTTCTTTGAAAACCAATATCATGTCTTCTCAATCTGTTTGGGTTGCTTCAGCTCTACTGGTACGACTGTACCGGGGAATCAAGGAGCCTCAGGGAAATAAAACGCTGGACCTTCTAGCTCAGAAGATGTTTCGGGTGGACAAAAGTGCATTTTAGGAGATCTGTACAATTCAGAGATCTAGACTACAACACTACATGTACTAGCTAGCTAGTACAGCGTACTACTCCACCAAAGGTGATGTTCGTGTCATCAATCTTGATGCTGCTTCTCACTGTCGCAAGGATCTTGACAAGGTCCTTCGCAATGGCGAACGTGACAAGAAACGCAAGTATCTCGACGCCGGTCTTTCCCAGCGCCGCCACTTTACTCCGTTTGTTGTTCGTTTGTTGTCTCTGCTGATGGTCTCCTTGGGGCCGAAGCTGAGGCACTCGCGAAACGTATGTCCGCTTTGCTCGCTGCAAAGTGGGAACGCCCTTACTCAGTGGTGCGTGGCTACGTTAATGCTCGGCTCAGCCTAGCTATTCTTCGGGCCCGCCACCTCTGCATGCGTGGCTCTCGTGTCCCTGCTGGCACAATGGGCTACCGTCGTTCTCTCTGGGATGCCGATGGTGCACTTGCACTCTTCCGCTAATTTTGCTCCCTTGTCCTTCCTGGTTTTCCTCCATGCACCCCCCTTCCCTGCCCCCCTTGTTTTGCCCTGCTCGCGTCCTCATTGCTCTCCCCGTATACCCACCGCACCAGCCACCCACCACCGCAGCCACTGCAATGCCTAGCCTCGCCCCCCTCGCTCCTTAATGTATCTATTTAGTATATTTTCGCCCATGCACCAAAGGATCCATCAACTCTCCGGCAGTGTACGGTGTCAATCGAAACCCTAATACGTCGTCATCAATGACCATGACTTGGAACTCTGATCGAGTCTTGTCTGGGTGTTGGTTCCGTTCGCAGCAGCGCGAAGTTGTAAAACGACGAGACCACGACGACAATCTCAGAGACCCAGACTATTGTTGCCTCCGACCTCAACCTTGACGGCTGGATGCTACCGTAGCTTGCTATAGTTAGCCATATCATACGGTATATATGAACTGATCGTGAAGCCGTTTCTGCACTTGAACCTCCCGTATGGAAGTGAGATCTGTTTCCTGCTACCGGTAGCAACGGAGATATTATACGGTATCCCACCACCGTTGGATACCCCACGCCACTGGTTTTCTTGATCCCCCTTGAAGAAGATACTGTACCCTTGTGCAGTGCAGGTGATACCCAAGATAACACACACATCAGTTCCAGAGGGTATACTGGTATACTGGTATACTTGGTTGACTTGACTTGATTTATTTAATGAAAGATGGACCCTAGACGGAATTCGTTTCTGAATTTGATTGTCTCTGTGGAGACTGGGAAGGATATAGAGTTGGAACAATTGGGAGCTGACCTAGATGGAAGCGGCAACAATCAGCAGCAGCAGGAAGAAGGAGACGACAATGCACACCATCATCACAAGAAGGAAAAGAAGAAAAAGAAAAAAGACAAATATGCTGCCGAAGGTATAGAGCCAATAGCAGAAGAACCAGATGCAGCAGCAGATCAGGAAGAGGGAGAAGTCAAAGTAAAAAAGAAAAAGAAGAAACACAAGCAGGCTGCGGAAGATGCCATAATAGAAGAGCAAGACGCAGCAGAGGAGGAGGAGGGAGCCAAGAAGAAAAAGAAAAAAGACAAAAAGAAAAAGGACAAGAAAAAGAAGAAAAAGAAAGAGGAAGGAGGAGATGATGACGCCGAATCCGATCTCGAATTGGATTCGGACGATGACTTATCCTTGGGCAGTGTTCCCATGTCGTCATCCAGTGAAGACGACGACGATGACGATCAAGACGAAATGGCCACATCACTCCCCACTCAAAAAGACTTGTCCAAGGGTGTCAGCAATCGTGCGCTCGTCGCCGATGGACGATTCCAAAAAGTACCTGGATTTCAACGATCCAATACAAACCCCAATGCCGGACAACACATTAATAGCAAGCGAAGAAACACCCTCGGAGCGGCACTCAAGGGATTCCAAATCGATGTCAAGAGCCTACAACAAGCAGCCGACGACCAAGATCATAGCGATTCCGGTCTCGACCAAATGACTGGTCTCAAAAGCAATCTACCCGCACTATCCGTTTCGGGGGTCAAAGCCAGTAAGCCATCTGCTGCAAGACGACAAACCACTGCATTCGATAGTTTCTTGAAGGATTCCAGTTTGAGCGAAAACAATGTGTTTGAAGACGAAAGTCAAAAGGATCACTGAGAATAATAGAGTTATTGCCAATCAATGATTGACATCAGACACCGAGCTCATGGCGGCAACCATCGAAAACGACCCTTATACAAAGGAACGTAGTAGTAGTTTAGAAATCACGTATAACATCTATCCTGTACTCTTTTTTGTTCGATTCAGCACAGCAGCTGCCACCATCAGAAAGGTAGTTATGGGGCCAATTGCAGCGTTGTCCTGTGCCAAGGTAACACATCGCGGAAGCGACGCCCGTGGCATCACCACAATTTCCTTGGCTAGACCAAAAGATCAAACTTTTTCCAACCTCATCTGGCTGGGAGGTGAAAAATTGACAGTGGTCGTACCGGAGTCAGAAGTCTTCAAATACCAACCACCATTTGCAAAACTGCACCTCTTCCTACCCAAGTTGGTTCCGGGGCATGCTGGTCCTGCTTAGTGATGTTGCCACTTGAAAAGCTCCGCTGGAACATGAAAACCCTGAGTAAAAAGACTTGATGTACGTGCAACTGAATCGAATCAAAATAATAGTATTCTGTGGCTTTGCTTTCCTCGTCAACCTAGCCCAACGTGGGAATGGGTGGCTGCTGAAAGCCAAAATGACATCCAATCAGTCGACCCGAAGAGGCTGGCACCGGGCACTTCCGAACAGAACGAGCCTGGGAGGCCTTGAACAAAAGAAAAGGCACCATGGGAGTGGGGGGATACCGTATCTATTTGCGCCTCGGTTGATCCTTCCTTGAAACTGTCCAGACATCCCTCGGGCAATGCACGTGATGGCTTCGTAGTATTCAGCCAAACTGGCTGGTGCATCCCCCCTTGTCCAGTGCTGGAGCTCAATGATATTGTAGTGATTTGAAGACTAGTGCTGGGGCTAGCTGGCTGTTGTGGCCTGGGAATTGTAGTGCTGGGGTCCGCTGTTGTATGGGTTGCTGTGCTGTGGCTGCTCTGCGACGCCAATACAATGACACTTTGTGTTTGCGCAGCATCAGATCTAACTTTCGGAACCACAAGACTACGACGCAACATTCTCTGGTTTGCTTGCCATGCATCTTGGTGCCAAGGCAACACTCAGACGCAGACTCATGCTGACTGCGGGATTTCTTTTTGTTTAGATCATAGTTTGTGCAAGTTCGTAGATTTTGTGAAGCTTTTGTTACATAGTGTCTTTATTCTAATTGGGCTGGGCTGCTAACTGCTGTACTGCCATGATGAAACGAATTCATTCCGAAATGTCAAACCATCAACTTCCTCTACAAGCTTTCGATCATTTGGTGCAGGGCCTTGGCCTTCTTGATCTTGAGTGCGCCCCCCATGGTGCTGTCTTTCTTAGCTACCAATAAGCAAGCTAGATCTCATCTACCCATGTCACAGTCTTGCGTCCGCTCAGTCGGTTGCGTCTCAGTAGGGAAGGGGAAGGGGCTTTTTGTGCGTCTCGAGGAGGGACACTGTTCTCGGAAGTGTCCGCCACGTATTCAATTGTTTCCAGTTTGGGTGATGGCAAGAAAGGCGCCGAACGCCAATAAGGGTGAGGTTCCAATTCCATCCCCAAGCTCCGATCGTCCCGGTCAAATAGTTCATCCTCAAACGGCAGCATGATTCCACGTTGCTCTTGAGGACCATTGGGATTTCCGTGCATACCATGAAGTCTTCTCCGATCCAGATCCGACGTGTCTGTGTTTGTCCGTATGATTAGGTTTTCGGCATTGTCTTGCCAGACGTTTTCAAAATGAAGCCACGTCAATGGACGGTTGTCTCCGGGACTCGTTGTGCCAGTACTAATGCTGTTGGCGGGGCTCAAGCTGAGCTGATCTCGAAGGAGGAAAGAATGTTCCTGGTGTTCCTTGATGGGCGAAAGCGTGGTCGCTCGATCCTCATCCAGAATCACATCATACTCTTCCACAGACCGGCGGCGAGGAGTGTTTCGAGGAAGCATGTCCGATGGCTCATCCCAAAGAGACGTATCACTCCAGACGCCTACCATCTTTTCACTGTCATCGTCCGTTTTCTTTTCCTCGTGGTCCATCCGTGGCTTTGTTGATTTTGCAGGACCTGAAGAATCGCTGCAGCCACTCATTTCCTTTGATGGTTCTTCTAGTACGAGGCTACGGTCATTGATGTTGTTGTTGTGTATACGTCTTTCATCCGAAGGGAAACGATGGAGATGTCCAGAGATTTCGTCTGAGGGGTGTTTTTGGAGCGTCCTTGGCAACCCTGTAGTAAAGAAGAACTTTCTCGGCCTGACTGCTGTTGGCTCGACCACGTCGGGAGATTCGATGGAATTTTCTATTCCATTGCCTTTGTCTGTGGCAAAGATAGCGGAAGTTGTTGCGTTGGATGATGGAGGCGATGATGATGGTGAGACTATTTGATAAGGTCCCACCGCGGACTTTGGTTGTGGTGCCGCCGTCTTGGTACCGGCTGTGACTAGCAAGTCGCTAGAGAACTTGACGGGTTCTCCCGTTTCGACAGGGTCTTGTGTTAGCAAGAGCGGCTGTGGTTTGCTAGGCTTGGGGCTCGGGGGAAACTCGTATCCCTTGGCCTTAATCTGAGACGCCACCATGGCTGCTGCTGCCATCGATGCCGCGACTTTGGTTGGCGTGACAATCACCAAGACACCCTGGCTGAGAAACGCGGAAAGCATCCTTGTCACGACTTGCTCATGGTTGAGTGGGAACTTTTTGCGAAAGTCTTTGATTCGGCCTACGGTTCGCTGCCCTTCGACTCTCACAAAGCCGCTTCGGTACTTGACGGTCAAGTTCTCCACCAGTACCCCTGGCAAGTCAATGACAAGACAACGGCATCCAATCTGGGAGAGCAACTCTGGATCTGGCGGTGCCATCTCCCTGATCCGGACCGTCAATGGAGGATCTTGATCGCTTTGACTTGCTGTTGTTGTTCCAGGATCGCGCGGCGACTTGGCTGCATCTCGGACCGGCGGAGTACGGCTGCCATTGCCGACCTCGGAAGTTGCCATTTTCTCGGACGATTCCCACCGTTTCTCATCGTTGGTGGCCCTCATGGTAGAGGTAGTTGTCTGTGCTGCTGCTGTTCCTCTTTCGTGATGGAATGCTATAGCTTGTAAGAAGCTACTCACATTATGGCGATCTATTGGACAAAGTTAGCAGCCGTAGCAAATCTCGGCTGTATGGGCAGATCCGGGACTTCATCCCACTTGTCAATTCCGTCAGTGCGATAAGTATCCGCTAAAGAAAGAAGCAAGCTGGCTTGTCATCGACAAATTTGTGCTGAGGGAAGATTATCCATCGCCTAGTTTGGCGCGTCCGAAGGACACTTGCTTCCCACGAGGAACGGTGCCGTCGTTGTGGTCCGGGTCTTGCCAAAACATTGAGTGATACTTTGCTTCCATGTGCATGCCCGTGGGAGTGGAATTCGCCAGTAAGGTTAGCACTAAACTTCCACGACGACATGGAATGGAGCAACGCATCGTGGAATTATCTAATCCTGATCATCGTGTGGATACCTACAGCTACCAGTACCGCACCACAACATTCCGACGCCAACAACAACTCGTACCTGCGTGCGAGTACAGTACGTGGATGTGCGAGTCTGAACGTTTTTAAAAAAAGCTATTGCTGCATACATCCTTCCCTCCACAGCAGAAAAGAACCAGTACAGTGTAATCTTGCGATTCGATTGAATCATTCGATTTCTATTGGGTGGCTGATACTACCTTCTTTTGGGATGCATTCCTTGCTTGTCCAGCTTGTGCCCGGCCTCCTGACAAATGAGGGTGAAATAGCTATCGCGCCTGGTTCGACCGGAACAGATCGTAACTTTCTGTATACTCAGAGAACATGGCTCCAAGGGCTGAGTCCCTCCCACTGAGCCATCCATGGGTCCAACTTCGACATTCCCACTATGATAGAAGCACAGAGGTGCGAAGCAATGTTTTGCTTTTGCTTTGGGTGACCTCGGAGTGATGGTCAAGAAAAAGGAGTTCCCTGTGAGCCCTAAAGAGACCCCAAGATGAGTCAATGCACGAAACTGCTTCAAGAAGGTGATTGATCCGCCCATTGCTCCTGCAATACACGGCTCTTAGCCTTATTCGCGACTCGATCCTAGATAGGGTTTGAGTTCGACTCATGACTGAGTCTCTCGTGAATAGTCATTTGAGACAGGGTTCTCAATGACCGCGCTAGTCATACTAGGTTGATGATGAAACATCGCTCTAGATATTTAGCCAGCGTGGAGTACTTCCACGCTACTAGATCCAGACTAGACAAACCTTCCACGCGTTCCGTTTTAGGATCGTGGAGAGACGTAGGATTACTACCACAACCTACTCTATCACACTTTATAGTCTCCCGCGGGAAGCCAGAATCTCACGGATCCTTTGATGATGATCTCTCTCGTTGATTAGTTTTCATAGCTTTCTAATCTCTCTCATAACTTTCATTCTCTCAAACTCAAAACACTCGAAAGATCTTTACACTAGCTTTTAGCGTAGTGCACTCCAAGTCTACTATCCGGCCACAGAGCGAAGCAATCTTTGGCGTTTGAGGGACCTGCTGAGACTCATGTAGTTCCCTGTGAGTCATAATGAGGCAGGCCCCCAAGAAGAGTAAACACACGAAGCTTCAATGTGATTGATGCATTGCTCCAAGTCTATCCTCGACTCCCACCGAGCACAGAGCGAAGCAATGCTATGGTGCTATGAGGGACTGCTCTCCTGATCCAAAAAGAAATCCCTGCGAGGCGCAATGAGATTCCGAGACGAGGGAAATGCAGTGCTGGCACCCTTCTTCAAGCTGATCTACACGTATCGTTGTCAGCTACCGCTGCAAATCGGTCTTGGGCCGGTACCGGTATTAGTATGGGTGGAGCGAAGGAAGTCAACAATCGCCAACCACAGAGTTGGCTGAGTTAGAATTTTGTTGTGGTCGTCCCTTTTTCTGGTCTTTTTTGTAGGGTTAGGGTTAGCCGAGTTCGGTAATAACTGTGCGAGCACCCGTATGATATGGTTAAAACTTGGGTTATTTAGATTATACCATTACGTGGTACCGGCCAGATGTAACCAAACTCCACTCCTCAATAATATAAACAGGGTTTAGGTAGATTAAACCATTACGTGGTACCGGCCAGATGTAACCAAACTCCACTCCTCAATAATATAAACAGGGTTTAGGTAGATTAAACCATTACGCAGCAGCTATCTAAAGCACGTATACATTCTGGGAGCCCATGGCAGTAAGTATTAGCTATTTGCCAATCAAGGGACAGCCCTTTTTGCTATTTCTATTTCCGTGGTTGGCGCAACCGGAGGCATCTTGTAAGGATATCGCAGTGGTTCACAAGCTTGGTTCTGCTAATAACACCGTGACAGTCCATTCATTCCCCAACTCCTTGAAGCTAATACCTCAGTCATGAGCAGGACTGATCTAACGATTTTTCTTTCCTTCTTGTAGGACAGAGGTACTTAAAGGGTCCTTCCCGGGAGTAAGGGAATTACTAAGAGTTCACAGATGTTAGTGCCGCAGCTGCTCCGCCGACTGGACGCAACGGTGACGGAATTAACGGAGTTGACATGGCTAGAATCGAACCAACAGTGAGAATAAACCGTCAGTGAGAATCTGCTTGGGAACTCCAGGAACACGCTGGAAACGGCATCCAAACCTCAATAAAAAATAAACTGCTTGTTCCTGATAAACACATCTTTCATTTTTCAGCCATCAACTTTGTTGCTAAAGCTACCCTACCAGAATAACAAATAGAGCCACCCAATCAATACTCTGAGATATGGAATACATAACTTGGACGTGCTCGTCACAGTGGTAGTAGTGGCTTGTTGATTTGCCAGTCATTGAAGCAACGAATGGCCAGCAAAAGTAGGGCAGCCATTTTCTAACAAGATTTGCTGTCACCGAAAGGTCGCCCAATCTACGTCCCCACTACTAGCCCCATTGGACACATCTGATGGATCCATTCCTTCAGGTGGACAAACCAACAAGATTGGAATGGCCAAAGCCGTTGATACTATCAGATGAACCACTAGAAAAGATGCCAGAGTTGTGGCTCACTCATTTTGGATCTATGGCATGGGCTGCCACTTTTTTCTATTAACTCGTTGATCCTACTCACTTTCAATAATGTCATCCTCTCTACTATGCCCATTAGATCAATGGGTATGATTGAGTTGATAGCAGAATGGTGACACAGTCCGAAATGAAGGTGAATCTGAGAACTTGGGACCTACACAAGATAATGCCTGCTACATGGCTAGAACCTCTACAACCAGCACATGGCTGTGACAAGCAAAGAATGTAGACAACTTTTAGATAGTTACTTTGGTTGCGTAGGTGCCATATTGGTTGAGTTCATCCTGTCACCTTGTTGGGAGTAGACTGTGGTTGATAGCAGCATACATGCATGTTATGAGCAAAGCACATCACGGGGATTCTTAATAAAAAGGGCCAGTTGCTTTGCGAAATTTATAATCAATATTGTGCTTGTGGATTTGTTATAAATAGTCTTAATATCAAGGTCAATGATGAATTGAGAGCACATCCAGTGAGACTCACTGTTGGTTGCATTCTAGATGGCAATAACTAAAGTGGTGAGCCAACCTGTGACACGTCATGGCTACGTTTTGTCTTACGGGTTCTTTTTGTCGCTTTTGATTTCAGAGTGATCCCTAAGGCCTCGGCTCAGACAAACCAACCAATTGCTATCAAAAGCTTCCCTTGATTACTGCAGTGACAGTAAGTGCCATTAATCTACTTAAGTTGCAAGGTTTCCTGCGACTCGACCAACACTTCTGTTCGGAGAATTGGCTCCCAAGGATGGAATTCGGCACACATCCACAAACCGCACCAAACACAGACCCACGCAGCCAAATGGCCACGGCGACAGGTTGATGCAGAGACCAACGAGGATAGAGGTCTGTGCTACCTTTCCGAGAAGGTCCGATCGACACTCTTATTTCAACAAACGAAACGAAGGAAAGCAATCGAAAGCAATAGTCCTCCGGGTAATTAGCTGGTAATAGCTAGCTAGAGCCACTTTAGTATAGCGCTCTGTCCTCTTTCCCTCTTGATCAATCTCATAATCTTTATAGAATCGAATCAAATCGACATCAGATCAGTCTATCCTTCATCAGTACCGGTATTCTATATCGGCATTCATCAAGCAACCATGGCGTACAAGAACAAGCAACAGTCATCGCAGGCATCCTTGTTGGATCAGTGTGTTTCCTACATGGCCGCTTCGGCGGTGCGTGAATCTGCCTCATCTTCTACTGCCTCTGCTTCCTCCACGACCTCCACTACGACTGCGTTTACATCCGTTCGGTTCTGCGAGAATGCGCGGTTCATCCGCTTGTCGGTTCAAGTACCGGGTGTGTTGCTCAAGGACGTGGGCGTGGAGCTTCAGAGAGGTGTGTTGATCATTCGGGGAATGCGAGAAACGACCTTGGCACATGGACTGCGTCATCAGCACAAGTTCTGCCGTCGCTTTGCCATGGACACTGATGTGGTCGACAGCACCAAACTCAAGGCCAATCTGAACCGTCAGGGACTCTTGACCATCATGGCGCCCAAGAAGAGTCGTCCCAAGCAGACACTCTCGGTACAAGTCACACAGCAAGATGACTATGACTTTGAACGAAGTGTTTTGGGCAGTTTTGTGCAAGCGCAACAGGCTGCTTCTCCTTCTACGAGTGTCAGTGCCAACAGCAGCGCTGCTGCCACGGCTGTTTCCAGTGCTCCCAAGACCACAGCAGCACCATCTCGTCAAATGCAGAACAAGAAAAGCAAGCCTGCTTTGACCAACGTGGTGAGCATGGGATCTGCCTCGGACCTGTTGTCCTCCAGGACGTCGAACAACAACATGGGAACAAGGAGCACCATTCGACGCAACTACAAGCCCAGCACCTTGCAGTCACATCTCATGATTCGTAGAAGTCAGAGCAAGAAATCCATGCGTTAGCTAGCTATCAAGTCTGGCTAGCTATGCATATCTATGTTGCTGGCTGCCATTCATGCTCGTGGGGGCGGTTCCATCAGCTCGAGACAGACAGATACATACTTCATGACACAAGCGACCAACTTCCATCTTCTGAACACCATAAAAAGCAAACAGAGCAAGCCTGCTATATTGTCCAGAACACCCGATTAACTATTATAAATCTGTTACATGTATAACAACCTATCTATGCATACTAGTTTCAGCTTATCCTCCTCTTCGAGGACGGTAGTTGTTGCGTGCCGGTAAAGGCCCCGCCCAGACTTCCCATGACCACAACATTCCGCCAACCCAGCTACATGTAGTTAGTTTCAAGCACCCAGCCAGAAGCCTCAAGGTGAAGCTGTGAAACACGTTCTTGTATCTAAGATTGTCTTTTGCTACTGTTGGGTCCAACGCTACGAGACTCCTTGATTTCTTTGCTTCAAGGCCAGCCAACACCAACATAGCGAGGTTATTCTAGCTAGCTCCCGAAGCTTGCTCCTTCTTATTAGACGGTCTTTCCAATTTCTCCCTTTGGGCCAAGCCCTCGAACGAGTGTTCCGGAGACGATCATCAGTCCAGCAAGCCCACAACGACAGTTCCGCAAGACAGCTTTAGAAACGTAGTTGAGGTAGCTACAAGGTTAAAACTCAATTTTACTAAAAGCATTTATTAATGTTACCGCATCTACCTCTCCTTGTATGATGTTTTATCGGCACTACCGGTACTTTTTAATAATAGCTAGAGAATGCAGTACTGGGTACAACCTCAACTTACTAGTACAAGCTGTATCGGAGCTATTGACGCAAACGCAGGCACGGTCCCGCTAGGACATTGGAATGCGAACTACGACATCATGACTAAAAGACTTAACATACTCAGAAAAGACTTAAAGCAAATACATCCCTGGCTCCCAGCCACTCCATGCCCTTCTTTTTCAATAATTCGATCCAAAGAAGTGCTCTATTGACTCTATCAAGATGATGCTATCTCTCTACAGCGGCTACTCCTCTTAACAAAGGCTACTACTCTCCACCATGACAGGATCCTCTTGGTTGGTCAGACAGGAAAGCGGCTGCGGCTGCGGCAGCGAGTCGAGCTTCTTCCATTCGACGGATCGACTGCTGATGACTTCTTCCTCTTCCACGAATCGATCGATTGATCGATCGACGGAGCAAATCGGTCGAAGCCGAGCGACGATGAGGATCGCTCCCTCTGAAACGGAGCCATGGACTCGGCTGTGCTACTACTAATGCAACAAGCGACAGCTTCTCTGCTACTGATTTGATTGGTGGACTGGCATGAAAAATTGCTCCTTTATATCCTTTAAACCTTTGGGATGGGTGCTCCAGTCTTCATGCAAAGCCTCCCAGTCCTCTACTAGGCTCTACAGTGTAGATTGAGTGCTGAGAGTGAAGACTGGAGGACCCTTCCGATGGAGAAATCCATGGCAGAATGACAACAAAATGGAATCCAAGCCTGATTTTTCATACAGGCTCCATAGAAAACCTTGGAGATAGCTAATGCTTTTTAAGGGGAGTGTCTGTGAGTGTGTTGTGGAGCTAGATCTCTGAAAGCATTATTAGCTATCTCAATGTATTGGTAAGGCTAATAGCCATTTGGTCAACACTGTTGCCATGGTGGTAAAATTCATTTTATTTTCTTCAATCTTTTCTTTGTGGGAATCACTCATTTCAATGCAGGATTCGCGAAATGACCACTTCTGTTAGAAATGACCGCTTCCGATTTTGCTTTGGCCAAAACGAGATTTGGAAATGTCAAATGAATCTGCACCAGAGCGCCAGTCCGTATTCTCTTTTGGAGCATGGGCCTGGTTTCAGAACGTCACAAATTTGGAAACGAAGGAACTCGGATCTTATGCCCTGCGACTTTAGTCCTGGCACTGGTGTCAGCCAGCCCTCTCTGACAGTTGACAGTTTGTTGTATGACGTGAACACTGAGGAACGACATGGAATTCGACAGTTCTCGAATTGCCCCTCTTAAAACAGGACCCAAGGCAATCATGAATGGCAGTCTGTCATGCGTCTCTTTCGCAAATCCGACGAGTTTTGGGAAAGTGTGTGCCTGCACGAGTGACGTCACAAGGAGTTTTTTGACGTCACAGGGGCACTTTTTTGAATTTCAAACTGGAGGTGCAGGCTCTCACATTTTGGGCCGGAAGCAGCGCGAAATGGCTTTTCCAGCACTGGGTATCTACTACTGTAGCTAGAAGAGTAGTCTACCGGTAGCCTATCGATAGATAAGTTGACGATGTTGAGGAGAAACCAAGGTGCTGCGCTGCTCCTTCTCCTGTTGCCATTGTTGGTTCCTGTGGGCCAATCTCAAAGACTCGGGGGAGGAAGAGGTGGTGGAGGAGGAAGAGGCCGGGGTCGACAACGAGAGACAGAGATCACTTCCTTTTCCAGACCAGAAGACCTAGTGAACTTAAGAGGGACGCCCTATCTGGTGGTGAGTGAGTTTGGTACACCTTCTCGGTCAGACACGGGAGCCGTATCATTGTTAAATGTAAACACGAACGAACGGATTCCTCTCTGGACGTTGCCTGAGGGCGATGTGGCGTCTACTCCGCTGTCCCCCATGGCAGATCCTACGTGTACTCCAAGACCCATGGGAAGAATTGGTCCGCATGGCATTGACGCCTATGACAATCGAGATGGCACTTGGGAAGTGGCCATTGTAAATCACTTTGCTTACGAAAGCATTGAATTTTATCACTTGAACTTTAACAACCCGGATGGCCCGTTGCCCCTGTTTACCAAAATTGGTTGTACCTACTTGCGAAATGGGGATGTTCATAATGACTTGTCTTATAGCAGTGACAAGTCTTCCATTGTCGTGACTTTGTGGTACAACAATTACTTTGGAACACGCAATCAACTATTCACGGTCGCCGTTTCCATTCTGGGAGTGGGAACCGATGGATCCATCAAGCGAATCACCCGCGGGGGACAAGTCAACACCATTGTCGAGGGATTTAATGGACCCAACGGGGTCTTTGTCCACCCCGACAATAATCAAATCATTTACGTATCCGAGTCACCCAGAGATCAGATTGTGGTCGTCAACGCCCGTCTGGAAGACGTCGAAACCAATACCGAGTTGGAATGTGCCAGCATTCCCGACAACATTTCGGCGTATCCCGGAACCAATTCCTTTTTGGTCACCCGGATCGACTCGGGGGTGCCGCGGACTCTTATTTGTAGTACGGGAGTACGCTGTCCTCCCATTCGATTCAGTGTGTTGCAGTATGATTATCAACGAAACCGACAAACGGTCCTTTACAGTGGATCGATGCGGGGACAGCCCTCGGTGGCAGTCATCAAAGGACGAGATCTGTTTGTGGGAACCTTTAGTGCGAATGTCATTCTTAGAGTCAGCAATGTTGTGTAAAAGGGAAACATTTCCTTGCCTGGTCTCGTCTGATTTGGTTTAGGTTTGACGCCATGGGCTTCTCCTCGGATCGGTTGAGGATACATGAGTTTAATTGGAATGGAAAGGAGTTCTACGGAATATGTCTTCTGTAGGTTTTCCCTCGACGGGTTATAACTGAGGGACGGGAATAGAGGAAACCTGCTGTCCACCAAGAACCATCAGGGCCTAATCGTTAGAGTACGTCAACTCTAGCATCAATAATAGTATTGTTGTTGCGGCATGGCGGAATGTACTCGCTCAATACAGTTTATTACTGACGAATGGTACCGTGCATTGTATGAGACAATGCCTGCTAGACTCAATCCTTTCCCTTTACCAGGAAACAGTACAATACATGTAGCGTGCGCTAGGTCTACAGTATGCAAACTCCCAGGAATTCTGTAACTTTGTTTTGCTACTAGAGCTCTTTGGGCCTACCTGTACTAACTATGTAATGTGTATGTACTAGTATTGATTCTGAGTGTAGCAGGCCCAGAGAGCTTCTGCCCGTGCCGTGATTGCTCATGGAGACGAGGGCTCCAACTTTCTGTCGTTTGTTCGTCCACAAAACTGGTTGCCCAAGTGCAGCTACAAGCCACCGTAGAAAGCAGACATGCATGTGCTGATTCGATCAGTTTGCATGAATGGAATCCGATTGGTGCGTTATTACGAGCACCATTCATAGCCGCAGTCCAGTTCATGATGGTGTTCTTGCTTGTGTTCTTCCTCCGTGCATGATCCATTGACACAAACGACCCAAAATGTCACAGTTCCAACGATCAAGAGGATGACGAGCATGAGCCATATACGGAACTTGGTGCAACAGGGACCGTTTTCATCCTTAGTCATTGCCTCTCGTTCCTCAATGGTAAACTGCACACTTCTGCGTCGTTCCGCCATTGGTGGTTCAGGCATCAGAGGCGGTTGCTCCGGGTCCTGAGGGTCACCAGCCCCCAGAGATTCCACCGATTCATGTTTGGTTAAGTCAATCAAAGGCACCATCTTCTTCAGCGGCATGTTATTATCGATCGGAGCAGTTTCTAAGCGGAGAGAAAAGGGATTGTGAGCTTGCAAGCATTCCATTCCACTCGCAATCTTTGCAGGCTTTGTACCACTTTGGAAGCCACGTCACTATATCCGAAGTAGCCACGATTTGGAAAGTGACGAGGTGGCGATCAAAGCAGATTGAGTCGTTATATCTCCCTGACGCGGTGCATTGTTGATCGAGTTTTCTTGCCACTCAGTGGAACTTTCTATTTAGATTACAGCGACCCAAAAGAACGAATCCGACAGGCTAGGCCTTAGGGGGTGGATTTAGCATCAGCGGGTGGATTTAACAGTCATACCATCTCCCCTTCTTTTCCCTTATTGCCTGTAGGCTCTTTTCGACCCATCAATCCAGCGGCAACATCGTCTCTGTACGGTAAATCAGAAGCTCTCTATGAGGCCACCCTTTAGGCCCAGCCTCTGAACGCCACCAATATCCGAATGATACCGTGCGTGGCCAATGAGCACAGCTGGTCGAGGGAGTATCGACAGCCAGCCAGCTAGCTAGCTAGCCAATGGAAAAAGAACTTGCTAAACGCGTGTGGTTGCATGAATCAATCTTCTGATGCTGCGGCCGAAGTTATAACATGTACCTGCTGAACTATGCAGGCCTCGCGGATTGAGATGTGATCAGAGAGGCAAAGTTGGTCCTTTTTGGTCGCATCAATGCCGTCAGTCGTCAGTCGAGCAAACATGTATCCACAAGGTTCAAACTCGTGTCGCCCTCGTCAAAGCAAGTGTTCTCTCCACCTTCGTAGTCAACCCAAACCATTTTCGAGACTGTACAGGGATCTGGTGGCCCCCTTTTCCTGGTGTCATCTACGTAGTGGAAACCAGAGAGTTGAATGTCGGAATCTCGAGTGGCCATGATGATGGGTGCCGATCCTGCATACTCCAAGCCATTCACACAAACATCCCCCAAGTGACAGGTAGCCTTGTCATGGCAGACCATCAGGCCCTGGCAGCCCACCGCATTCCAGGGGCAATTTCCCCAGAAATCCAACAGACGAATGTTCTCAAATCGTGTTCTGATCACTGTCAAGTTCTGCGTCCATGAGCTGGCAATGGGTCCATCGTATTGTACATTACGGAATGTGCTGTTGGTAATGGTCAAATCCACAACATCTGGCTCAAGAACGTCGTTGGTGAGGATTTGAGCAGTGTTGCTTCCGATATACAACAAACCCTGTGGACAAGTAATATTCTCCCACAGGCAATCCACCATTTGCTGATTCCGCCCAGGGCCGCTAAAGGACACAGATGCACCACCAAATGTGGCATCACCTGTGATTTGACCCGTGAATGTCATGCCCCTTATTGTCAGGTTATCCGTCCCAAATTTCTCCTCGAGTCCAAAGATTGGCAAGTAAGAGAACACCGTGGCTGTGAAAACTTGAATCATCCCTCCGTCAAGGACACAACGATCCTCCACCAAACCATCCAGTCCGCAGCGCACTTCCACGTTGTGTCGGAAAATGGATAGTGGGAAATCCCCACCCAAGATACGAAAATCTCCCAAGATGGGGTTTGCCATCATGCCGATTTTGATTGTCGTGTTGGGGCACATGATGAAAAGACGTTGCTCTGGATTATGATACTGATCCAGCACAAGATTGTTTGTACTGGAGTAGCAGTCATAGCCGAGGGTAGCAGTAGTTGGGCTTGACGAAAACATGACATCCAATACTTCTTGGTTGATACAGCCTATAGCTTGAGGAAGAAGTCCACTGCTGTCTGGCTGATGCCAAAATCGACCGAATCCTGATTCGCATGCCTTTGTTTCCTTGTCCACTGTTTCACGCTCCTGAATCTCCTCCAAACTGTACGTTCCGGATAGCTTCAACTTGGAATCCGCACTGGCCACGAGAACAGCCGCCAAACCAATGAACTCGAGGTTACGAACGTAAATGTCTTGCACTTCACAATGACTGGCCCGTTCACAGTAGATCAGTCCATGGCAGTAATAGCCCGCTCCATGATCCTCGCAGAACGAAATTTGGTCGGTGAGAGTGATATCTTCGAATTGGCACTGCCGCAGAGTTAGACTTTGGCCTTCAGTGGCAATCAACCTGTGGTCGTAGATGATATTCCGAAACGTGCAATCTTCCAATGTCAATTCGACCGAACGAGGCGTAAGCAGTTCCAATCCTGCCATTTCCTGGAACAAATTGTTGCCTACAAACACGAGACCTGTACTAGCCGTCATGTCTTGCCACAGACAATCTACAAACCGAATGTTCTTTCCTTTGTTGCTAGCCATTACCGAAGACTTGAAATGATTGTGGGAGGAGCGAGACCAAAAGAGGTCAAACAAGGAATGTAAGGATGGATGTGCCAAACTCATGGATGTTGTGTCTGATTCTTTCTCTCCGATTTTTTAAAATAAAAAAACTTACACCAGCTGTGAATTGGTTGCTGATCAATTCGCCCGTAAATGTAATGCCTCGAATGGTAATGTTGTCCGTGCGAACATCTGCCTCAAAGAGTTCGTCTTTTTGGTTAACAGATGGCAACACGGGGTGGTGGAAGAGTACTTGGACAGACCCACCATCCAAAATGCAATTATTGTCCAGCGCTCCATCCAACCCACACACCACTTCCACATTGCTCCGCAAAAACATCAAGGGTACATCCCCGTCGATGATGATGATTTGTGTGTCGCTGGCACTCGGATTGGCCACTACTTGACCAATGCGGATACGAGTAGCGGGGCAGAGAATGAATTGCGTTTGATTGGGTTGTTCAATTTGTGCTCGGAATAGATCCATGGTGCTGCGGAAGCATTCATAGGGATAAGTAATTGGTACCGGTGGTACTGTGGTGGTGGTGGATTCTTCTTCTGCTGCTCCATAGTTCTTGATGGCTCGTGGTATGAAAATTGCAAGAAGAACAATCACCAACACCAAGACGGCAAGACCAATCCACCATTCCTTGCGCCACTTTCTATCATTGCTGTTGGTGGCACCGGTAGGGTTCCTGGGAGGTTCCTCTTGAGGTTGTTGTTGTTGTTGTTGTTGCAGGTTCATTTGCAATTGCGGTGTCCCTTCATCAAAAATCACCTGAACGGCGTGCACCGGTGGCTCCACCAGTTCCGCCACAACCATGGGAGCTTCTTCCCGTGCTTCCTCTTGTCTTTGTTCGTCTTGAGCGCTGCTGGTAATTGGGCTTTGATGAAGAGTATGATTCGAGTCGACGTTCGTTGGTGGTATTGGAATGGTCGGTTCCTCTTGTTGAAGTGGCTCTGGTGGTGGCCCACTCCTCTGAACATGATCGTCAATTCCATTCCGTTGACTGTTGTGGATGGCATAGTTAACTGCCTGATCTTCTGTGGATGTAGCTGTTTTGACGTACATCATTTGTTCGTGTACAGCCAGCACGGAAGGAGGCATTCGTGCCACTGCATCGACCTGCTGGTGTTGGGTGGTACCACCCGTCATGGCAAACGCCCCGGGTTGGCTAGCGCTATTACTATTATCGAGTGAGGCAGCCAGACTGGCAGCGGCAGCAACAGAAGCTTTTGCAGAAGCCCCACTGCCATGGGACCATCGATGTGGTCGTTCTTCTAGTTCCTCTTGGGTTGGAATTGCCGCAAATTTTCGGACAACAGTGGTGTCTTGGCTTGTAGTAGAAGTACTTGTAGTAGTGGATCTTCGTTGAGGATGTGTTCCTCCTCCTCCATGTACATGATGAAGTTCCTGATTGGTTGGAACGGAAGCAAATTTTCGGTCCCTGTCATGGCTAGCACTAGCAATGCTGCTCCTGCTTGTCCTTGCACTTGCAATTGTCGTTTTAGCAATGGCAATGGGTGATGAGGGTGGCTGCTGAACGTGGCTTTGTCGTTTGCCCAAAGCGTGTCGTGTGGGAATGGCGGCAAACTTTTGCGCCAACAGATCGTCTTCTTGATGTTGTTCACTAGCGTTGGAGCCACTTGTGCTGGTACTAGTACCGGTAGTACTTGTGCTATTACGTGCTTCTTGAGTCTGGGCCTCTTCATCAGTGTCCTCGTCTTTTAAGTCAGCTCTTTTCGACACCTCTTCTTCTTCTATGCTTCCAGTACTCGTAGTGACACTGGAAGTTGCGCCATCACTTCGCGCTTCATCCGCAGCGACGCCACTGCTCGCAGCAACGTCCTCTACACTACCACCATCGACATTGTCATTGTCTGGATGCTCGTCATCTTGACCTGACCTTTCGTCTGACACGTCTTGACCACCGCTCGATCTTCCTTCTTGGCCTTTCGTTTCCATGTTCACAGCTAGCTAGCTAGCTAGCTAGGTCAGGACACTTCGTAATAGCACCGCAGATACTGTATCGCTCGATGGAGAGGAAGGTGGAGCTCAGCGATATATTGTGGATGTCAGGCAGTCCACAGCACCACCATGGCTCGGGCAGGCTCATGAGTGAAAAATGAAGAACCCACTGGCCGCCACAATGAAGCTTGGAGGAAGGATTTAATCGTGAGCATCCGTGTTTTCTTAAAGCTGCGAATGAGCAAGTTAGTCTCTGCGCGCAGGAGACGAGGAACCCAAAAGACCTTCATCTGCAAACATGTGTGGTTTCCTCCTTCGATTGCAAAAGCTATGACATGCCGTCTCATCACAAGGACCCACAACCTCCTCCAACACGCACTCCCCTGATTGATTGATTGATTGATTGATTGATTGATTCTGGTCGCTCGCTCGCTCAAGATGCGATCCAATGGGGAAACGAAGCGATTTGTTCTTCTCATCGTAAGCAATCTCACTCGTTGCATTCAACGGTATTGTTGTGTGTCAATTGGAACAGCCGTATGCGGCGATGGTGGATCTTTGGTCCATCATGGTTACCAAAAAGCATCCGTCGAATACTACTGCAACTACAACCCAGGCTGCGATTGTCACACCTCAGAGGCGTCGAAACGACCCTTCCCTCTCCGAACGAAAGATTCGAGCGACTACGATCAAGAAGAAGATGCAGCATTGGTGCCAACCGATCGCAAGGAGAGTTTGGACGAAGATGGCGCATCTTTCAATCCACCACCACGAACACTCAACGGGATCAGACTTACAGTGCCAGACTAGCTACTAGCAACTACTGTACATGTACATGGATACGGAGAAGGGGGGAAAACGAATCATGATGCGCTCTTCGACTCCCGTTGCATCTGCATCATCAATCAGCCATTCACTGAATCCGTTCAAGTAAGGAGCGCTGCTATACGGTGCGTACCCATGGAAACAAACATAGAGACGTCCTGACATCCGGATGCTCCATTGCAGCTCCTTTGCTGCAAGTCGAACAAGCACGTAAAACTAGTAAAATACTTGATCACAATTATCTCTTTATGGTCACAGGGGCGTCTTGTTCCACCAAGCAACACCTCCATCGTCGCTTACTATTATTTGTTCATCATCATGAGTTTGGATTCCCAGGAATGAGGTACCTGCGGCAGCGAGCGTCCATTGCCGTTGAACGTCCATTTGAGCGTCATGAAATAAAGGGCCATAATGTCGCGGGGGAAGACCGTGTCTCGAATGCCTTCAATCGTCATGATTTGTTCGGTGTACGCTTGCAAGCGGGGATAATCTTCTCGAATGCTGTACTTGCCCAATCCGAATCGAAATTGATAGGCCAAATCCAACCGTAATAAGCTAATCCACAAGAGAATATCGGCAAAGCGAAGATCTTGACCCATTAAATAGGACGAGGTAGAATTGTCTTGCTTATCTTGTTGCATCAATCGATTTTGGAGTGTGTCGAGTGCCCGATAGTAATTGTCCACGAGTGTATCGTGGAGCTTTCCATCTTTGGTGGCATTCATTTTGTAAACGGCAGTGGTAATGTTGGAATGAATCCATTTAATCAAATCGTCGTGTTTTTGTTTGACCTTTTCGTCGTCGTCCACCGGAAACAGTTGCAAGTGTTGATTGCGCGTGGCCAGTGATGGTTTGAACTGTGTTTCCAACATTTCCGCCAAACCCAACGAGGAATTGCTAACGGCCGTGTTTTGTTTGGTATCCCACAAGAGAGGAACACTAATGGCTCCTTGGAATTCTGGATTGGCAATTTGGTAGAGTTGTTTCAAGTGATGATGGCCGAGTGGATCGGGGTCGACTTGGGCCATGGGAAAGTTTTTTACCAGTTCTTGTTCTCCGTCCGACATGGCAAAGAAAAACCACCCGTCTTCGTACGATGCTGGAAACAGTTTGACGATTCGAATGGGAAGACCGTAAATGGCTTGGAGTGCCCAAGGGCGTGCCGCAAAGGGACATCCCGCAATTACGTAAAGAATATACCGATCCGGTTCCAAGGGAAACTTGGCCTTGCTCCCATCTGCGGCAGTCAAGTTGCACACCGAGCCCAAAAACTCCTTGTCCGTCGTGGGACCGGCACCACCGTCGGCACAGCACAGACAGTCCATGGTCACTACAGTCGGCTTTTGGAAAATGGAATGGACAAGAGAGAGAGCCTCTTGGCTCTTTGTGAGCTCGGAAGAATGTATTTGGGGTTCTCATCCGAAAAGATACGAGCTTGTCCGAAGATCCATTCGAGTAACTGTTTGTGAGCCGAATTGAGTTCGAATATAGTCCGTGACGTCAGTAAGAGTACGGTTGAAGCCAAAGATCCCATGTTCTGCGGAAGCTGTCATTGCTCACACATCATCCATCTCATCCATCTCATTTATTTTCAAAGAACAAAATTGGATCCAAGCTTACCTGAACCAAAAAGGAAAATGATGAACCACCGACTTGTCCTATCAGTATCCCTCTGTCTGTGTGCCTTGTTGACTGGGAATCATGTCAGTGCCTACACCAATCCACAAACCCCCAAACGAAATAATAATAATAATCAAGTCTTGAAGAATAAGAATGCAGTGGCTGCTGCCGCCGCCACCATGGCGCTGAGTGTGTTGTTGACAACTGCCGAACCCGCCATGGCTTCTTCCAAATTAGCCGCGCAGATTCAATTAAACAGTATTCCACCGACATCCGTCCAAGTGAATATTCAAGATCTGCCCTTGGTGGGAGACCTTCTTTCGGGAACCTACACCAAAGTCAACGCTCCTGTAGCCAATCCATCGATTACCATTGGATCTCCCAAAGACAAGATTGGTGCCATTAAAAGTGCTGCTACCAATGGGCATTTGGAATTCGATGTCAATGGCGTCATTGGGACCCATCTGGATATTGACGTGTCGGCCGAAGAACCGGGAGTGGCACGAGTACGAGTCGCTTCTCCCTTGATTCCCCAGTTGCCCTTTAAAAATCCCGCTGCCGGGGCTCCTACCGTGAGTGGCTCGGAGAGCGAATGGTTTGTCGTCACCAACATGGGAAGTGGAGAATCCTATTATTACAATCAAAAGACGGGAGATACCACCTACCAGAAACCAAAGGGGATCTAACTTCAGTAGTAGACTTCTTGGACAGACAGACAGAAAGCAATTAGCTACCAATCAGCACCAGCCAATATTATAGAAGAAGAAAAGCGCAAAAGATAAGCAGATCGATTGGATTAAAAAAATGCTACTCTTGGATAGCTTACATACATGATGAGAGGCCACCAAGGCATGGCAAGCACGTTATGGAAAAATGGGGCTGTTTCCATCTACGCATATTCATGTCTGATTTCAAACAACAACAAAAAGAATGACTGGACAAGCAACCCACAAGAACAAGCCAAGGGAGCATCGTGGTCACGAGCGCCAAAATGTCACCGTACCAATCATCTCATCTCATCTTACTCATTCATACCATACATTACATGATTTCGTGTTGCTTCAAATTACTGTAGACGTTATTCCGTTTTCCCCCTTCTACACGCAATACTGCCAGGTAGTAACGTCCTTACTCTGGTGGCAACCAAGACACCTTCTCCACCTTTAACCTGTACCGTAGCGATCTGGAGTTTAGCTTGAACGACTACTCTGCCGTTGCCTTCATCAAAGAGCAAGCTCCGAGCCCTTTTCTTCGACTAGCTAGCTACTCTGGATCTCGGCTGATGGTAAGCAAAATGCCTCGTCCACTTGGCCTGTATGTATGCTTGGAGGAGTTGCCCTGCGGTTCCTTCACCAAGAGCAAGCTCCAAGCCCTTTTCTTTGGCTAGCTCACGGTACTAGGACTAGTAGAACCCCAAAGCTAGCTAGATGCAAAGCAGTGAGATCAATTTCGGCTGGCTTCCCCGCTACCTGGTAGCTAGCTAGCTAGTACGAGCCAAATAGAACGAATACTTCGATCTTTCGATTGCCCCGGCCATTGCTTGCTGGCGTATCGACCCAACCTGGCTCCAGTGTGATGCTACACGTAAAGCACGGGTATAGAACACAAGAAGCAAGCAACTCGTTCTTTTTTAAACTAAAATATGCACAGTATTTTACAGTCGTCTCATTCTGATAATGCTGTATGTATCATGGAACGGAGGATCATCGTGGGACGGTTTCTTTTGTATTCACCCTGGTTCTACTAGCTACTAGCTAGACGGAGAGAGTTGCACTGACTTGATCACGATGATTGTTTCCAGTGAGTTCTTGAGAGGAGGAGACGTCGGATGCACGAGTGCTGGTGGAAGTGGCCGTGGAGTCAAAGGTCACCCCTTGATTATTATTCTCTTGATCCGCTGGTGGTGCTTCGACATCCTCTTCTACTTTGGTGATTGTGGTTTCTTTTTGGTTGGCTTTGTCCTCCTCTTCATCTTCGTCTTTATCCTCCTCGTGAAGAATCTTTTTGGGCCAACCGAATCGATACAGAGCCGACGTCAGAGGCGACACAATCATACTAATGGCTCCGTATGCCAAAGGAAATTGCAGTGCTTTGGCGGAATCCATAGTGTCCCCGGAAAGCCCAATGACGGCGACAGCCAAGGCAAAGTTTTGAATGCCCGTTTCAATGGAAATGGCAATGGATTCGTCGCGGGTGCGCCGCAACAGTCGGGCTGCGACGAGTCCAAAAAGTGTCCCCAAGGGTAGCATGAGACAGGCCATGCCCCAAATGGCGGGATCGACGTGTTTGGTCATGGCTTCGTAATGTTGGGCAATGGCGATAATGGAGACACCCAAGAGGGCGAGGAATCCAACCAGAGTGGCGACTTGTGCGACGCGTTCCCAGAGAAATTTTCCGCGTAGTTTCCATGTTCGATTGGTATGTCGAATAACGAGTCCTACCCCCGTGGGTACAATAATGAATACCAGGACAATGGCAATATTTTGCAGGGGAATGTGTGGTGTGTTTTCACTGCCCATTGCGAGCGTAATGAGTAGATACGACCAGAGTGGCATCATGAAAAAGGCAAAGAGCGTCGATAAGAGTGACATGGTGACACTCAACGCTAAATCTCCTTGGGCAAAGTACGTGTAGAGATTACTGGCACTTCCACCAGGAGCCGATCCGACCAAGACGACTCCCACGGCCACTTCCGGGTCCAGTGCAAACATCTGGAGCAGACAAAGAGCAATCAAGGGCATGACCACAAATTGAGATATCAAGCCAATCAAGACGGGAATTGGCTTTTTGCGGGCCAAGTTGAAATCTGCCAACGTCGAAGAGGCACCCACGCCCAAGCCAATACAGATCGGAACGGTCAACGTTAACGCTGCAAAGAAACCTTGCATTGCGGGGGTCATTTCATCTTCGGTGGTACCGGTACTAGTAGATAGGCTCATGGTGGGTGATCAGACAGACAGATGGATGGCAAAGCAGAGGTTTGCAACTGAAGAAAGAAAAGAAAAGGAAAGGAATTGGAAATTGTGTGCTTCTTGTAGCTCTTCGAAGCGACATCATAATGGTCAAGAATCGAATCATCAAGAATGGCACTAACTAATAGCTGTACTAGCTAGTACTACTGTGCCGTACCGTACCATTGCGGGTATCCGGCGTCACTGCCTCCTTCCCGCCTCCAAAAACACCTCATGCGATTTTCGCGGCATCTCCAAGCAAGCATCTGAAAACCTTCAGCAGCTGGATCAGAGTTTTACAGAAGGTGACATATTTTGGGTGAACTTTGGAGCTTTGGAGTACACACTATGCATATTATAGAGGTAAAAACTATAGTCGACGTATTATCGTACCACTGCCCCTCTCTAATTCAGATTCGTTCCCCCAAAATTGGTGCATGCAGATAAATTTGGATGGTGAGAAATTGAGATTGTCACCCTTTGTTTAAGATATCTACAAACAATCATCCCTTTTAGTTAAGAAAGCCCGTCAAGTCGTCAACTTATTGTGGTCCCGTCCCTGCAGCAAAAGACTGTCAAGATGGAGTCGAGTCATGGCCATCTAGCTAGCTAGCTAGCTAGCTAGCTAGGAGCCTGCCTTGGTGCAAACCTGAGTTTCACGGTTGCAGCACTTTGTGCAACAACCAAACGGGCAGAAGACTGGAATTGTACCATTGGAAAGTGGTTCACAGTCAGTCCGAACCTTCCCCAATGTTGGCCGAAGAGTACAGACTTCATCCGGCATACTACCACTCAGATTGGTCAGTTGCAAATCAATGCGTTCCAAACCGGTCATCAAACCCAGTTCCGTTGGTATGGTGCCATAAATACCTGGGTTCTTGGCAACCAAAAGGTATCCCAAAGCAGTCATCTGTGCCAAGCTGGCTGTGCCATGAAAGAAAGAAAGATTCATGGGGTGGATGGCTGTGAGCAAGGGAACATATATATAATATCATATTATGCCAATGCACATTCATGATGAGTGCCCATGCATACGGTACGTACGGCTTAATGTTCCAGAAAGATTGCATTCGGAAAGAATCAGAGCATTGAGACTATCTGTCTCCATGGAGTAGAATTCTGTTGGGATAGTTCCAGAGATTTGTGTTCCCCAGGTACTAAATTCTCGGAGCAATGGAAGGGTGGCTATCTCGGAAGGGATAGTCCCTGACATTGGGTTTTTGGAAAAGATCAGCATTTCCATTTTCTTGAGAAGGCCAGCTTCTGTAGGAATTGTACCAACTACAGAGTTGAAAGCAAGAATAAGCCAGCCTACAAATAGAAAAGAGCAACGTGCATGCATGATTGAGTAAAGCAAGGGTATCTGCAGTACCGTACACAGAGATGCAAACCTGGCTAGACTCACCCAAGTTTGACAATGTGAGTATTTCAGATGGTAAAGTGCCTGTGACTCCTACGCCACCCAGAAAGAGAGCTTCCAGATTCGAGAGCTGCCCAATTTCACTTGGAAGACTGCCAACCGACATTGGATTGTACTCCACATTGAGATGCGTCAGAGCAGAAAGGCTCCACCAGGCTGAAGGGATTGCACCTGTGAACTGATTTTGTTTCACATCCAAATACTCTAGCTCCTTGAGACCATCCAGAGGAGGAAGTAACCCTGTCAGATGGTTGTTGGTCAGTGATAGAGAAGTGAGTTGGCTAAAGTGGACAATTTCAGAAGGTAGAGTGCCATTCAGAAGCATGTCATCTGTTTTAATAAAAGAGAACGCGTTTTGAGCTCGCCCTTGGCATCACAATTTGCCATCCCACAATAAAGGATAGCTTACCCAAGTGAATGGCTTCTACATTGTCGTCTGGGTCACAAAATACCCCAGCCCACTGACATTCATGCCCCGTAAGCCACCTCATGGCAAGAACCTCCTGGAAGGAAGTAGGGTAAAGATTTGATCCTGATAATTTGTGCAGTCCATCACCCACCCAAGCCTCATAGTAGCACAAGTCCATGGTATTGGAAAAGGTGCGGGTGGAATTTTCTGGAGGATTGCATGCCCTCCAGGGCCCTTCTTGTGTCATGGTCATGTAGAAGAACACCAACAGGAATCTCTGTAGAAGATTTGGGGCCATGTCGTCGAGCTGCATTGAGTCCTCATAAACTAGCCAGTGCCAAGCCATGGTCTGGGGCAAGGACTCATCGTGGTCCTTAAAGAATGAATCTCCAAGTGTTTGGGATAGCTGGTTCCGAATTTGTATGCCCCTTTCATCTTGCAATGAGGTTTGTTGGGTGTCCTCATGATTCCCTGCAATAATGGCCGCAACAACAATGGAGATCACAATGACAAAAGCAGCCAAGATGACCAGAAAGGCACCCACTTGTGTCATCCATGGAGGGAAAGCAGAGGCCACACCCTTGAAGTATCCTTCTGCTCTGCTGTGGTGGTGCCCATGTGATTGTTGGCCATCTCCACTGACCTGCCGGGCCACTTGTAGGGGTGAAACTGGTACAGCTTCCACCAAATGTTGGTTCTCCTCATCATCTTCACCTTCTTCCTGGGTGGCTACCCCATCATTGCTGTCGGTAATGGCACCAAACTCCTCATCAGTTATATTGCCAGTGTCATGGTGGGCCAATTCCAATCCCACAGATACTGCTCGCCTACCAGTACCTGTAGGGTGCTGAGTTTGTTCTGGTTGTGTGGTTGAGTCGTCCTGCTCGACAGTCCCATCAGCTAAGGATTCTTCCATTTTCTTCTTGTCCAGTGGCAAATCATCATGTTGCGCAGATGGCTGACTATGTGGACAAGCAGCCAGCTCTGGGTCCTTTTCATGACGACCAATACAGCCATCAGCTTTTGCTGGGTTGGCACCCTTGGCTCTATCAACGTCACTCTGAGGAGGTTCTGGTGCCCTGGCATCAGCATGGGTCTTGAGATAGACACGGTCCTCTAATGATAAGAGACTGTCACCGTCCTGCTGGCTGAGCCTCGAGGTAGCAACCTTGGCTTCGTTCCTTCCGGTATCTTGGGGCGATTGTGACTTGGGAAACACTGGCTGACCTCTATCGTCAAGGTCTTGCTCCTCTTCTACAGTCTGTTTTATTCTGGCAGCATCAGCATCCTGATCGTGATCTGGCGAGGGGCTTTCGTCCGTTCTCCGTTGTGGTGCTTTGTCGGTCGGTTTATCTTGAGGCGGCCATTCTGCCTTCTCCACGGTCTGTACGGAAGGATAGAGGTTCATTCGGGCATTCGAATTATTAATTGACTCGTCAGCGTCATGTTCCGTAACCTTGTCGAGGGAAGGATACATGGATGCGTGAATTTCTGGGGTGACGGATGAAATACAGGATCCGGTATAGTTGGGATCCAGGACGATGTCAACAGGGAATTGTGGCAGCATGGCGCGTCCATGCTGCTCAATGACATCTCTGGCACTGTGGGTCTGAACGAAAAGTCTTGGTGCCTGCATGTGTTTGCTATTGACCACTCCGTTACCGGTAGCTTTAGTGATACACACAGGTGATATTAGTGGTGTTGGGAGATCATGGATGGCAATCTGTTGCGCTTCTGCCGCAACCGACTCTTCCTTGACAGTCGAGACTAGTACTGATATTTCCCGTGACACTTCATCCGACAGGGCTCGCTCATTGTTTTGCATGTCTGTTTCTTCCTCCTCCTTCGACATGCTATTTTGAAAACTCTCCGACAGACAGCAACTCCAGCAAAGAGCAGGAGGGTAGCAGCGTGGTTACTGTGTGCAATCAGCCACCAGACAAGGGTTGATCACCTTTCGGCTGGCTATGATAGCTGGCTTCCGTATGCATATGGATTGCCTCCCCAGACTACTCTAGCGGAACCGGTACAGCCCCTTTTGCTCTGGTTGACGTCTCAGTACGTAATACTTTTCAATGGCTGATGAAGTGAGTGCGATGCTCTTATGCTGCTCTTTCGATATTCTGGATAAAAAACTACATCAGTCTAAAAACCCCTTATTAACCTCGATTGAGCGTCGCGGTGTGGCCTATCAAAGAAGAGCTTTGGATTTTCTTTTTGGTTCTTTTTCTCCCCTCGTCTCCGAAAGCTATCTGTTGCAAGTTGCAAGCCGACATTCTTTACAGCGTAGATAAAAAGATTCTGAGACTACTGTATTTCCGAACCTTCAACCAGAGTTAGTGGCTTATGCACTATGCACCAGCTATGCACCTGAATTTGCGACGGAACTTGGAGTAGCCAAATTAAAGCAATTGCAAGAAAGCAAGCCCAAACCTTGTAAAACTGAATAACTGTCCAGAGTCCAGAGAACTCCGGAAACATCCATTTATTAGCTGGATCTTACACGTAGCCGGATACGGTGCACGCCTCCCTTGATATTAAGCACATTGGAGATAAGATGGCAAGTGCTGAGACTTGCTGGAATGCTAAGATACTGGAGACACTCAGATCTGCACTATCATAGAGAGCTCATAGAGCTAAGATATTCAGAGCATTCAACACCGGGTTCACCCATAGCACAAAACCCAAATGGTTGGCATCGAGTATCGCCGGCCGACCTGAATCGACTGAGTCAAATGGGTTTAGCGACCATGTGGCTCGCGCAAATCCGAGCTGTTTGCGCAGCCCAAACAGCCGACCCAAACCCATTTGACTCATTGGATTCAAATTTACTTAAGGAGAAGAATTGCCACATCATCAATGACATGATTCTAACATCATAATAGGAGCGTTGAGGTTCTCTTTCGCGAGCAAGCATAGCCTAGCAGCGAGGATGTCAAGCCATCGAGCATTTGGGTTTTGTGCTATGGGTGACCCCGGTGTTGAATGCTCTCAGTGAGTACTCTCCCTTGGGCGCATAAGAGATTGAGAAATGATACATTGAAAATTTCTCCAAGAAAAGATACCTTTTAATAAAATAGGCACCAAATGGAAAATTTTCGCACAAAAATGCTCTTTGCTCTCTTCACCTAAAGGGTGTGGCATATCATATGCTTAGAGTAAGGTGGGAAGCAGAGTAGAATTGTTCCATATCACTCTTTCCCTACTAGTAGTCAGAGTATTTGTTATGATACTACATTACACTGGTGGTGGATCCTGAGCTTAGTTATTATAAGTTCAGTATGAATATTTGTGATACGTACTGCTAAGATTCCCCCAGTACTGCAGCAACCTTATATGTGATAGCTTAATATCAAGGGAAATGTGTATTGTAATCCAACGTAGATTTGGTGGGAGAAATGCTGAAGAACACTAATCCAGAAATCAAAAATTGTGATGGTTCAGTTGCCAGCTTTTGTCTTTTGTTGCCGGCTGTTTTCATTATTCAAGCTTAGTGGACACTGGCAATAGTCTATAATACCGGTACCCGCAAGACTGGTAAAATGTCATCAAGCTGCCAGCTGGCAGAATGATTCTGTTGAGGAGCAATGGCCCCCGATCTGATTATTAGTCTAGATGATGATGATGATGAATGAGGGTCAACAGTAAGTTGCTGTTTCCTTCAAACACAATGTGACATCATCTATCTATTTTGATCCAAGATCGAAAGAACGCTACAGGTCCGAACTGGTAAGATCACTGAGTGCTCTGGCAACTTCACGAGAAGATACCCCATGCGAACCGCTACTCAAAGACAATACGCCATGGGGAACCGAAAGACTAAAGGAGGACTCCCGCGCTTCAACTTGGCCCGGGATTTCATCACGCCATTTCTCGTGTTGTTGTCTTCATAACACCTTTTATTGTGCCAGTCTATTGATAACCCACCCATTCATTGGAAAGAGGCAGAGACGACATAGTTGTTTGAGTGTTCATAGTGTTGGAGAAGAGGCATCAGGTATTGGCTTGAAAAAGAAGAGAGAACGACAAGGAGAGCAAGTTTTATTTCCAACAACCAAAGGCAACAAGAAGTCACCTTTTTGATTTTCCCATTTCTTCCATTGGATTCTTGCGCCTCTAGCAAGAGAGTAAGTCATTCCTCGATCGTCTTGTGTCAGTCATGTCCTCTCTTCTTAGAGCCTCCTTGGCTTGATTGACTATGATGATTGTATGTCTCTGATCTGATCTAAGCCAAGCAAGCGGATGTGGCTCTAACAATTGTCTCTTAGTTTTATTCATCATCATCAGACGGATAGGATTCGATTCCCATCCAACCCAACGATCGACACGACGAGAGAGACAGTCATCCACTTACTTACCATGAGAGAAGAAGAAGACCAGGAGAGCCACAAGACGCCGGACGACACTCCTCCGCCAAGTTTTACCGGTACGGAAAGAATGTCAGAAGGAGACTACTCCCAAGAAGGAGATTCCTCAGAGCTGATCACTCACGAGTCGGTTACGGTGGGTGGAGATGCTGATCCTCTGGCGGCTCCTTTTTCTCCCGATCAATTGGGAGTTGCCTTATTGGGTGAGACTACTAAACTTCCCGCCAAGTCCACCGGAGCCAAGAATGTGATTGCGCAGCACAATCAGGAAGATCTCGCCAAGTATCCCACTGAAGTCTACCAGTATCCCAAGACAGGCGGCGGCGATGCCAACTCGTGCATTTCCTCCATTACGGAACTACCGGATATCCTTTCCTCCAAATCCATGTACCCGTCTTTGGAATCACTCATGCAAATCGAAGACAAGGAAGAGCCCGCCTCAGCGGCGGCCATGCTCAGTACCGTTCAAGAAGGAGACGATGAAGAGACGGATGGAGCTCACAAGTCACGGATCAGTAGTGGTGGAGGTACCTTGACATCTTCTTCGACAGCGGGACGAAGTCATACAGTCAAGCTAGAACAAGTGCCCAAAGAGACAGCACCGCCACAAGATGATGATGGAATCCATGATATTCAAACCATCGTGGCCGAGGAGGATCACACGTTGGGAGGATCCACCCTGACCCCGGCATCCGGTGTCACTCCCGCGAATTCTGTCGTCTGGAGACTCATGGAACGCCACAACCAAAACAGCACTCAGGAACGAATGAGCACCGAGGATCTGCTACTAAACAATAATAGTGGCACCCAGGAGGACCTTCAAGACACGCCCCTGGTTTCCCACCACGACCACAAGAAAAAATCGGACACTTTCCCTGCAGGCCAACCACCCCAATCTGTGGTATCGGAACTTTCCTCGATTTATGCCGGTCTCTCTGCCGAATCACCTTCCTCCTTGTCCCTGACGACAGCCAGCAAGGGCACCAGCACACACCATACCGGATCCTCCTCTTCCACTGGATATGCCTTTGTCCCTCCTCCAAACAGTGCAACATCACCCGACATTGTTCCCCAGGCTCCAGTCTCGTCCAAGGCAAGTATTACCAGTCATGCTACTACTGGTAGCAATACTGCTAGTGCCATGACCTCCAAGAATCCAAAATCCTTGACCGTGGTGCAAGAAGAATATCATCACAATCTCTTGTCGTATCATCCCGACACTCGCTCGGTCGGGTCCAACCCGGTGGACGAGCCTTCTGTCGCCACCTACCGCAGCCATGGGAGCAACAGCACTCCCGGAGCCTCTCATGTGGATAGCTTGAACTCCATGGAGCATCGTGTCCAGGTCAAGGTCGCGGGAGCCTTTTCCGCTTCGGGGGAAGATGATGCCGCGGCCAAGGTGAAAAAGGCAATGAAGGAATCCATGAATCATAATAATATCATTCCAACCAAGACGACCATTGGCATGGCGCTGGCGGCCAATGCACCTCCCGCCATTCCTGATGAACAAAAACAACCCATGACGACTAACAAGGCCTTGGATGCCAACGACAGTCCTCCTCTAGGGACGACGGATCCGGTGGACATGGACGGCAAGGTCAATGCGCTCAATGGGACTGTGCAAGGCAGCAGCGATGCTGTGGATCAGCAACAGCAGCAACAGCGGGCACCGCGTCTCCCGGTGGGTCTCCCATTGGCACAATCCAATCGTCCTAGTGCCAGCATGGCCGATCCAGAAGCAGGCAACAATGTCGTTACGACAACGTCCGGTGATGTGCCCGAAAGTGGAGGAGACAACAATGATGGCAATGACGACGGTGATGCAAGCTTGGCTCGTGCCACACCGGTAGACCAACCGGACTTGCAAGTCGCCGAGTCCATGGACAGCCGACGCGATAAGACGCACGGAGTCGAGTTGTGGGGGGGCTGTGTGGTGCCTACACTGGCACTGTACATTGCAGCATCGATTGCTTGTGGTGGGCTGTTTGCCATTGGAGTTGCCATTTTGGTAGCCGTGATCCAGCAAGACAACTCTGCCGCCGCCGACGAGTCCCTGAGCTCTGCCGACTACGCACTACGAACCAAGGCTGGCGACGAGATCAAGATTCACTTGGAAGCTGTGCTGGGACAAGACTTTTTCCCCGTTGACCCCACGGGTATTCAGCCGGAAACTACTGCCTTTGATTGGTTGATATATGAGGATCCCCTACAGATGAATCGAACCGCGCCCAACTTGTTGCAACGATTCTTGGTGGTCTACTTTTACATGATCATGACGGAGGAGGGGCCCTGGAAGAACTGCAACCCACCGGACAAGAACCAATCTCGTCACACCAACGTTGACTTGTGCTACTATGAGGGTCTCTTGGGAGATGGAGTACACCCAGAAAAAACTGCGTACAGATACACCGTATTCTTTTCCCACTACGACGAGATTCTGGCTACTCGTTGGCTGACAGGTTCTCATGAGTGTCACTGGGCAGGTCTCTTCTGTGACCAAGAGAAGAACATTGCGGCAATTCATTTGGGTAAGTAGAGTGGACCCATCACGTGGCTCGGATGGTTTGGCTCTGCAACCCACATCGCTGACCTCTCGTTTATCTTTCTGCCAATTTCAGATGACATGCAATTGAACGGGACCCTCCCAATCGAGATTGCCCACCTGGAGAGCTTGACTTCTCTTTCGCTTGCAAACAATCAGTTGAGTGGTCCACTGCCTTCCGAACTCGGTAGTGTTAAGGGACTAACCTACATGGATTTGAACTTCAATCAGTTCACTGGCGAATTCCCCGAGGAGTGGTGGGATTTGAAAGGCTTACGCCACCTCAACCTTGGCTTCAATGCTCTTCAAATGGGTCGTCTTCCCGCGGAGGTTGGAGATCTTTCCAAACTAGAGTTTCTCCGTTTGGATGGCAGTGGCGTGACGGGAACGTTGCCCAAGGAACTCTTTGAATTGACCAAATTGGGTAAGTTGGTCTGCCGAACGAATGTTCTCTCGTGCGGTGCCAATGCTGTCTCTCACATACTGTTCATTTGTCCGACTCCGTTTGACTTCTTTGCTGCCTTAGATTGGTTGATACTTCAATACAATGCTCTCACAGGAACTCTCCCAACCGAAGTTGGTTTGCTCCACGAGAACCTCCAGTTCTTCGGCGTGGGCTTTAATAACGAGTTAGTGGGGATGATCCCCACCGAGGTTGCCTTGATGACGAGTCTCGTTGAGTTGGGCATGTCTAAATGCTCGTTTTCGGGTACCGTTCCCGAGGAGCTTTTGTTCGGCTTGACGCAACTGAACGGGTGGTTTTTGGACTATAACCGCCTCACAGGGACCATCAGCAGTAAGTGTTGTTGTTGTGTTCACAAAATTGTATGTAGACGAAATGCCTCACCCCATTCTCTTTGTCTGATTGGATACCGTAGCCAACTTTGCTCAGTTGACGTCACTCAGCTATTTGCTCTTGTCTCACAATCCTATCACGGGGACCGTGCCCACTGAGCTTGGCTTGTTGTCTGTTTTGCAACGTGTGGATTTGGATGACACGGATCTGATGGGCACCATGCCGGACGAGTTGTGTTTTCTCCGCGCGCCTCACTCACTGAGCAAGCTCAAGGCGGATTGCGAGCCCTTGTCGAATGGGTTTATTCCCATGGAATGTCCGGCGCAATGCTGCACGAAGTGCTGCAATCAAGAATCGGGTACCTGCACCAAGACTACCGCGTAGAGACACCACATGAATATTTTGGTACGACTTTACCATCTTGACGATCTGGGGATCTTTGGACAGCTTCAAGGGCGGAGACCTTTGACAGAACGCCGAGATTCCAAATACGAGACACCTGCATGTTTACACACAATCTATGGCTTAGAAAAAGAAAGAGACATTCGCACCTACACAGACACGGATCCACTCCAACTATAGATACGTTTGCTTTAGCCTCCTCATCTCGGCTCAGGAGACTGTCACTCCTTCCAAGATGAGTAAAACCTACAGTTCATGTTTCATAGTTCCAATCTATCTATTTCTATTTCTTGTCCTTTGCAATGATGGCCAACAACTCGTTTGCCAATTCGGGTGTGGCGGCACCAAAGAAGGATCGTTTCATGACATCTAGTTCGGTATTGCTAAAGTCTGAGGCTTCTATGTCTCGGGTGAGCCCTCCCGCTTCTTGAATCAGCAACTTTCCAGCGGCAAAGTCCCAAATTTTGGGTCCCAACCCCGTGTCCCAGGATCCTTCTTCAAAGGCCGCATCCACACGTCCAGCCGCAACGTTGGCCATTACCAATCCGGTGGATCCCAGGATGCGTAGATTGCGGACTCCTGTTTGCAAGATGGCAGCTTGTAGATTGCAGAATCGGGCGACTTCGACGGATCCTCGCCCGTATCCGGGGTCCATGGTAATGACGGCTTGTTTCAGCGATTTGGTTTGTGAGACTTGTAGCGGAGTGGGCGCTCCTCCCTTGGCAATGAGAAAGGCTCCTTGACCCTTTGTGGCGTAAAAGAGTTCGTCATGATATGGATCATAGACGACCGCCACTTGGACAATCTTTTGTTCCAAGAAACTGAGAATGACACAACTCAGTTTGAGCGAATGAACAAAGTTGGTCGTCCCATCAATCGGGTCAATCGTCCACGTGGGATCGTCCGTCAATTCGTACTTGGCGGATCCATTCGATTCTTCTCCAATAATCTTGTGAGCGGGAAACTTTTCCTGAAGCAACTTCACAATCAATTCCTCGCACTTTTGATCCGTCTCCGTCACCAAATCCGTCGAATTGCTCTTTTCTTGCAGAGCACCCGCACTGCCCAACGCACCCACAATGGTCGATCCAGCCAAACGAGCTGCTTCTTGGGCCACTGAGAGAACCAGAGACAAGTCAGTTGCCGATGCTGTTGTATCACTCATCGTTGCCGCACATACAGTGTCTATTGGTGAATGTGCTACCGTACTGCTCTATGCCAGAAGACAGGGGACAAACAGATCTCGAAGCAAGCGTCCTTACCGGTATGTCATTGTCGTCGCCAAAAAGGCTCGATCGATCGAGGAAGCAATTCGAAAGGAAAATTCGAATTACACGAATTTATTCAATCGATCATTCACTATTTTGAATCGAATAGAAGGGGATCGAATAGATTCCATTATTTGAATCCAGTTGAGCTTTTAAAAATACTACATGTATTGGTACCTCTAGCAAGAATTCGTCGATGACATCTACCAGGTACTACTAGTAGTACATGTACAGTACCTGTTACCAGGTACGTCGTGCGGTACAGAGGTTGCTCGTCCCTGGGAGGGAGGGAAGGGCTACCATGAGCCAAACTATATCGTACTGATAGGTAGAGGCGAACAAAAGGCGGCTTCACGGATTTGGCCTTTGTGAGGTGTCTTCTGTCTTTTTGGAGTCCTCCTTCCGGGCAGAGGGTTCATCCCAAGTTGCCGCCTGAGCGCTATCACAACCATTCGGCTTTCTTGGGAGCGGAGCTGAAGACTCGTACCGGTACCCTGGGATCCACTGGACTCCCTCTCCTGTTTCGTAGGCTTCCTAAATTGCAAGGTTGAACGCGAGGTGAAAGATACGGTTTTGCTGTCTCCTCCTCCATGGATAGTCCCGTAGCTTCATTCAAGGGGCCATGCATTAGTTGGGCGGAAAACGATATTTCTACAAACGACCATAAGCAAGTTTTAAAGAATTTCGAGTGTACATGTACGTACTCGTACGGCTTCATCTGGTTCGTCTGGGACGGTCTTGGTGAGGGTCTGAGCTTGCACAGTCAGCAATGACGGTTACGACATTGGAGTGGTTTGTAGCTACGATGCATGCATAAGGCTAGCTATATGTAGCTTCGGCACTGTATCAGCGCCCGAAAGCCCCCACTCAGATGCGGCGTTTGTGAGAAACCCGGACAAAAACCACCCCATTGTGTTCGTGAGTTCGAACCCGGACCAACGACACCGGTAGATAGCGCGTTGAAACGAGACCTTGTTGCGCTGCTAAACCAAGACAAACCGATTCATGATTCCATTCCACAACAAGCCAAAAAGTTGCTTTTATTCCTTCATTCCTCTGTTAGTTAGTGCGTCTGCACGTTGTTTATACCGTATCTACTACACTTCGACCATTTCAATGGCATCGTGTTCCTCCTCTAGTGGTATCGGTAATGCCGGCGGTGGTTGTGTCAATTTCAAGAATGGTGGTGTGGTTGTTCCAACAGTGCCGGTTGGAGTAGTATTTTGCAAAAAGTCCATCATGGGAGGAAAGGTTGTAAAATCCTCCGCTGAAGGTTTCTTGACGCCATCATCCACAATGACCAAATCAGGCAGCTCCACCGGATCACTATTATTCTGTTTGTCGCTTTTTTGTTTCTTGTTTGGTTGCTTTTGATTTCGTTTGGTCTTTGATTTGGATTTTGGTTTTGGTGGCGGTTTGAGTGGTGGCGGTTTGGTACTTGTGGTGGTTGTTGAGGACAAGAACAATCCTTGTGCTACTTTGTGTATGGGTTGTCGTGCCGTTTGCACGGCTTGTCCCAATTGTGTTTGTGCCGTTTGTAAGAATCCCAACAATTCCTTGACTTCGGAAATGACCTTGTGTGTTCGCTGTTCTTCCATATCCTTGGAGGTGGCATTGAGATATTGGGAATATTGTCGTGTACAGTGGGCACAACAAATGAGTCCCCCGGGGCCACCTTTCGGACAGGCATCGTAGGGTGCTTCTAGATCGGACGTGTCGTAGGGGTGTTCGTTCCATTCAATGTCTCGTGCGAAAATTTCGGCCAATTGTTGTGGATTTTTCATTGTGGGTGGCACCGTGGCAGTTTTGGGAATCACCACAATGGGAGTATTGTTAGTAGCTTGGTTGGATGATTGTGCAGTAGCTTGACTGTCATTGTTGTTGTTGTTGTTGTTGTCTGTATCGTCTTTTTTACTAGTAGTAGTACTGGTGGTGACCATATTAATTTTGGCCTTGTGTGGAACGACAGTTTCTTTTCTTTTTTTCTTGGGAGGTTCTTTGGGAGTCTTTTTGGGTCTGGTGCGTTGTTCCTGTTCAACAGCGCTGGGTTGTGAATTGACGCGTTCTTGTACGGCCAGTACGGAATTGAGAGATTCCTGATGTTCTTTTAATGCCTTGTCGTCTTTGGCTTTCTTGGCTCTTCGGACGCGTTCTCTGAGATATTTTAACTGTTTCTTCTTGGCAAACCATTCTTCTTCGCTCATGCCAATCCGAGACAACTTTTCCAACAAAATGGCGCGATTGCGAGCGCGGACTCCCGCACCAATCTTGGCCTTGTCGGCTGCCGAGCGAACCTTGCCCTTGTTCCAAGGTGTGTTGCCACGGTTCGCCTTGCTAATCTTGAGCTTGGAGTCCAGTGTATGTGCATACCCTCCATTCTCCGTCATGCGAGCTGCTGTGTCGGCCGTCAAACCATGCTGGGGACGTTTACTTGATTGTTGGGGCTTATTGCTCACTCCTCCTTCTTCTTCGTCTCCTTCTTCCTCCTCTTCCCCTTCTGGAACCCAACCATCCTCTTCATCGTCAGACATTGATTCGATTCACAGTGTACTACTATAGCTAGCTAGCTACTTGTAGAACCTCAATGGCACGGCTGTCACGGTGCAGAAAAATAAATGCTGTCGGTCGAGCTTGATGAGTTCATTGAGTGGGGTGCACGCCAAGGATCTTCGCGCGCAAGGCTTGTGCGAGTCTACAGTAGAGTTAAGCATACTGAGTTAATTCTTAGGGTTAAGGACTATACAAGTAGTGTGGGTAGTTCGAATACACAGACTACACTGTGTATTGCCTTTACGCTGTAGCTAGCTAGCTAGCTAGTGATTAATTTTACAGTATTAGATAAGAAGCATTTACCGCATCTTTTGTTGGTCTTGGAGTGATCATGAATGAGTGAATGACGATCGATTCGATTCGAGTCGTGGATAAATCGGAATCCTAATCAATTTTTGGAGCCATCCTAATCAATTTTTGGAGCGGCTCCAAAAATTGATTAGGATGGCTCCAAAAATTGATTAGGATTCCGATTTATCCACGACTCGAATCGTCATTCGTCCGACAGTCTTTAAGTCTTCTCAACTAATGGTATCGCTTTGCACGCATACCGTACGATACCGGTATCATACGGTACCGTATGGGTGCGGTACTCCAAGCTCCAAGCGACACAAGAGACATAAAATACCGCATGTACTATGGCGAGTACTGTACATTCTACCACTAACCCCTACCGAGTACTACCAAAAAGACTGGGCTTCTCATCCTGTGCTGTCAACTCACCGCGAACCACCAGGACATGAGAACGAAGATGAGGTCTCAGGTCTCATGACCAGATCGAAGGTTGGCTTGAACAACAGAGTTATAACTTTTTTTAGTTAGTTGTTGTTTAGACTTACGAACGGAGCCATGGAGGACAACAATAAGAATGGAGAGGAGAGTGATGAATCTATCAAGCTCAAGAGGGAGAGGGTGCCGATAGCATCCACCTATAAAGCAGAGAGTGGCGCAATGCGATCGTCACCAAACAGAACGCTCCTGATCACAAAGACCCGGAGTGCCAGAGATGTCATGGAACAGAACGAACAAACCATGTTGGCACAATACCCTACAGAAATCATAACCGAGACGCATACCATTGACTCCACGATCTCTTCCATCACTCAAAATTTACCCAAAGAGTCCATGTATCCTTCGGTCGCACAAGACGGGATCATAGATACCGGTACCGGTAGAGACACATCCCATATGTATCCTTCTTCGCAGGAAGTGGACGAGGCAGAGGCAGACCAGCAGACTCTGATTGCCAGCACACATCCTGCGATGGAAAGAGACAACAACAGAGAGCAACAAGGAAGTAGTGGTACCGGTACCGGTATCAATTGGAAATCAACGTCGCAAGAAGATGAACCCGCAAATTTTCATGTAGCGGATTCGAATAATGTTGCACACTTGAGCAGCAACCACAGAATAATCCAAAGTGACACACTCCAGTCACAAGAAGATCGTATCCTCCTCAAGACAAACGACATTGGTAATGGCATCAGTACCGCCATGGTGGCAACAAATACACCATCAGAAACACAACCTCAAACTGTTGCTACAAAGAAGCAAGCCAAGGTTATTACTCCCTCGAGGTCCATCCACCTGGGTGGTGACAATATCTTATCATTAGAGGACCGTGTCTATCTCAAGACCCATGCTGATGCCAGGGCACCAGAACCTCCTCAGAGTGGCGTTGATAGAGCCAAGGGTGCCAACCCAGCAAAAGCTGATGGCTGTATTGGTCACGATGAAAAGGACCCAGAGCTGGCTGCTTGTCCACATAGTAAGCCATCTGCGCAACATGATGATTTGGCACCGGAAAAGAAGAAACTGGAAGAATCCTTAGCTGATGGGACTGTCAAGCAGGACGACCCAGCCACACAACCAGAACAAACTCAGCACCCTACAGGTACTGGTAGGCGAGCAGTATCTGTTGGGTTGGCATTGGCCCACTCCAATAACACTGGCATTATCACTGATGAGGAATCTGGCAACAATATCAACAACAACAACAACAATGGGGTAGCCACTGGTGAGTTACGTCACACCCAGGAAGAAGGTGGAGATGAGGAGGAGAACCAATATTTGGTGGAAGCCATGCCAGTTTCACCCCTGCAAGTGGCCCAGCAGGTTAGTGGAGATGGCCAGCAATCACATCGGCACCACCACGGCAGAGCAGAAGGAAACTTCAAGAGTGTGCTCTCTGATTGCCCTCCATGGATGGCACAAGTTTTTGCCTTTCTGATCATCCTGGCTGTGTTTGTCATTGTGATCTCCATTGTTGTTGCGGCCATGATTGCATTGAATCATGAGGACACCCAACAAACCTCATCGCAAGATGAAAGGGGCATACGAATTCGGAACCAGCTATCCCAAACACTCGGAGATTCATTCTTTAAGGACCACGATGAGTCCTTGCCCCAGACCATAGCTTGGCATTGGCTAGTTTATGAGGACTCAATGCAGCTCGACGACATGGCCCCAAATCTTCTACAGAGATTCCTACTGGCTTTCTTTTACATTACCATGACACAAGAAGGACCCTGGAGGGCATGCAATCCTCCAGAAAATGAAACTCGAACCTTTTCCAATAGCATGGACTTGTGCTACTATGAAGCTTGGGTGGGTGATGGACTGAACAAAGTAGGAGGATTAAATATTTTCCCTGCTTCTTTCCAGGAGGTTCTTGCAATGAGCTGGCTTACAGGGCATGAATGTCAGTGGGCTGGGGTGTTTTGTGACCCAGACGACAATGTAGATGCCATTCACTTGGGTAAGTTATCCTTCATTTTTGGGTCGCGAATTGTGATGCTAAGCGCGAGCTCAAAACGTGCTATGTTTTTTACAGATGACATGCTTCTCAATGGCACTCTACCTTCTGAAATTGTCCACTTTAGCCAACTCACTTCTTTATCACTAACCAACAATCATCTGACAGGGTTACTTCCTCCTCTGGAGGGTCTCAGGGAGCTAGAGTATTTGGATGTGCAACAAAATCAGTTCACAGGTACAATCCCTTCAGCCTGGTGGAGCCTTTCTACGTTGACGCATCTCAATGTTGAGTACAATCTAATGTCGGTTGGCAGTCTTCCAAGTGAAATTGGGCAGCTCTCTAATCTGGAAGCTCTTCTTCTGAGCGGAGCAGGAGTCACTGGCACTGTACCAACTGAAGTACTCACTTTGCCAAACTTAGGTGAGTCTAGCTAGGTTTGCATCTCGGTGTACTACAGATGCCCTTGCCTCATTGCATGCATGTTGCTCTTTTCCGTTGTAGGCTGGCTTATTCTTGCTTTCAACTCTGTAGCTGGTACAATTCCTACAGAAGCTGGCCTTCTCAAGAAAATGGAAATGCTGATCTTTTCCAAAAACCCAATGTCAGGGACTATCCCTTCCGAGATAGCCACCCTTCCATTGCTTCGAGAATTTAGTACCTGGGGAACACAAATCTCTGGAACTATCCCAACAGAATTCTACTCCATGGAGACAGATAGTCTCAGTGCTCTGATTCTTTCCGAATGCAACCTTTCTGGAACATTAAGCTGTACGTATGCATGCTCCCTCCTGGATGTGTGTTGGAATATGATACATTCCCTTGCTCACAGCTACCGTACCCATGAATCTTCCTTTTGCTACACAGCCAGCTTGGCCCAGATGACTGCTTTGGGGTACTTTATAGTGGCCAAGAACCCAGGTATTTATGGCACCATTCCTACGGAACTGGGGTTGATGACCGGTTTGGAACGCATGTATTTGCAACTGACCAATCTGAGTGGTAGTATGCCCAATGAAATCTGTGCTCTTCGGCCATCATTAGAGAATGTTCGGACTGACTGTGATCCGCTTTCCAATGGTACAATCCCAGTCTTCTGCCCGTTTGGTTGTTGCACAAAGTGCTGCAACCGTGAAACCCAGGTTTGCACCAATACAGCCTCCTAGCTGGCCCTGCTGATCATATCGACGCCAACCCTTGACAGTCTGCTGCTGCATGTGGCCATCATGGCGAACAATGTTATTCATCACTTTGGGTAAAAGGGTAGAAATGGTCCATTTCGCAGAGAATGAAGTATAGAATCTCATGAGCAATACACTAAAAGAGATGCTGGCTTTCGCCAGAGTCATTTGCTGGTATCCTGGTACTCTACTTTGGACTCCTTTCCTTCCAGGGATCCCCAACACCGACGCCCCCATCAAGGAAGCTACATCCAGGTGAACTGTTGGAATCAACGACAAGCAAGCTCCTGTGGAGCACCCCCCCCCCCAACTCTTACAGGACCCGCGGACCCGCGTAGCGGTACAGGTAGAAGCCATCAGTGCAGCTTTGCTTCAATAGCATGCTCTGATTGACCAGACTCTAGATTTTGAGAACAGGAACAGGTAGTAGCATTATTACTTATTATCTAATAATAAACCGAAGTGCATCAATTGAAATGCTGGCTAGTGATACAGGATGAGCAGGTAGGAAGCAACCCAAAGCTGCTCGTATCCACGAAAGTGTTTGAAACCAGCGATACGAATTGTTCAATCGATGCTTCAAGCAATCATCAAGTTTGGATCTTGGTCAGACGATCGGTTCTGCATCGATTCGAGTATTTGACTTGCCATTGCCGTTGCCGCAGGCTGTCCCGTTTGAAGCAACTGGCACACCAAATGAACAACGGCACCTTGCGGGTCGTCGTTGCTCTGAGCATTCACATTTGAGGCAAGGACAACTGGGGCTGGGACAACTGGGGCCGTGTTGCTGGGTGAAGGTAGGGGTGCTGTGTATGACACAGCCAACTGAGGACCAGTGGCTTGCTGCATCGTTGCGAATATTTGCATGGCCATAGCAATAGCAGCCGGATGTTGTGATCGAAGCAACTGGCACACCAAGTGGACAGCAGCTGCTTGTGAGTCGCCGTTACCTTCTGCGCCGACATTTGAAGCATTCATAGTCATGCCGTTTGCCAAGGGACCCGTTGGTGTAGCTTGCTGCGAACCAACTGCGTGGGGTTGTACAAACAGTGGCATCGCCGCAGAGAGAACTTGCTGGACTCCATCGATTCCGATCGTAGGTGGCGGTGGCACGGTAGTAGTGGTCGAGACATACACCGTGGGTATTTGGCCGCCTTGAGACAATGCCACATGGTTGGCCTGGTTTTGAGCGACACCATGCACTGCGTTGATGCTGGGCGCGTTCATCGCATGTGCAATGCCATTGATTGATCCGCACTGTGGTTGCTGGTGCATGGGATGCACGGAACTTGGCGGTTGGAACTGCGATTGAGCTGGCATGGCGTGCAACACGTTTCCTGGCGCCTGCTGATGCATATGGCTTGACGGCGGGGACGGCATCAGTGCAGGGAGAGCCAACTCTGGAGCTTGCGCCACGGCATTGGTTGGGGAGAGGTTGGTACAAGCGCTACTAGTCGGGTTCTGCATCACTTGCATCAACACTGTAGCGAGTTGCTGAACAACTTGATCGTGCCCCATGTCCGCTGCGTTGGGATGTGATGGAACAGTTTGCTGTGGTTGGGAAGGAGCGTGATACACTGTCGACTGGATAGTATGTGAAGGCGGGTGCAAAGGTGGATTTGCAAGCATTCCTGGGCCATTTATAACCAAAGGCGGATTCGCAAGCGTTCCTGGGGCATTTACCATAACGAGTCCTTGGTTGGATGCAGCGACTTGCCCACTTATTGAGGAGGCTTGAGGCTGGAAGGACGCTGACGGTTGCTGCTGCTGCGTCATTGCCAACACGCCGGTCCCACTGGAGGCTTGACGTTGTTGATGGTATCCTGCATTGGCTGCTTGCTGGACCCACGTTTGTGACGCTTCTTGCCGCTGAGGCTGCTGCTGGACACAGAGTGCCTTCTGTTGGACTTGTGGGATCTGCAGCTGAGACTGATGTGGAGCACATGAGGCATTCAGCTGTGGTTGCGGGACAGCAACGTTTGTACTGAGCTGAGGCAGCTGGGCACACGGTGCTTGATGGGCGGTTTGGAGTGGTGGCTGCGACGGAGCAAAGAACACATTGACCTGCTGCGGGGCTTGAGGCTGTGAGGGGGGCAATGGGGCACCACTCTGTGGGGCAACTTGCTGGGGCTGTGGCCAATGCTGGGCACAAGGCTGTGGAACCTGAGGCTGAGCACTAAGTTGTCCTTCCGGCTGCTGCTGGGTGGTACCGGTATCATCAGAAGAATCCCTCGCCGTCAAAAGCGAGTGCATGTTTTGGGCACGTTCAAGGAACTCTTGTACTTTCTGATTCTCTCTACGAATGACCTCATTGGCAGCGCTGAGACGCTGAAATTCTTTGGTATAGCAGTCCATGATGATGTTGTCTTTCACTCGTTTGCGGCGTGCATGGACCCGCCCGAGGCGTCGCTTCCTTTCTTGTTTTGTTTCCCCTTTCGGGACCTCTTCAGGGGGCAACTGGAGTAGGCTCTTGGATGTACCGGTAGCATTGCGTCGTCGACGTCTCATCCTCTTTTGCAGCGTGGCCTGTATCTTTGCTTGGGGGTCAGGCTTTGTTGGCACTTTCTTTGCGGACGACGACCACTTGGGGACAATAATGTTATCATCCGCAGACAAGGAAGACATGGACGATTCTGATGGTGTTGCATGGCTTGGCGTCTCTTGCTGGGCAGGCATCTTTTGGTCGTCTTGAGTGGTCGGCATGACGGCACACACGTCATGTCGGCTCGCCATCATAGGGGCAATATTAATACTGTCATTGCCAGTTGACAATTCGTGCAATGCAGCCCAGAGCAGCGAGCTCTTGATTTGTCCTGCTTGAGTCTCATCGGGCGGACCACCAGTTGGATGTCCTGTGAGTCTCTGACAGTGCAGGTGCGACATGTCCGGAATATCTAGCCTGAGATACTGAAGGCTGAAGACCGGGAAAGACTGAGAATGATGGGAGAGATGTTTCTATCACTACTAGTATTGCATGGAGAGTGAGAGAACGAGAGAAGATGAGAGATGAAAGCTTTGTGTTCAGTTCGGCAGATACAGATACCTGGTACAATGATAAACGAGGACAAGAGCAACACCAATCGATTCCCAATCTCCCCATCACTCCCACCAGTCTGCACCAAGGCAGAGCTCCAGACTGCTACCAGTAGCTAGGACACCACAACATCACACCACACCACACTATGCTCACAACAAAGGGTCGAGCCCTGCACGCGGTCATGCCAAGGACCATGGTGCCCTACTACGGTAGTAATCTCCTTACCTCAATAATTGCGCTGCCACGGCGGTATTATGACGAGCAAAGCTAAGAGAAGGAATGAATGGGAGAGTCGGAGGCAAGCAACTCGAGCAAGGGAGAGGGAAAAGTAAAGGACTCACTTGTGAGCTCTTGTGAGCTTCTCTAGGATGACATCCTCCAAAATACGGCCTGTTTCAGGGCTCTCGAGCTCCGAGTCCGTCAATTTTCGTCAGGTGGTTGCCTTTCTGACTGCCATCTGTTGCGTTGCGAATCTGGATTTTCAACTATCAAAGTGGCACTGCAACTTTTCTACTTAGAACACACTGGCCATCTGCTCTGACAGATGGGCCTTCTTCAATGACGTACGAGAAGGAAAGACACGGAACATCTACGGAGCACAGGCACAAGGGACAAAACGGACAACAGATGCCTAGCAGGTGGTACACACGTCTGTCCGATTGATGTCTTCCAAAACAAGTTATTGCCGCCGCCACAGCCCTTGACGCTCCAATCCCACACAGACGCGACAAACCTGGATTACGTGTCGGCCTGCTCGATTCTCCCATCGCCGCGGTGCTGTGGGTTGGCGAACCCCTCGACGACGTCGTGGCTGCGGAAACCAACCTTTTGTAATGCATGCTACTGGTACCTTAGGCCTTAGGTTTGCCAGGTTTGGTCTCACGCCTGGATAGCCACTGCTGCTCAAGCGCCATCAGACACATGCCATTGCTGGAGGACGGGTGGATGGTGCAACCATGGAGGGCAAGGTCTCTCGGCAGTCGCTATGGTGCTGGAGTACCTTTTGGTGCAAGTGATGACGACAAAACTAGCTACTAGAGTACCCTATTACATTACAAAAAGTACATCATTTCCTGCTTCTTGTGTTCTGGAATCTCTTCATAGGTGTGGTCCTCGCTCTCCTTCTCCAACTTTCGGACTTGCTTTTGGATCTCGTAAATGCGCTCAATGTCCTCACGGAGACCGGACTCGGGAGGGAACCAAATGTTCATGGCATCCTGCACATTCTTGAGCGGACTTCGTAAAAGCTTGCTGTAGAGTTGCATGAAACCAGGATCCATCACAACCCACTTGGGATTCAGCGGAAAGCAAAAGCCTTCATCAATCTTGGCTGCCAAAATGTCCTGCAATTCATCAATGCCCACATACTTCCACGGAACATTGCCCTCTCCAATGCTCTCGCTCACAACTAGAAACTCATCGTCCAGGTCCTGGGGAAAGTAATAATTGAAACATTCGGCACCGTGGCGAACTGCCCCGGTTTGTGTGAGACGCTCCACGGCATTGGCCACAATGGAATACGACACTGGATCCGCAAACCCGAACCGAGGGATATCCGGATGAAAGGATGATTCCTCTTTTAGGATTTCGAGCCACATCAACGACCAGGGCTTCCTCTCTTTCGCTCCATTCTCGGCGTCTCGAAGCACTCGGTTCGCGACCCGTTCGATTTGAGTCATGCACCATTTCAACACGGCTTGCTGATCCGATGGAAGGGGCATGTTGTATTGGACTCGCCTCGTTCCCACCAAAAAGCAATCAAAGTCAGAGACGACAGGTCGCACGCGACCTGAACGTGAAACATTAGAACAACCAAGACAAGCGGTGAGGTGGGCAGTTGACAAGCCACTGAGAAGATCGGCTGGGTCGGACTCACCATCCTCCTCGTATGCCATTAGCATTTCAAATGGATTCATAGGATCATCTCGGTCCGCATTTTGGTAGACAACGGGAACGGGCGCCCCTTCTTGGGGCTTGGAACGCAGAGCACCAAAGTTCATGTCCTGAAATGCTGGTTGAGACGGACGTCCACTATCGTAGATGGATCCTGGTTTGCGAGTGCAGTCTTGTCGAACAAAGAATGCCTCCCAGAACAGACGCTCTGGCATTTCAATCCCATAGCATTCGGGAGCGAAATCGTCAATGGGTGTGATTGTAGGATCGGCTACATCCAATAGCATGATTTCCAGAGCATTGTTGTGAATTTCCTTGTCTGCTTTGTCGCCGCTCGCCAGTACCTTTTTGGCCTCTTTCACCATGTCTGAAGGGCGCACGACAAAGAAAAGTGTAAGCTGCCACACGAAAACCAGGCACAGCAAAGCAACCAGCCACACACAGATCGGCTCCGGGTCTTACCTATCATCTCCAAGAGCACCTTCTCCAACTCCGCAGTTGCAACATCTCGGGCGCGGCGGCATTCAGACCCATAGAACACCTTAACCATATGATTTGGACTGAGGCGGCGTACTTGCTTTTTATGCTTGTTGCTCCCAATTTGAAGGAAGGGCACAAAGCCACTGAGCTTGCCTCTTTTGGCTGACTTGCCCTTGATATCCAAGCCCTTGCCCACCGCATCCCCCATCATCATCTTGCGAATTGCATCATACGATGTCGGCCTCCAAACAGAGAACACGGATGCCAAGTTGATTGGAAGGAATCGAAACAGCGGTCGAAAGTCCTTCAGAGTAACAGCGCGCACACTTTCGCGATTATCACCACCGTTGTCCTTTTCAATGATACAAGCACCAGTCTGAGCAACTTCATTGTAGAAACGGTGGATTTGCTGCCTTGGATCGAGGCGAATGAACGTAGAAGCCCAGAGATTGACTCGGCTAACATCTGGCTTCACAAGCTGCATTGCCGAGCGTCGAAGCTCTTCTTCGGCTCGCTTTGAAACGCTCCTTTCAAAAGTTCGAACTCGTTTAGTCCACTCCGTGTCGTCGGACTCGATTTTGAAGCTTCGAAGCGAACCAATCATCGATGATTGAACGTCCCAAACATCTTTATCGACAGCTTCGGCTACTAAGTTCCAGTACTGTTCGACGGAAAGATGCTTCCTTCTCCCAGCCTTCATCATTTTGTTTCTCAGCATGTCGCCGTAGGTCGTATCGAACCACTTCCCCTTGCCTCTCTTGTCTCTTGTTGTAAAGCGATAGAACAAGTTTGAATCCTTCAAAAGATGGTCCATCGTGACATGGTAGAAGAGCATGAATTGCTTGGCTACGGCGCGCCCGAGTTGCACAGCTTCAGGACGAGATTTAGCCAGCCCTTGGTCCACCAGAAAAGTCACAATTTCACTGCCAATGAGACAGTCCTTGTAAACGCGGAGTCGAAAGGAGCACATTCGTGGAGAGAGACCTTCTTCCATTGCTCTTGCTGCACTGATTAAAAAATGAGGTGTCATTGAACCGGTATGGTCCACGAAGGGCTGCCCCTCGTCCTCTGTCAAGGCAATTAGTCTGTCGAGCATGCTTTCTTCGTCTTCGTCGGTGAATCGGTAGAAGATTTCGTCATCCATGAAGGTATGCGACTTTGTTACGTGCTGAAACAGATCGAGTTCGCCCATCAAGGTTCGACCCAAATGCACCGCCTCCTTGCGGCTTGACGCCCATGTCGTTTTACCAACCAAGTAATCCACGGCATCGCTCCCCACAAAGACGTCCTTATACGTCGAAAAACGATAGCGCCTGTCTTTGACTTTGACATGCTTTCGGAATGCCCGTGCTATTTCTTCCAATGGCAGGAAATCTGTTCCTCCCGAAAAATCGCGCGAAAGCGCCGGGGTGATGTTCGATCCCTCCATGCTTTGTCTTGATGGCAGTATAATGGACGATCCCAAGCCGATCAAGGAACCTTGAAGCGCTTGTGAAGAATCATGTAGCACTTGCCCAACGATTCCCGAGATTCTCGACTGGTGTTTGCCTTGACTCGTCGTTCTATGCTCCTCAAAGCGATAGAATTTGTAATCATCCGTAAAATCATGAGACCTGGTCACGTGGTCGAACTGCTTCAGTTCATGCATGAGCCGACGTCCAAGTTGCACAGCTTCCCGCCGGCTATCGGAGATCGAGCTATTGACAAGGAAGTCCACCGCTTGGCTGCCAACAAAGGTGTTCTGGTATACCTTGCCGTGATAGTGGTGGTGTTTGATTTTGACGCCTTGACGGAACAAAGCGCCAATTTTCTGTAACTCAGGGTCAACATCAGATTGTGTTTCCTCTTGTTTATCATCAGGTAACAATTGCAGGTCTGAAGCAGTATCGTCCAAATTCTCTACTTCGCCCTGTCGTTGCTGCCTCACTTCTATTCGAGCTTTGCGATCCTCAGGTCCCACAAGCTGGTACATTGTCGTGGGGCAATCAATAAGCTCAATGTCCGAGTTGCCAACGTGTTCAAAGACGAAATACTCCTCGGCTAAAAGGCGCCCCAGCAACATGGCATCTTGTCGCGTTTCCGCAAATCCTTTCTTGACCAGGAATTTTATTGCCTGTGGCCCCGTAAATGCATTGTGATAGGTTTTGAGATAGTATACGCGATCTTTTACTTTCATCCCGCGTTCAAAAGCGACTGCGATCTCCTCCATGTTGATGTTTGCTGCCTCCAATTCCATGGCTATTGACAACTTGGAAGATTCTTGTTGAGAATTATGGAGGCTCCGCCCACTGGGAATGGGAGGAAGGCCTCTCATGGGCACGCCAGATGGCATCTCGACATCCTGACTGATAGATATTCTGCTGCCAGAATTTCGAGTAGACATGTCCACGAGCGTTTTTCTCTTTTCCAGAGGTGTGAATCGGAAAAAGTAATACTTGTCACGGAACTTGTGGTCGTTGGTCACATGGTGAAACAGATTGAGATGCGATTGCAATTGTCGCCCAATCAACTCTGCCCGGCTGCGACTGGAAGCAAAGCCGACTCTGACCATGTAGCTGACGGCATCTTTAGCAATGAAGCAATTATTATAGACGGTGAATCGGTATCGATGATCCTTGACGGGCAGGTCACGTTCCAGTGCTTTGGCGATATCTTCCAACGTGGTATGGGGCGGCAGCAATGACAGAACCGAAGTTACACTCATCCGGGAAGAGACTGAGTCCCCACTGTCTGTTCGTCGTGCCTTTCGGCTACTACTCGTTTCATCCGCGAGAGATCCATCGTCACTTCGAGCATCACCATTATCAGTGAGCCCAAAATCTTCGAGGGAGAAGAAACTGCTGTTGGCGGACGAGTCCATTTCGCTCATGTTATCTCCCGCAACCAAGGCATCAAACAGGGCGCCCAGGTTTTGCCGTTCACTGTGTGGATTGAGCAAGCGTTCGTTCTGTGGAATGAATCGGAAGAATAGAAAGGCATCGGCAAAGTCGTGATCTCGTGTGACGTGTTCCAGACTATGGACTTCTCGGTTGGAATCTAGGACCAATTCGACGGCTTCCTCTCGACTCATGGCCAATTTGAGTTTCAAGATCACGTCCACAGCTTCTCGTCCCACAAAACACTGCGTGTAGGTACGAAAGTGATAGACACGATCTTGAATGTCTACATTGCGTTCCAGCATGTCCATGATATCCCAACTTGTTTTTTCTTTTTTGGCTTGTTCGACTTGACTTGGTAAATTGCGGTACAAACGGTAAAAGAGTTTTTCATCTTTGAGCTCATGATCCCCAGTGACATGTCGTAGTATTTGGAATTGTTGATTGATTTCCAAGCCCAGTTTGAGTGCTTGATCTCTTGACACATCGTTGTAACCCCTCTCTTGCAGAACCTCTACCAAAGCCGAAACAGCATCCTTCCCCACGAGGACGTTTTGGTATGTTTGCAGCCTGTACTTGCGATCTTGAATCAAGTTTTGTTGATGTATCTTGTCTTGAAATGCAGCAGCAATAGCTTCCAAATGAGATGACTCGTCTGACGTCGGCGTCGCCGCGTTGCTCGTACCCAAGGTATCCTGGGATGACATGGTTGATTGCTTGGTCGTCTGCAGTCGTCTGTTTGTTGTTTCTGGAGAGGAGGTTGTTCTGAGGGTATCCTGACTGAATTGCGGAAGGTACTCAATGCCTTCTTAGCCAGGGCCGGCGCTTCCTCTCAATTTTTCAGGGTTTTGGTGGGAATCTGTGTCTGTCAGGCTGGTCAGCCCAGAGGGTACAACTGTAGCGAGATATGCCTCTTTCAGATTCAGATTGACCCCAGCACTGTCCAACTTTTCCCAATTGAGCAGCAGTTCAGTTTCTTTTGCACCAATTGGCTATATGTCATGGAGATGGATGGATCCCTCCAAAAGAATTCAGACGTTGGAAGAATGGATGCAATACAGTGAGGGTAGGTGGTAGGTGTGAACCCCAGAAAGTTTCCCTTCCCTGCCTTCAGTCCGTGCCAGTGACAAAGCTTTCAGACCAGAGAAAAGAGGTATCAGGCCAGCACTTGAATTGATGATTGATTTGATTCGGCTTGGAAAGTGCGGGTCTCTCTGAGGCTCAAGCAAGTAAGTCCAGAGGCTTCAATATCTCAAAGAGGTGATACCCAAAACTTGGATTCTTCTGTACTCTCTTTTGAAACTATGAATCAGTACTGAGGAAAATATACTAGATCGTGGACTGGCACTCCCTCACTGACGCCCCGCCACCTTGGCGTGGGAAACTTATGAACAGTCTGACCGAGTTGGAAGATTCCTGATCCTTGAGGTTTCTTGAGCAGTTCGGCACGAATTGAAACCCAAAGACCTTGTTGGGACCAAGGGAGCATGAAATCTTGATCTATGAATCCTTTCTGACGTCTAAGTAGCTAGCTAGCTATCTAGACTACGACCGCCCTGAGCTTCTATTGTCCTGCCGCAGCAATTGTTCTGTCGTTTGGCTTGGGCAGGAACGAGATCGAATGAATGAGGAAAGATCTGTTCGATCGAGGCTGATCAAGAACAAGCTGCATGGGAAGATGGAAGCAGTTTACGCGGAGTCGCAAAAAGCTTTTTCAGTGGGTCGTGTAAAGACACAGAGCTTTAACTGCCGTACCGGTACCGTAGTGTCCAGGAAAAGGCTCAAGTTGCCCGGTGTTCTGTGTATCGGTAAATGTAGCCGGTTCCGCCGCCAGGAACGGCTCCAAACCATGGCCACAATGTGTGTGTCCTGCCCTCAAGCTATGATGATCCTGCCGCATTAAGACAACACTCACATACGGTACTAGTAGGTACATGTCCTATAGCTAGCTAGCTAGCTGGCCAGCCAGCCAAATATTTACCCATGCTCACAACTCCAGATTCTCTACTAGCATAACTTATTGTGGTGTGCGTCCATGCACACTTCATCACTCCAATGATAAGAGCTTGAGTGATGTTTCTAGTCCATCACACATTTGTTCCAGTTCCTTCCAACTTTGCACTTGACATTGATTCCACGTCTTTTGATACGTTTGGATTCGTTGCTGGGGAAGCAGGTTGACGGCTTGTTCCACCAACGTCCGATACACCACCATTTGGGGCCACAGGGCACAACACACATACGGCATGTCAGCCAGCGGGAGAAAGAGTCTTGTTGTGTTTGGTCCAGTATGTTTCAGTGCCATGGGTTTCTTTCTTTCCCATGACTTTGTGGAAGTCCCCGTTTCCGCCCAAAGCCAGATCGAATTGGATGACATCATCCCACAAGTATTCGGTTCGAATGGTGACAATGGTATGATTGTGTATTGATGATGAACCACCCGCCAACTGATAGTAGTATCTGTATCAAGCCGTCAAGTGTCCATAAGAATCAGTCATTCCCACAGTTTTGAATGCCTCCTGTAGTAGTTGGTTGCAGTCCGAGTAGTCAGGAAGTGAATCAGAAACACTTTGTGCCTTGACAGGGTTGTAGCTGGGGTTCAATGCTTGGGTGAAGGATTGGAGCGAGGGAAAACATTTGAAATAGAATTTTTGGACGTGCTGATAAAAGAGTTTGCTTCGTTTTCTGCACTTGTTTCGATGCTCCACACACATAGGAACATTTTGCCCCCACCAGCTGATGAACCGATCAATGGGAGCTCGGACAACAAAGAGCAGTACATCCTCGGAAGAGAGATGTTTGCCAAAGGTTCTTTGGTAGTGAGTGATCCCCTTGATATACCTGGAAATGGTAGATTCTTCCACTCCATTGAAAATTTCCAGGCAGCGCTGTTTTTTCTTGGGACCCCCGAAGGAACAATTGTTCCACTTGATGACGTTGTCGCGGAGTGTTGTCCCGCCCGTTTTTCCAATATGCATCAAGTGAATGGAAGGCTGAGGGTCTGTTGGCAGAGAGTAGTTGTAGAACAACAGACTACTACCGGTAGTATTCAGTTGTTTGTCAGACACGGCACCCACTTGTAATAACACCTGCAACCGTTTTGTGTGGTTTCCTAACTGCAAATGAATAAGAGGCTTAGGAAGATTGCCAGCTGCTGGTACCATGAAGAGATTGGCACCTTCACTGATGTGGTACTGGTACCACCCCTCGGACAACGATGATTCGATGTTCCTAATGTTTGACCATCAGGTTGCACACCGGTAGTACTTTTCTTCACCGCTGTATTAGTTGGATCCCCTGGGACGACGATCATTTAAAAAATGTTGCATTACCCAGGGCTCTACAACGGAGATTGTGTGCGAGCTACTTTGTTTTAGTTGGACTTTGGATACGGTTTGGAGAGCTATTGTAAACACTCAATGGGATGATACCACTCCAGATCTGATTGATTGGACAGCCCATGGCAGGGCAGTCAACAGGCACGAGACCAGAAAAACAACACTGGTGAAGCTTTTGTTTGACATTCTTCCAGTGGGCAAAAGGGTCCACAAGTATGATGCCAAGTACGATCATCGTGCCCACACTGTGGTGGCGACAATGAAACAGCAGCCCATCTCTACCTGTGCACTCATGAAGATCCAACACTGTGGAGGACAACCATGCAGCAGGCTGTCAGCAAAAAACTGCGCAAATGTGATATGATCCATCCCTGTTAGCATTGCTTTGCAAGGGCTCAGTGCTTCTTCGCAGGCAAGCATCTTTCCCATCTGAGTTCCCAGAAAGGTATGATAACTGGTCATCGACCAGAACCAATTGGGTGGAACAACTTCTCAAGGGCCGACTCTCCAATTGTGGACCAAGCACCAGGGGGACTATCTCCATCATGTTCAAAAACATACATCCAAGAAAAACGTACCATATGGACTACCAACTTGGCTCACTCTTACTCCAACAATGGTTTCTACTGTGGATGACCGCAATGCAGCCAGGCATGGACGTGATAAACAGAGCAGTGGATCAAGAAGCAGCAACAGCTTCAACGGGAAGTAGACTTCTGTATGAGCAGGCAGACCAGTGCCACTGTCTCTTGTCAACTCCATTTTCAAAAGGCCACTAGAGGACCAAATGGAAATGGCACCATCCGATATCAAAGCCTGGCTTTCAAATTGGATGCCAGTGGTGGACAAAGCAAGTAGAGAGCAGCAACAACTGGCCGCAGCCTTCCATGAGGCAGCAGTAACTTTGGATCAGGCTTTCGGGTCTGACCTTGATTTAGATGACAGCAGTGTTGACACTCAAGCAATAGTGCAGCTAGTAGCAGTGCTGATGACAGCAGCAGCACGGGCGGGTCCGGTTGGTGACCTTCCCCTTAATATCTTGCCTCGGTTGGGTTTTAAACTTTCCCGGCTGAGGGGGCCAACTCTCTCCGCCCCAATGTTTGTGGGGGTTATCGGTTTAGGGTAGCGGCACGGTGGATAGTCGTACTCAGAGTAGCCTTAAAATAGAATTCTATTTTATCGGTTTGGAGAGCTATTGTATTTTAAAAGAGTCCTCAGTCATTGGGAGATAGATTAGCTAGCTATGATAGTACATGTATGCATAGTTGCATGGAGATGACACATGATCGTTCCATGATTTTACGCTCGGACTTCGGATAATGTGAGCTTCTCTAAAGAGATGGCCTGCCCCTGCCTTAAACCGGTAGAGCCAGGCCACGCGGCTGGACTCACGTACTCAGGACTGAATTTACCGCACATTTTTTGCTGCAGGAGTGGTGAAGTCATGACGAAGCGCGCGCTTTGAGTTGCAGGGGTTCACCGCAGTTTTAAGATCTTGTAAGTTTTGGTGATGGGTGATGGAAAATTGCATAATATGTTCCAGGGTCACAATTGCGGCGCAGCATCATCAGCATGCATTCACGATCCTTCGTCAACCCACCGTTTGTAGTTGTACACAGCTTGAGCCACCCCCCTTTGGTCTGCGTACTCTTTATTCTTTTAGTTGCAGTCCATGTGTGTAATGCCATTGTCGTGGAGCGACGTTCCTTCTTGGAAAATGCTGGACAGGCAACTCTTCTTCTTGGGGCTCTGATGGCACTCGATGTTCCGGCAGCAGCCGCCTCTTCCTCGTCATCGCCCGTGGTGGAATCCATCTATATTGGATGTGGCTGCTTTTGGCATCTTCAGCACAGTGTTGCTATGTTTGAACGAGACCAGTTGGGACGAAAAGGGGGACAACTAACGGCCAAGACGGGGTATGCCGGAGGACTTGCTACCACTAAAATGAACACAGACACGGCTTCCAGCATCGAAGACGGTCGAGTCTGCTATCACAATCCCGAGGGAATTGCCGATTACGGTCAGTTGGGATATGCCGAGGTGGTGGGGGTACAGGTACCGACCGACAGAATGTTGGATATGATCCAGGTGTACTTTGACAACTTTGATGCCAACACCAAAGGTGAGTGAGTGTGGTCTATTCCCGCACGAGCTCTTGATGATAGTATTATCCTTTACTCAATTGGGTTTCCTCCCAACCATTTTGCTTAGACCGCCGTGATCCCATGGATTTGGGATCAGAATATCGATCCATTCTAGGGTTGCCAGGTGGTATCCAGCATCCACAATACGCTTCCATCAAGAGAGCTGCCAAGCGAGCTGGATTCAGGCTGCAGACAGGCAAAGGCCGTGATCCCGACACATTGGGGACACAACTGGTCTATGTCTACGACACTCTAGAGTTTCCGTTTCACCAGGCAGAAATATATCACCAGTTTCATGTAAGTATTGAGCATACCTTGCTCGTCTTGCCTTGCTTGTGTGGTGTTTCTCCAGCACCCGCCCTCACTTTCTTTGATTCATGTCATCAGAACGACTTTCAATCCCTTCCGTATGGACCACAATACAACAACCTGGCCAGTCGAGCTTTTGAGGATGGGCGGTTACAAACTACAGGATGTCCAGATCGCCTTCCTCCGTTACCCTCCACCACTTGATCGATTAATTTAAAAATGGATAATATCAATGAGTATCAGAAGCAACACCTATCATAGTAGTCGACTACCTAGCTAGAATTTGATCTTTGGCAGCTCAAGTGGCATCACCCCAACGGTCCCAGCATCGTACCTGGTACCGTTTAACAAAAATGTAGTTCGCATGTCTGGAAAGGTGTCATTGAAACGCGACTACTGTAGCTAGACTAAGAAGATCCAAACTCATGACTGATGACATCAGTGACACCAACCAAGCAGTCGTTTCGGAACAAAACAACAGATCGTCGTTGTTGTCGATATCAGCAGCGTCCTCATTGCTCTACCCGTATGCCCACCACACCATCCACCCACCACCGCAGCCACTGCATTGCCTAGCCTCGCCCCCCTCGCTCCTTAACATATCTATTTAGTATTTATTTCCTCTTGCCTCCATTATCACAACTCAGTTGCACCAATAGATCGAGATCCACTCAAAACAAAGAAGCAAATCATAATGTCCTGTGCTGACCAACGACTGAGCCACAGAGCTGCGGTGATTTGGCACAAACTAATCCCCGGCGCCGCGATTTCCTTTGATTTGTTGGCAGAGACGTTGCTGAGTAATGCCTTTAACAGCCACTCGTGTCTGAACCAGACCGAAGCCATCTTTCGATCCATGGCGTTTGCGATATCCTGGCTGGTGGGGCTCAAGACCATGAAGTGGACGTTTCCCAGCGATGACCTACTTTCGCCCAACAAAAAGTATTGGATGCGGATCAAGCATGCCGTGGTCAATGTAGGCGTGGTGACGTTTTGGCTGTTTACCATTTCCGACTTTCCTCTGCTCTGCTGGATTGGCAATGAAAACCAAGAAATGATCAGTGGAACGAGAGCCATTTCGTTGCTGTCGATCCAAGCCTTGGTACTCTTGGAAATAGTGGAAACCAACCAACAAGAGGATACTGATGTAGTTGCAAATCCACAACATGCGGAAGAAGGCAATCAAGCAGGTGCACTGCAAAATGAACAATCCAAGTTGCTGGGGTGAGATGTGCTACATGTACATGTACTGTATACATGCCGGTTCTATTGCATTCCCTTGAAGGAGCAAGTTGTCAATGAGTTTGTGTGTGTTCCCTACGCCTCTACGTATACTAGCTAGCTAGCTGTTCTACTATTTATTGATGTTTCAAGACGACGGCTCCCAAGACGGGAGATTCGTGAGCATTGTGGACATACATGTATATTAATTATTGGTTTTAGCTACATGTAATAGTTGCTTTGCGTGCTCTCGGTTTTGGATGCGGTGGGGGTATACCGGCACCAGACCCCGAAGGAAGTGGGTGGATCCCCCTCCCTCCGAGCCTTCAGCTGTAGCAGTGAAGATCTAACGAATACTTGTGATAGCTAGTAATCGGACGCAGAACGGAAACCGGAAGAAGAGATCAAAGGATCCTGATACAGAGTTGTGCAATCGAATTGATACCAGTAGAACTTCCGTATGGCCGTTGCATCGAGGCAAGTGAAACGTTAATAAGCCTGTCGATCTCTCGAAGATATTCATAGTGAAACTGCACGGTACAGGTACCATAGCTTGCTGCAACCATACTACTACCGTAGTAGTGCAAATACCATGGATTAAATCAGAAAGCCAATGGAGGATTGTTCAGCATTCTAAAGGACCTCCCGCCTCGACCAACACCAGCCCCCCGCATGGAAAATCCCACCTGCACGCATTCGTACGTTAGGCTATCACAACATTGGAACGCAAATGGAAGTGGACTTGATTCGACATCACGAGTATAAAAGCAACAGTTCCTGGGGTTTTCGAAGCAATAAGAAAGCCTTTTTCTCGTCTTCCGGATGTTCGCCCTCACAATTTCGGTCTCAAAACCAATTCGGAACGTTGAGCAGCACGAATAGTTGTTCGATCTTATCAACCCTCCAACCATGGCACTCTTTCGTCGCCATGCAGAAGCCATGGCACTCCTCACTTTCAAAGCCTCCATCTTTGCTCTTGTCGTCCTTGGAGCCACAGCTGCCAGGGATGTTGTGCAGGAGGTCACCAACTGGAACACCAACATCTCCTCGGCTGACCGAGACTCAAAGTACTGTCGTATGAAGAAAAGTCCCTTCATCTTCTACCGAGGTACAAACCACTTGTTCTGGAAAGACTTTGCCCATGATGCTCGATTGGACACCTACGGCAGCGAAGAGACAGTGACTTGGATCCAAGGAGATTTGCACGTAGAGAACTTTGGATCCTTTGAGAATGACCAAGGCCAAGTCATCTATTCCATCAATGACTATGATGAAAGCATTGTGGCAGACTATCAGTATGATGTGTGGCGTATGGCAATCAGTCTCGTCCTCTGGTTGAACGAACGGAATGTTACTGATCAGACCACGCAGGATGCCGTCATTGATGCCTTTACTGAGTCGTATCTTGATACCATGGCATCCTACCGCGGAAACAGCGACGAGACCAACAAGATCTTCACCAAGAGCAACACGTATGGCAAGCTCGACAATTTTCTAAATGCCGTAGAAAAAGACGAGAGCCGTCAAAAGATGCTTGCCAAGTGGTGCCTCATGTCCAACGGAAGCCGGTACTTTGACTTGACCTACTACAAGCTGGAGAATGCAAGTGAAGTCAAAAAGGCAGATATACAAGCAGCCTTGGATGCTTATGTTGCCAGTACCTCCTATAGCAACAAAGGAACCGGTACGGGGGAATACTTTGACATCAAGGACATTGCCAAGCGTGTGGCGGCAGGAACGGGAAGCCGAGGCCGTGAACGCTACTATATCTTGGTGGAGGGACCATCCGAGGATCAGGATGACGATATCATTTTGGATGTCAAGCTTCAATCTCATCCTACCCCCTATGTTTACTTGGTGAACGACAACACTCGGGCAGATTACGACGCCCACTTTCACGGTAACCACGCCGAGCGACATGCCGTTGCTTACAAGGCGCTAATTGACGAGGCCGACAATCATCTGGGCTGGATGCACCTTCCTAATACCAGTGGTGGCTACTTTAGTGTTCGTGAACGTTCTCCTTTCAAGAAAACCTACGACCCAGATGGCGACGACTCGGGAGTTACCAATACGGGAGATTACGAAGAACTCGCAGCGCAATGGGGTGCCGTTTTGGCCACAGCCCATGCCCGTGCAGACCAAGATACGAATGAATATGTGACCAAGAGCGTCGACAAGCAAATTGATATTCTCACGGATGGCCATCACTCGGAATTTCGCGCACAAGTCCGCCATATTGCCTACGACTATGCGAATCAGGTGGTTGCAGACTACAACACTTTTGTGGCCAACCTTGCCCGCAGCAGCTGTTGAAACAGACGCAAATCAACCAAATCGAAAGGAAATAGCATAATGCATACCATTACATTCTACGTGCTCATCCCAATCAAAACCCTACGTACTCATCCCAATCAAAACCCTGTCACAAGCTAGCGTCTCGTCGTCACGTCTACTCCGGTTCGAAAATGGAAACTGTGAAGTTCATGGTACAAGATCGTGCCCAGCAGTTAACCAACCATCCTGCAACATGGCTCGCTTCCGTGTACCGGTACATTAAACAGATCAGAAGGAAGGAGGAGATGGAGAGGTCTCAATGTTAAAAATCCAGCAAGGAAGGAAGCTAAAGATTTGACACCCCTCCAGGTACTACTGGTACCGTGGCAACGAAAGCCCCACTACGGTACCTGTGCCTGACAATGCCAGTCACAATAATGAGACCCCGTTCACCCAGAAAGTCCACCATGGATAGGCAGTGTTAGCTTCTTCATGAGGTCGTCCTGAAGCCTGGCAACCAAACAGCCAACAGTGTATTGCGAAAACTTGCTTTCCAGCAAATTTGGAAGTAGGTACAGGCAGCTTGGCCCAACAGTCATCTCCATCTCCGGCGTTGGCCCTGAAAGTACGTCGGAAAGGGTTAGCTGGTCCTTCGCTTCTTCGACTTGCTTTCCACCAGCTTCGCAACTTTCTCCATGAGCCTGCTCGCATCGAACGAATCTTCCTCGTCGGTGTCGATCGTGTGCTCAAGGTACGTGCCTTCTTCAACAGCCCTAGCGTGCACTCGCGACCAGTTTGGGTCGAGAGCCAGGGCATCGGTAAAGTTGCCAACCACGATAAGCAAATGTTGAGCTCTCGAGCAAGCCACGTCGATGAAATGTGGATCAGCAGCTCGTTGCGGTTTCTGATCCACACAGGTGGACACGATGACAACCTTTCGTTCGCTTCCTTGGAACTTGTCCACCGTGTCAATATTTTGAAGCTGGGTCGCCTTGTTCGCATCCACGTTGTCGTCAGCTGACAACCCGAGGATGGATTGGGACTTCTTAGCGGGCGACCCCTGGCTCCGGCCATAGACATGGCCTGCGTAGGCATCCAAGTCGTCTTCATTGGCTCCGCAGATAAGAGATCGCAGCCTGTCCTTGTGCAAATTGTAAGGTGTCAAAACACAGACATCGTCAAATTGGAGGGATCCTGTGTTGAGCACTTCATTAAAATCTGCAGAGAACAAGAAGTCGTAGATCTCCTTGACGACTGTTGCTTCGCCATGATTCGCATAGGACTGGTGAAGCTTGCTGAACATCATTTTGGTCCCACGCACGTTGATCACAAGAAGAGGTGTCAGTGGCACCGACTTGATCGGGCCACGATCCTTGACGCACTCATCGTCCTCCAGTCGATTGTCGTAGAACAATTCGCTTACAACACTCCGAAGAAGTGGGGCCATTCGAAATTGACGCTCCAGCATGACGAAAGGTGCTTTTCCGCTATCGGTGGCAGCATTACTTGTTGCCGACTCCATCAAGCGCTCCATCGTTGACTTTCCGTAGCCTTGTTTGCGCAGAGAGTCGCTGATATAGGGCTGAATTTGTTTTGGGTCACCAATAAGCAAGATCTTTTTCAACGAGGGACAACGAGCCAGCAGCACGAAGAGTTTGGAATCTTCAATCTGTGCAGCCTCGTCCAAGATGAGTGTATCAAAGTTCCAATATGCAGTGCTTGTTGATGCTTTCTTCTCCTTGCTCGCGTAGTGAATTGTGGTGAAAACAATCTTCTTGGCTCGAATCTGACCTTGGACGAGTTGGTCATTTGTATTTGAGTTGCTCCCTGGTTGGTTGCCATAACGATCCATGATGGCCTCCGCGTCTCCTTCGGCATACAACCCCATTTTCACAATTTCATCGTCGATGTTGCCCTTGAATCCACATCGTATCATGCGTCCCACTAGCCCAGAGATTTTAACGCTCTTGAGCATGAGTGCATCCACTGCCACATTTGAGTTACATACGACCAAAACCTTCTCCCTTCGCTGGACAGCTTGGGGTAGTAAGCCATGACAGAGTATATGCGATTTCCCCGTCCCTGGTGGCCCTTGACACATAACGATACCCTCTGCAGAGAGTGCGTCCAGGGCCAATGCTCGCTGTTGCTGATGATTGAATTGGTCCAAATCAATAGCCAAGCCATCAGAACCGGCTTTCGAAGACCCGATCCATTGATCAAGCTCATCTAGAGTCTTGATATGTGTATCTAAGTGACCTTGCAGAATCTGTTTGGTGACAAGAGAATTCTCCAAACTGGTGGCAGAAATCTCCAACTCTTTCAATGCCTGAAACAGCGTCTTTTTGAAGGTGCCACCCGCAAGAGGCCGGCAAAAGATTTCTGTTTGCGGTTCCAGGTGAGCAATTTTGGCGGAATCATGCCGACTCAGCTGGAAAGCAACACCGTCTTTGCGCAATTGTTTGCAATACGCAAGTGCAACATGCTGGAGTTCGTTGGTGTTGGACTCCTGGCTTTGTGTTTGCAAGACCACAAAATAGTTGGACCATTGGGAACGAGGAGGCACTTTCTCCACGCTACTTGAAGAGGGCAAAGTCAGGTGAAAGGATTCGGCGGCAGCTCGACAGTCATATGGCAAATAGAATTTGAGATGCTTCTCAGCCTTTCGGATCCCTTCTTGTTCGGGTTTTGGGAAATTGATTACATGGCAAATCTTGTTGTGAAATTCTTCTCGCATCAGCTCCAATTGAACCTTTACTTCCAGCTCCACAAACGCCGCCACACTCGGGAACGTGGGCGAGAACCGAGGGAGTTGAAACGGTCGTTGGAGTCCAGCGATGCTAAAGTGATTCAGAACCACCTCAACAAGATCCAAGGAGGAACTGAGATCCGATGGATATGGTAGGCTTGTCATTGTTGCTACTGAAAATATTATGTCGCTATTAACCTCGGCAGTCTTGCTGCCAGAGCCCTCAACCCCTTTTAAGTCAGCGGGAGCTGCGATACCTCGGCAGAAAGACAGATAGAAGAAGGAGGATCATGTTCGAGATTGCACCCATCTTTCAAGCCAGTGCACCAGCCCTGGCGACAACACCCGACTACGTCGTGTGTTGCCGCCCGGTATCATTCATTCCCTCATTGCAACCTTCTTTATTAAGCTAGCCCTGGCGACAACACCCGACTACGTCGTGTGTTGCCGCCCGCTACTCTATAATTTACCAGCTGCCATTCCCTTATTGTAACTCTAACCTTTACAACTCCTGCTGGCTTATTGTGCTGTTGTGCTGATTGCACTAACCTTAAATATTAATGATTTATTCCTACCCCTAACTTGTATTGAACCATCAATGTTCAGTTTTGTTGGCTTATGACTATCTCTATCCTTATACTTTGGCTTCACCGGAATAGGAAATAGGAAATAGGAAATAGGAAATAGGAAATAGGAAATAGCATTAAAGGGGTTGAGAACTCAGGCAGTTTACCTGCCGAGGTAATTGTTTTTCCTGCTATGGTGGTCCCTGCAGGTATAAGGGTAGGGTTAGAATAGAAATAAGTCAGCAAAAACTTTTAAAATAAGTATCCTAGTAGGATGGTGCTTTTAAACCAGCTAAAGCTATTTACATGCATCCTAGTAGGGGGAGCTGCTTCTATCAGGAAAAACTCTAAAGCCAGCGAATGCTATATGACTAGTATTCTAACTAGCTAGGGGTATCTGCTTCTAGCTTGCTATGGAAATCTGCGTCTAGCTAGGGGGAATCTGCTTCTAGCTAGCTAAGTGCAAGTTAAGCACTAGCTAAGCACTAGAGGTATCTGCTTCTAGCTAGCTAGATAGGGGTATCTGCTTCTACACTGAAACCTTTCTGCCGAGGTTACACAGCTCCGCTGGCTTATTCTATAAATACTGTAATGGTAGATCGCGGTGAGGGTGTCGGTAGGCTTCAAGCTGGTGGTATCACCAGGTACAGCTGTACTGCGGTACGTTAGACAGATATGAGTGTCTCCCGCGCTTGTTTGACTGAATCGAATCGAATCGAATCGAATCGCTTGTTGTGGAAGGTTGTTCCTTGGAGAGGTTGATGCTTTAAGTCTTCAAAGACACGTTTAAGTCTTCAAAGACACCTGAGAGTCCAGCTCCCAAACCGCCCACGCTCATCAGGACCTTCTCTTCGGAAGGGAAACTTGGGCTACCGGTACTAGTACCTCGTAGACCAAACTCACGCCTTTGAGTTTGGGCTACTCCAGCAGCCCAAACTTGTTCCTTTGAGCTTGGGCTACTTGAGTACAGTGTAACCCAAATTGCTCCATGCCCAGCCTGCAACCTAAGTCCCCGACTTGGTGAATTCTAGAGGAATATCAGTTGAGGTGCTCGAGCAGCTCAAAATTTGAGCTACTCGAGTAGCTAGTCCAAACAAGTGCCCGTATGCATGTTAGGCTACTCAAGCAGCCCAAACAAGCAGAACATATTGGGCTACTCGAGTAGCCCCATGCAATAGCTAATCATTGGGATACTTGAGTAGTCTAGACCCCTCCACCTACGTAATCCCGGCCGGATAAACGTTGGCAAAGAAAGCCACACAATCCTGACACCCCCTCATGCCAATGCGAGCCACAATAATGAGACCCCGCTCACCCAAAAGTCCACCATGGATAAGCAGTGCCAAGTTATTCATTACGATTACGCTTACGCACAAAGATATGTAGTGTTCATGTTGTTAAATTCTATGTACTACTGCGCCGAAGGCTGTTGCTTTTGTTGCACTCCTTCAACACCAGCAAAGTTATTTCATTGAGGCCGTCCCGAAGTGGCAGCGAACCCCAGCCCGCAATGTTATTTGTGAAAACTTGTTTTCCAGTAGATTTGGCGTTCCAAAAGTAGAATACTGGTGGGGAAAAAGGGGTTTTAGACCTCAACCGTGCGAATTTATGGAATCTAGCTCAGTACTAATGTACCGGTATCGGTACATGTACAGAAATAAATGAGAAAAGGTATTTTTTACTTTTTACAAGAGAGTGACGCGCATGCAGCACAAAACTGGCACGAGACCATAAAGACTGGCATCACCAAGGTACCAGTACCACTCTGGCCAGGAGTAGCACTGGAGGACCTGGTACGTACAAAGATACTTTACAACCGAACAGAAAGATAGCAGGATGAAGTTGTACCTGTGGCCAAAGGTGTCATGCTCTCTTGGGTGTTGTGCAATTTTTTAAAATGCAAAGACCAAACTTTTGGGGGCTTTGACACCCTTTCATGAAACTGGCACAGAGATACTTTCTCGTCACTGCTTGGATCCATTATTCTACGGCAGCAGTTGTTAATCTCCTGCTACCTCTGGCTAGCTAGTTGAGATCCAGTTCCATCGTCGCAAAGTTATAATTAGTTTGAGATGAAGGTTATCACTTCGGTTCTTACAGGTGCCTTGCTGCTGATGGCTGTGGGTGTTCACTCCCAGAAAGGTTGGTAGAACTTGACTTGGAAGAAACTTTTGAAGCTCGGTCTCGCACTCACGATGACTTCTAACTCCTTTACTCTCTCGAAATCTCTTTTGCTGCACTGCAGAGGACAGTGATGAGGACATGCCAGCTGCACCTTGTAGCCCTGGCTGGTTGGCGCAGCAGGACTTGACCTTTGTTTTGGAATTTGGCGACAACATTGAGAGCTTTTCAGTAGTAGTTCCCTCCACTGGGGAGAATACAGCTGGAGAGACTTACTTGACCGTTGGTGATATTCTGCAGGATGCTGGTGGAGCATCCATCGGAAGAATCTTTGAAACTGGAATTCGCATGAACGAAAACCCAAATGGAGGAGGCGTGGATGAAGGAGAAGCCCCTTCCTATTGGTACTTCACTGGCACACTGCACAACCCCTTTGGTTGCGCTGGAACAATCACTTATGCTGGGCCCTACTTCAACGAGGGTGATACAGGCGTCTTTACCATCACTGGAGGGAGTGGAGATTTCCTTGGTGCCTCTGGCGTCATCCAGGACACATATGACGGAGACTTGGATGTGTCCGTACGTGATGTGGAACTCAGCATAGGTATGATGCACGGCGGTATGATGGGCTAGCTAGTAGGTGATTGGCCGGTCTCGTTTTGTTGTAATAGGCAGACACTTTACGTGATATCGCAATCATTGCCTATGGTTTCTCTGCTCTTGTTTCCGTGCCAGCTAGCAATTCGAGTGACACAGCTCTATTCGATGGGTCATCGAATCTTTGTGGAAAAAGTTAGTACCTGGCCCGCCTTTTTGAAACTGGGTTCTTGCAACCATCCCTTTCCGAACTTTGGACGACTTGAGCAGACGAAACCATGATACTGGGACACATTCTCTCTCTGTGCAGCAAGTAGATTGTAGTGTTCCTTCTTGGATTCCGTACCCACCCGCAACGACACTCCAGCTCGAGCCATCTAGTAGCCGGTATCGTCATCTTTGAATTGGCATAGGTTCCCATGGAATCCAAAATCGCATCTCGTGCAGACTCCTTTGACAGCAAAGAATGGAATCGAAAAGTTAGCGAATCAGCTGTTCCTGATATTAGTGCAACATCCCTGACTTACCGTACACAGAGTCGCACTCGCATCCGTTTAGTGAAGTTTGATTGAACCTGGCCCGAAAATCCGCACAGCTAAATCTGGTGGGAACGAGCAGTCATCAAGCTTCAGTGTCATGACTTCAAACCGCGCATTCACACAGGCACTTGGCGCTTTGATTGAAAACTCACGCATGTTCGCACATCGTGCCGGCATAGCTTTGAAGCCCGCTTCTAGGATTCGTGCAATTGCAGTAGCTGTCCGTACCAGACCCATAGCAAATGCCACCATTCTCGCATGGGTATCTATTATCGCTGCACACTTTGCAGATGAAGCTCCCACCCCAGGGACGGTTCGTATCTGCTTTCGCCCCAACATTCGTGTTACTCTCGTCCAACTGTGCAGCAAACCATTGCACATTGATAGGATCAACCTCGTGCGATTCGGTCCCAAATTGGACTGGTGAGCTAAAGAGAAACGGGGTAAAGTGTTGGTAGTCACTGGTGACGTTGACAACTTGTCGAGTGCGATCAGCGCGATCAAATATTGTTGCAACGTGGGAGAGGTTCGTTCCGGCAGTTTCCGCCGATACCTCTTGAGGCAAACCATACATGATCCACCGATATCCAGCAAATACAACGATGAGATCCACGAATCCTGCAGAATCCGTGGAAACGTACAGGGGTCGACCGTAGTATTGATTGGATTGTCCCTCCTCCAGTACACGTGTGTAGTTTTGTCGAGTAAAGGGCAGAGTGTTTGGCACAGTGGACAAGTGTACGTCGGACCTGCGATCCAGTGCCATGGCAGGGCAAACGTCCGCCTCCAAAAACTCACAATTCAACCCGAGATAGCCTTCATTGCAAATGCAAACGTTGTCTTCGCACTGTCCATGTCCAGGGGTGCAGATATGTTCTGTACAATCGCTGCAACTCAAATACAGCCAATCCATCGGAACGGGTCCTAGTTCCTTGGTCAAAGCAAACCAAGTGGATCCGGCTACTTCAATGACATCAAAGGATGTCGTCGTGGAGCTCACAATGAAATAGTTGCAATAATCTTCGTCACCTATGTAAGAGAAAGCCCAGGCTTGCAATTGGCCGCAATAAGCCAATCGCATAGTTTGAGTCCGGTCAACATACACGGCCCTGCCGTTGAAGCGATTCCCAGCGTTCAAGCTCTCCGCTTCAAAGAATCCGCTTGAATAGGGCCATTCGTGCGAATGAAGATCGCCGAACCTACATTGAGAATCGACAAAAGTTTCTTTAGTTCTTGCGGTTGCAGCAACTCTACCACACAACCTTGCTGACAAAAAGCCACTCAACTCACTGTATGTACAATCGTTGACACATGAATCGACCACTCCACTGCCATGAGGTTACAATGATAGCAGGAATGTAGAGGCTGATTGTGAAGATGAGCAAGAATGCACGACGGACCCCATCCTTTTGTCGTTTCTTTTTTGTGTGTATCATGACGTTCCCCACCCGGTCGCAATCCTTTCGAACTCGTCGAGTGATGAGCCCCATAGAGGCAACTGTAAAGGCCACATCGTCAATGTCTTGGACAAAGTGCAGGGCAGCAAAATTTAAGCAGAGTTCCACCACTGATGTGCTTCGAAACATCAAAACCATGAGGTCAGCAGTAAGAAGGATGCCAACCAAGAATTGGCAAGTGCCTGCAAGATACCACTTTGTAACTTGGAAAGCAAAATGGCAGAGGATGCATCAAAATGAGGGTTAGGAAGGAACCATGGGGCATGCAGTCGGTCAGGGCAGCAACCTTTGGCACACTCACAGGTGGCATGGGGATATTCCTTGATGGTTTCTGAATCGTATCCATAGAGCAAATGGGTAAAACCGACGAACAAGTCACCCTGGCCTGCAGCAAAGTTGGAAATGAGTAGGACCCCTATAAACTGTATACCAAGAAGATTGGATCATTCACCCAAATAGATGTTGAGACGTCAATAACCTGCAGATGCCACACGCACCGCTTACGCTTCATTGCTCGCCGTCACAAACGTGAACCATGTCTGCATGCAAACCTCCTTACCTGGGCTATTTTTACTTCAATCGATACGTCAGGAGGAATGGAGGTAGGATTGCGCACACCATTAGTTTCAATCGGGTCTGCAGAAAAGTCCACCAAGTCCACCACTAGTCCATACATGCACAGATTAGGGAGAGGAGGAGGAGAGAGATGAGTTCCACGGGGTAGCAATAGACAATTATGATATTCACCCATACATTTATCATGTCATCCTATGTTGCAAAGGAGACCTCAGAGAGGGAATCACAATGAAGTAACTTACAGGCAAGAGCAGCTAGAATAAATTGCGCAGCAAAGACCAGTCCGGCAAAACTAAATGAGACTGAAAAAACCTGGCAAAAACAAAAACAAGTGATCAGATCCATTCATCCACCTAGCTAGTCAGCTGATAAGAGCCTACAACCGGTACTTACCGGCACTATGCTCATGAGGCTGTAGATGTCGCTGGTCATGGCATGTTCTTTTCTGTCTTCGTCCTCAGTTTGGGTTCGTGCAGAATCATCTCCTGCATAAGGATCTAGAATTGGTTGAATGCTCTCTTGAATTTTGGCGGTCAGAGAAGTAGTCCAGGTTTCTTCTTGCTTGTCCTCGTTGCCGTCGCCCGTACCGGCATTGTTCTCGTGGGAATCCTTTTCGTTCTCGTCCATTGTAATACTGATGCCCGATCTAGCTAGGTTAGTTCCTCAGTCTTCAGTGTCCAAAAGGCGCCCCTCCTTTCCAATTGGATCTCTAGCTATAGTAGTCCTTCTAACTAATGCCCGTATCGATCGTCTCAACGAGTCTGATGAATGAGAATGGAGGCTTCGCCAATTGCTCTTGCAATATTATTGTCGCTGCTCTTCAAACTTTCTCCCTCCGACGTCATGACGTCATGCAGTCCAGTCACCCCAGTGACTGAGCCAGAGATTTACGTGACCATCGGACGGACTATCTTTTTTAGAACACCAAAACTGCAAGATCGCGAAGCAAACTACAGTACTAGTACCTGGTACGGGAGGCAGGACCAGGTTTACTTCGTCAAACTACTCGGATGCGGAGTACTCCATTCGCCCTCCTCCATGCAAGATCCACAGCTTCAATGTACTTTCATTGCTAATGTCGACCTATCACCACGCCTCGCCTCAATGTTACCACCTGAATTTTCTCCTCTTGGATTGGTGATTGGTGCCTATTTCTTGCCTCTGATGAAAGCTCAATGCTCCATCAGGAGCAGCTTGCATACTCTATGTTCTGGCTTCCAATGATGGACGATAACACCTCTACCATGCTCATTAACGAGCACTTTCCCAAGTTCAAGACGAACTTTCGCATGTCACGCACAACACCCTGACTACCCAGTTGTTGTGTCTTCTGGGTGGTGGGTGGGCTCGTTATTCTTGTCATGGCGTAGATTGGTTGCCACAACAATGCGATGAACTGCAACTTTTTCAATGACAGCTTCTTGGATACAGCCCTTACTGTTTCCATGGATCATTGGATCATTGGTGAAAGACAACAGTAGCATGAGATTTGGTCATCTCTAGCTAGATGCATATAAAGAAGATTGACCGAATCCACAAAACAACAAAATACTCTGTACTATCACAGGTACCTTTTGGACTTGTTTCTCGAATTTGTGGTTGGGCCTGGTATCCTGGGCTTATTCAAGCCCGATGTGACCTCGAGAAGCTGGGTGTCTTGCGCTGCAAGATTGGAAGTGTTTGCAATGCCAATGCCATGCTACTGGTTGAACATCCCACAGCAGAGCAAACCAAACACTGAGGGGATCATCGTTCTGTATTCGACGAGGAAGTAGCTCCCCGTTCATACGTCATGACCCTCCACCCAGACTCAAGCTCGGCCGTATGAAGTATGGTGTTGCCGTCCGCCGCAATGGCGACATGGCGTCCGTTCTTTGTTCCCACACGAGGAATGTCACCAGCTTGCACAAATGCACAGTCCCCATTGATGCTGTCGTCACACGCCACGGCATCAAATACGTAGACGGACCCTGAAGCGATGTGAGCATCATGAGGTCTGCGTTCGTCGTTGGGTGCACCAATAATCAGGGTTGTACCATCGACACTCCAGTCCATGGACGATGCAAACACAAGGGCGTGGTCGTCGTAGTCGTAGTGTTGCTGCTCGGGGTAAGGTGCCTCGATTTCGGCAATCAGAGTCCAGGTGGCAGGACTACCAGTAGTCTGGTTATTATTGTGCTGGTAGATGAGGACCCCACCAGGTTCGGAAGGATGTCGCTCGGACCTTTGGGCGACTCGCGATCCATCCGGGCTCAAGACGCTGTCGGGAGGAACGTTCTTCTCGGTGAGGATCCATTGTTGCATATCAGAATTGTACTCGAATCGTTGGCCACAAGCATGAATGATACTCCCCGAATCATCCATTTCCAGTGACGCCACCACAGGACGAGGATTGCCAATTACCAATGTGTCCCCCATAAGGTGATAGTCGGTGCCATTCCATTCGTACACACGAACGCCGTTCTCCTCCGTTAGGTCCCATTCATGTCCATTCCATTGACTGATCCTTACGGGGAAGGCAAGACGACTACCATCTTTGCTCACGACCACAGTACTAGTGAGACCGGTCGCAAAGGCAACGACTTCTCGTGGCGGATACTTCTCATCGGGGTTGGTCGTTGTTCGGTTGAAAAAGGGATGCGGTGTACGAAATACCTCTTCCCATTCTCCATGGTTCGAGAGTGAAAACACAAGGACTTGATTTTGAGACGGTTGTTGGACGGTGGCACAAATCAGAGTGGTCCCGTCGCTGGAAAGGCAAAAGTCCACAAACTCCATCCTATCGTCGACAGGATGACCCGTCACGGAGGCGGTCAGGTTCCAAACTGCGGGTTGTTCAAGAGTACGTATAGTATTGTTGCCATTGATGCTGGTGGTGACGTCGTTTCGTTCGTAGATCTCGATGCGGTCTCCCGTTTGCGAGACGGCCAATCGAGTGGCAGTGGCATCCATGGAAAGAATCCGGATACCTTCACGATACGGAGCAACGTCTTCTTGTTCAACGATCGCCAGTGGACCACCCAATGGTCGCCATTCCGTTGGTGCCAGCTGGTACGATGAGGGTGCCACTGTTGGCGCGAGGGTCAACCCATCGGCCAAGAGCATGGCTTCGGCACAAAAGGCATCCAAAAAGTCTTGTTGATCCCCCGTGGCCGGTCGTCCCGGTATGGAACCGGCAATGTTGATTTCCCCACCATGATTTGCGTACTTGTCGTAGAATCTCTGAAAGGCTTGCGGCAAGCTGTCAAAGTCACCATAATATTGCGCATTCGTCATGCGTTCGACAAAGGCAACAAACTCGGAATCACGGTTGAGCCATTCATTGCGATCTCGATCCGCAAACACCAAGCTGATCAGGCAGCCCGGATCAGCTGGTGGTTGTTTGATCAAAGCGGTTGCAGCTGCAATGGACAGAAGAAGCGTCAGTAGCACCGGTAGCACATGGACAATGATCCAAAACATCTCCGCACCAAGATAATTAATTGTTCGACGTTTTGCCATGAATGCAATCGACCCCTACTGTCTTTCTTTCTTCTCAGTGAGGACGTTGGCGGCCCGTTGACCCGCACACCAAATTTGGCCATTGTGGCCCAAATTACGCACTAGTCTTTCACCTCAACGTCAGTTTGCTCATCAGCAAGCTGTCACCTCTAGCTAGCTACAGCTTTCAAGTTATTAGTACAACGACAACATAAGAACTATAGTTACTTCACTTTTACGTTTTACTGCGGGATTAACTTGATCAAGCAGTCCTCCAGAGATCCATAGATGGACTGTACAACAACAACACAACTCTGACTCTTGGCATAGCTAGCTAGTATACCATACATGTAGCCAGCAAGAGCCATGACCGTTGAGCTACTTAAAGGCGCACCAGTTGATAGCTCCTGAAGAGCTAATGATTCCATTCCATCAATGTATTGCATGACATTACACTTTTACATCATCATGGCAGAGACCGCCATGAAAACGACAGATCCCAAATAATACTGAGCCACATTTGCAGCACTCTTACCATCCGAGGAAGTAGAGTTGCCCATGTCAGCACTGGGCATAGGATCAGCACTGGGTGAAGTAGAGTTGTCCATGGTGTCCATAGTGGAGTTGTCTTGCAATACACGTTGGGTCATCTCCAAACAGTCGACTTGGTAGAGGGTGACTCCATTGCTCTCTTCAGCGTCCATGTCGTGTGCGCATCCCATGCAAGCGCCCTTTCCAAAGCTGTAGAAAGCACATCCTTCCGTCTTGGCGCATTTTTGTTGACAACTCTCCATGGTCTCACCGTCCAATGCAAAGAGTCCGTCAGTAGGACACTGAACGTTGACTTGTGGTACTCCGCAGTCCACCATGGGTTGGCTAGGCTTGACAACCGCCATGGTTAGAGGAGCCATGAGAAGGCACACAAAGAGAGACTTGATAGGCGACATGGTTGGTGGCTTGTTGTTTTGTTTGCTTTGCTTCGAGATAGATTGTTGGTGTATTTTGCGTTTTGCTTCCGAGAGGGAGAAAGAAAGTGAGGGTACGAAGAGGCACAACTACCTGGATCTTTGCTCGGCTACGGTAGCCGTCCGTAGCTTTTGGTACTGGCGCAAGTGGGATCGGTAACTTGTACTGCTCTACCAGCCGGCCTGTATTTACGAAAAAGTACGGTACGGACGTTGGTGAATTCTTTGAATCAGAATTCTGACGCCGACGCACTCATGACTGCTTGAGTCTGCAGTAACGGAACGCCGGCACTCGTGAGTGTGTGTGCTTTCCTTCTAAACGCTTTCCAAATTTGAAAGATACTTAGATACTCAACGGCACAGCTTAAATTGGGTGCGCGCCACCAAAAGAAAAGCAATGCCGTAGCAATGATCGAATGAGGTGAGGGTTAGAAGGGCGGGGCGCCCACATCAGCCAAAAGCAAAAGCAAAAGTCAAATTGATAGATAGATAGACAACAAGATGAGCAGCACCGGAGTCCGACCGCGAGTGACGGCATCGCCTCGCAAGCAGCCACCACCACCACTCACTACTACTACTAGTAACAATGCTTCCACAACGATACGACGACCCATCTCGGCACGTAAATTGAACACTGTGTACAAGACCAATGCCATCCATCACAAGAATCATTCCTTCTGGTTTTTGCGGCCGGCCTTTTTGGTGCGACTGGTTCTCTTTGCCGTGGTGGCTGTGTGTTCCGTCAGTCTGGCGATTCGATTGCATGCCGTGGCCATTCAAGGCGTTTCCACCAAGTCTACTACTACAAGCAATAATAACTACAAAAGCCACCGAGTTTTGTTTCAACCGAATCCCGTGCATCTGTTGTCGTGGGACACAATTTCCAAACAAGTCCATCGGCAATTGCTCATGAGTGAAGTGGGCTATCAAACGAGACCTCGCGTCTTTGCCGCGTTTTGGCCCAAAGACTATGATGAAGACAGCAAAGACAATCCACAATCATCATCCACTACTACTACCGATAGCAAAATCAATCTGCAGTACCGCCGCATGGATCCCAACTTGATTTTGCCTCTGACCGATCGCAACATTTACTTGTCCATGGAAGCGGTCAAGGCACAATTGCATCTCGAAAACTCCAAAGACTACGACAATGGCGCCGCCGATCCCTTTGAAGAAGGAGACTGCACACGCCAGTATGATTGGCAGCTCACGTCGTATCCCACCTGCAATGATTTGCACGAACATCCACTTTGGGATATGCACACTTCCCGTGGATCCAATGTCAAGTTTCTAGCGAGTGGCTATTGGAGAGATACCTGGATGGTCCGTGATGGCGAATGGCAACCGCACGCCCTCAAAACAATACGATACATGCACGACTACGAACCCCGCAATTACGATCGACATCGGCGTGATGCCGTGGCCATGGAACGCATGACGGCATCCCCCAATGTGGTGTCCATTTATGGATTTTGTGGAAACTCCGGCATGTTTGAATTTGCCGATGGAGGATCTCTGGAAGATGCCATTTGGTATTCGGACGAACCCGAGTGGAATGCCACGGAAAAACTTATTGTCGCTTATCAAGCGGTCTCGGGGTTGGCCGATTTGCACAATGTGGATGTGGAGGGACGAGCGTCCATTGCCCATACCGATATTGTGCCGTCGCAATTTGTATTTGTCAATTCCAAGGGACGATTTCTACTCAATGATTTTAATCGATGTCGATTCATTCGATGGAACCAAAAGGAGGACAAGGCGTGCAAGTTTCATGTGGGAAGTAATCCAGGGACTGTAAGTTGGCACTCAAGGATGGTGATGAATCGCAATTCGCTTTTTGCCTCACTCCTACACATCCTTATCTCTTTCGTTTTACGCAGTTCCGATCACCAGAAGAATACCGATACGACTTGGAATCGGAAAAGGTGGATATCTACTCCCTTGGCAATGTATTTTACTCCATCATGATGAAGGAATACCCTTACGAAGACATTTCCAAAAAGAAGGCACAAAAACTCATTATGGATGGAAAACCTCCTCCCATTCATGCCAATTTTACCAATTCCACGGATCCATTTACACGGGCACTCGTCAAGGCGACATACATGTGCTGGACCCTGGATCCCGAGAAACGAGCCACGGCACGGGAGGTGGAACACTTTATCGATTCCGAATTGGAACGGCTGGGGGTGAATGGGAAGCAAGCCGCGTAGTTCTATAACGTGGCTACCGTATAGCTACGAGCTACGTTCTTGCTAGCTAGAACAAGGCTGTGTCTAGATGTGGATACCAGCCAGGCTTTTGGATGGGACAAGGACGAAGAACGAGCGAGGACGCAAGCATTCCCGCGCCGATTCCGAAAGTAAAAGGGGCCCTGTTTCAGTTACACATCTCTACTAGCTAGTAGATAGCTAGTCCATCGAAACGATCAGCTCTCCCTGGAAGCAAGACTACCAATGGTTCAACCCGACCTTGCGTTTATTTCGAGCAAACCCAGAGCAACTTAATGCTAGAGCTGCCAGAAGCAAGCAATAAACTAATGTCAATGAGGGTGTACTATCAGGAGTGGTTCATCAGTTTCAAGACTAGCTAGCCAAGACACCGCGCTATTCTCAACAATGCAAGCACTGGTTGTTGATCTGGTACCTGGTATTGCTTCGGCACGTTATCAAGTTTTGGGCTTCCCAGGATTCGATTCATTCGAGTCTTGAAGCACTTCAGTTTCCAATAAAGCGCAGCCACTCCAGTCCAAAGTAAAGGGATGGTGGCCAACTCCATCGACCATCGATGTCATGTGCGGACTGAGATGGACTGAGTCACTACAATACTACAATGTCATGACATTGTAGTTCTACCTAGCTACTAGCTAGCCACCGGTGGTACCAGGAGGCAGGAGGAGGAGCTACAGTGCTACAGTAGCTAGCCAGGAACCCATAAATGACCTTGGTTATTCTACAAGTGTGTCTCAAGATTCTCTGAGCGGATGTTTGCAATGATCCCAAAGAGTTCGCAAAGCCTTCGCAAAAAGCTTGTACTCTATTAATACCGGTATCGCCACAAGTACTGTACTGGAGTACAGATTTAAGTCCTAATTGACATGAGGCCACCATGGTTTCTTCTAAGACGTTCTCCTTCGATTCGATTCGATTCGATTCATTACTAGTGCTATGGAGCACTCGTAAATGCAAGTACAAGAGGGGTAAAAGCAGTTTCAAGGCCACAGTGGTCAAAAGTCCTCTATCTTTTCTTCTTTCTTCTTTTGCTTTCACTAAATCACAAAATAAATGTAGTACTGTAAGAAGAAAGTCGAAGAAGTGAAGTCGCAGGTCGCAGGCTCCGCAATCCTAATGGCACCAGTAGGTACTTGAGTTGTGGGACATGAGACCAGCAGAGGTGCGTGTACCACTATAGTTTCCACTATGGCAAGTAGAAACTCCCATTCTGGCTCTTGCCATCAAGCTAGACCCACGAAGTCTTACTGTAGTTGCATTGAGCGACAATGTAGACTAATCGGCATTATTCTTCATCAAATTTTGCTGGCACAGCGGCACAGCATTACTTGACCGGGATTGTTGGACAAGAAATCGGCTTTTCAGTTACTGTTGTGCTAAACAGGAAGGTGCAATCGGTCCTGGATGGCTACTTTCACCACTTGCTTGATAAGGTTGACTCAAAAAGGAAAAACGTTAAATACATGCCGCTGGCTTGAGCCTGATGAAGATTCCAGCGAATCTCCAAGAACTTGTTCCCAAATCTCGGTCCTTGCAACTATTCACATACTTCTTGTTTTGCTTTATATTATTATTTTTCAAAATGCTTTACGATCTGTTTTGAACCAGTGTCCGTCCATCACATGGAAGACACTCTTGAATCAAGAACCAGTTTCGGCAAGACAGAAATTTGACAATCCCGGAAGCGTCACCTTCGCTCCCTGTTCATTAGGACCCTTCTCGATTAGGCCCGCTGCCCCTAAGCTAAAAAACGCGAAGCATTGGGTCCCAGCAGGAAGTGGATGCAGGAGTATGGGGGATGCGGGATGATAAGAAGTCCTGCATTGTCTTTTTACAAAGAAAGTGGTTAAATCAAGGCAAGAGTAAAGTGGTAATTAGTAATTAGGTTACCGCTGTTGACAAGCTGTTTCTAGTTGCTCTCCAAGAAACGGGCTTCGGGTGGCCAATGAGTCCAACTGTAACCTGTCCAGTGCGCAGTATATTCTCTACGTGTGATTCCACGGTGAAGGCGAAGATTCACCAAAAGAACAGGCTCTTATACGTGGCACTCCCAACAAAGTAGCAACAATAATGCAGCAGACTTTTAGTGGTTGTACTCCGCGAGAAACCCAAGGAACAATAGAAATCCACGGTGACTCGACTGTTCAAAATCAAGATTAGGGGTGCCCCAAATCCTATAGTAATTCAGTACTTTAGTAACTATTCAGTGAAGTGAGCAAAGTAGCTGCAAAGTAGAGCTAAAGTAGACAAGTCCTTGAGTAGATCCTCAATTGATATCAGCTAATAATATGTCTTTTCATAGCGCAGAACACAGTCGCTCTCTCCGCAATTGCTCCAAATAGATCCGGAGCGATTTTCTGGGTCGCTCCTTGAAGAAGGTTTGATTGAAAGGTGCTGCTGTTTTGCTGCTGCCATCACTCAAGGCCTGCTCTAGATTCACCCATCATAGTACCGGCAAGGTGTGGGGGTACTTACTTGTTTTCAACACAACGACAATCCCGGTCCGATCGAGCACTTAAACAGCATGAAAATCACTGCAGCTCGAGAAAAAACCAATCAGGAAAATACTGCTTAATGAACGGTGGAAGAACATTGTCTGGACATAAGGTCAACCATTCAGATGCTTCAACTAACTGGCAAAACTAGTGTGGACAATCTGGACCGAGAGTCCGAAAGGTGTACTACGTACTGAGAAGATATATATTATGTCCTGATTATCACCGTGGGTCCGGTGAGCTGTTCGGTGTTGGCAATTGGGGGATAGGTCTAGCTGTTCACCGTTGGTAGGTGGTAGTAGGCACAAAAGAGGCTTTGAGCAGTCAGCAACCGAGGCAGACTTTTTTTTGACAGGCAGTGCACCGTGATAGTAGTAGTCTACTGTAGCTGTGGCCAAGCAGGTACTGCACTCGTTGCTTCACTGTGCATCCTCGCACTTGACAGAGACCTGGATGTACGTACCGGTATCTCGTAATAAGATAGATAAAAGCTGATACCGGCAATCCAGTCGCCTAGGTGTCGGAACTTCTCCCAAGGGAGGTCACTACCGGTACTAGCTAGTCTAGTACACTACAACAGATCAACCACTTCGAACTTGACTTCCGAGTCGAGTCCGCTCCTGTTGAAATAATCTTCTCATACTTTGCGCTCCGCCAGCATTGATTCTCATCCCTCCCTATTGCATTGCCTTCGATACTACTGTATTGAGAGCATTCAACCAAGCCAACTCAAACAGGCCCCATCCTCCCTTCTACTAGGCTGCGTTTACCCCCTGATGATTCTGCCAGCTGAACATTGCTTCTTGTCTACCCCTGTAATGCACAGTTCTTCCAAGAAAGCCGGAGTGAACAAGGTTGACCCGAACTTTCAGAGCCGAGGCGAACTTGTGGCGGAGCCCATGCCCATGGATGTGCTATGCGGCAAATCACGGTAGGGATACCCCTTGGACGGGCGTGGGGAGCCTTGGGACCACTGAACCTGAACCTGAACCACCTGATTGCTAACCTTGCGCTCTCCTTTCCATATCCAGAAAGTGCATTTCCCACGAAGGCACTCGACTCTTCAGAATTGTCATCGACCAATACCGAGAGAAGTATCAGAATGCCAAGAGCAAACAAGAACGAATGGACATCACCAAGGAGATTGTGGCTTCTATTGGACGCAAAGGAGCAAGGTTTCTCAAGTACAACTCATCCATGCAGTGCTGGGAGGTAAGAGCAACCAGAGTCGGGCCCCAACGTACCGGTACCCTCGTACTGCCTCTGCCCGGACCGCAGATCTCACGAACCATGACTCTTTCGTCTTGATTGCTTGCCCGCAGAACATTGGTACCCTTGCAGCTCGTGATAAGTGCTCTCATGCACTCCGATGTGCCAATCAAAAGACCCAGAACAGCCGCAAGTTCAAATCATCTCGGAGTTCCTCTTCCGTTGCCTCTGATGGCTCGTCTGTGGGATCCGACTCTTCCATCGGATCCACCTATTTGCAGGAAGTGCGCGTATCGGACAGTCTCGAGAGCCTGATTGGTGATCAGCAGACTGTCTTGTCGTTGTTCCAGGGAACTCTGCGCTCGAGCCCCGATCTGCCAGCGGCAAACAGTCTCATGAATGTTTTTGATAATGACATTCCAATCGGGGGGACCTCAACACCGGTGCCAACGGTGGCTCGTAGAGTTGAGTACCATGACTCACTATTACCCGAGGGGCACCACCAAGCACAGGCGCCCTTCCCAGCACTGTCTAGTCACCAAGGAGGCATGGGGAATGACAACTTGCCCGTGGAACCGCTTGCACGGCGCCGCCTCAGCCCATCTCCCGAAAAGGACGATGATGAAAGGGAAAAGAGGTCTTCCGTATAATTCGGCACACTATCGACGAGACCGCTTGGGGGGCTTCCCTCAATTCCATCGCCTCCTCCTCCTCCTCCTCCCCCTCCTCGTTTGGCTTGTCCCTTGTTTATCCATCCAGCCAATCGGCGGTGGCATAGATACAACTCTTTTCTCGAAAAGCTGTGTGGATCTCTCCTTTCTTTCGGCTGCTATCTCAAGGGAAGAAGCAACTAAAGACTCTGTAAATATCAAAACAACGTGGCTATGAGACTATAGTCAATCAACAAACGACCAAGTGATCACTGATTTTAGGCACATGCATAACTATGAAGATTTCTACTAGATCATACTCAGACTTACGTTGAAGAATGCGGTAGGTACGATGCAAATTAGACAACACAAGAAGGAATTCATGGCAGATGGTCTAAGCTTTTTGATGTTATGGACGTGTTCAAGGCAGTCTTTTATTACAATGGCGCTCTGGTTTGGCACAAGCAAGTCAGTCGGTCAAGCTTTGCCTTGTGTGGCAATCACCAGTTTGAGTTCACGACCCTTGACCTTTCTTCCCATGATGGCACAACTATCCCCTTGTGTTTTTGAAGTTACTATGGGTTGGAGTTGACTATGGGGGGGATTGGTTCCTGAGGATGAGGGCAAGGTGTATTCCCTTGCAAAGCAAATCAAATACTACAATAGTAGATCCAACCACAACCACAACCGCAGCTCGAGAGACCTTTGCGTGTTGCATGCATATCGCATCTTGCTTTTTCAACACTCCAAGGGCTTAATTCTTATTATGATTAAGCTGAAATTGTATTTAGACACGGCAACGTCAGAGGCATTAAACAAGATGGATAAAGGAATTAAAAGCAAACCCAGCATGAATATAATTTTTCAGAAGTTGGCTTGAATACAACATGAATACATACACACCTAAATCACTGTATCATTTTACAAAGCAAACTACTAGTAGACAGTAAATAAAAAAAGAGTTCCTGAATTGATTCCTCCATTTTTGGTTTGGAGAGCCCAGAGCCACTCTACCGGTAGCTCTAGCGGTAGCAAGTAAGCATGATGTAATCTGGTAGTTTTGGTTGTTTGACTCGATTCTGAAGATAGAAGCAAGTCATTCTAGTATCCATTTCTACCGCATCTTCTGACACCTACTAAATCTGTCTTTCAGGCGAAACCAAAGAGTTGGCTGCTCAAACCCGTGCAGCCAGCTAAACCTGGCCAGCCACATGCGCAACTGCCAGAGTCCTTGGCTCCAGACTATGCATAAGCGACAGTTGGCTGAACAAACCCGTATAGGAAAACCTGGCCGTCAGATTTCCCAAGTTCGAGTCAACAGGGCCAGAAGTCTCAGGCTCGCTCTCAATACACTCAATTTATCATACCTGGTACCTTTACTGTACTAGTACTGTATGGTCTCATTCAATTGACATACTTGCTATTTAATAGTACGAGCTACTCGGAGGAGTAGCTAGCTAGTACCGCACGGTACCATTGGCGTTTCATGTCAACCGAATGCCGAGAGCATATGCATACATAATATGTTCTCTTCCTGCCGGGACATGGTAAACTGATTAGAAATGGTACTGTGCCGACTTTTACGGTGGTACGGTACCGGGGGAGCTTTTCAGTCACTGGAGGCTGCATGCCGTTGCGTAAAGCTTTGAAGCTGCTTGGGTAACTTGGGTACATCATCAAGGTCTGGCGGTCTGATTATTTAGTATCTACTGGCTCACGGAGTTCTTTAAAAGTAAGTGTCTTGCCTTTTTAAATCCCGAAACCTTCAATTCTGCAGAAGCATGTTTGGGGAGCTGCCTGTAAAAAAGAGACACGAAGTCTTTGATGTTCCTGCTCTAAGGATTGATGTTCAATTGCACGTTAAATAAATTTGCGTCGATACGGTAAGAGCTGCTTTTTACTCTTTCAATCAATTGACAACTACTACCAGTAGCTAGCTAGAGTCACAGGCGCACCGAAGAAAACCACCAAATCCCCACCGAAGCAAAGGAAGCACGGAACCCGTTGATCGGATCGCGGGTGGAAATGTACTGCTAGATCTAGAATACCAGTTCTGGCCATTTCGTCGCCCGCGAAAACATTGGTTCCAAGCTCTTGCTTTGTGAAAAGATTCGACTTCGAAGCTCCAGCATCACTCAACCCAGACACTTTGTTGGGAATCCGAAAAAAGGAAGCCAAAATTGAGGAGATTTGGTGATGAAAACTGCAATTGAGATTGCAAAGCTAAACAATGCTGCCGCTGGACACTTGGTTATGGGAGATTTTAAGCGATCCATCCATCTCATCACGGAAGCCGTGTCTGCTATAAATGGCATCACAAGTGCTGCTGCCGCCAAAGCACCAGAGGAACACGGTGGGTGGGACCGTCGACTCGTCGTCAGTGCACGCCTACACAACCTTCCTGAAACTCCCCGTGGCGGTGGAGACACTGGCACCGTTGCATTGTTTGGCAGCGCACTGTGGATCGATTGTGAGGATGCAACAGTATATTGTGCTTGCTGCCGTTACTCTCTACAACACCGGACTCTGGCATCATGCAATGGCGATGGTTCACGGGTGCATGGCAATCCACCTTCTACGAAGGGCCTTGGACATGTACACCAGGGCAACCACCCTGTTGTCAAGCAGTTTGCATCCATTGGACCATGACAAGATCTTTGCAGCTGATGACGTCTCATTTCTCCTTTTGGCTCTCTTGAACAATACAGCACACATCCATGCCAACTTTATGGATCTGGAGCGTGCTTGGCAGTGTCTCTCCGTCATGAGAGAAGAATTCGATGTCCTCGATGACGAAGCCATGTCGGACGAGGACTTTGGCTTCTTTGGTCTGTTTCTGATGCTCGCTCCTGATGCAAGCTGTCTTGCAAGCCCGGCAGACGTAGCTAGCAAAGAGCGAGCTCACCTACAATGTCCAGAGTGCAGCCGGTGGGGTTTGACGCCTCGACGTGGCCATGCATGCATTGATGCAACCAGCAACGGTACCGTTTTAAAAAGATGAAACTCCACACTTTTGATACGTTACAACAATTAAAACTTTTTTTTGTCAAGGAAACCCACACTGCACATAATACGTAGTTCTTCCAGTTGCTCGCTTTTTGGGAAATGGGTTGCTGTGGCGTCCCATTCTGGCCAAATCATGTTTATAATTTCAGATTTACAAACCTGCTATCCACCAAAACCACCACCCAAAGCATCAATCCCACCATCATCTGTTCTGTGCATGTGCAGTTGCTGCAAGTGCTTGACACGGTGAAATTTTTCGGTGCACAATCCACAGTATACAATTGGATCAAAACCAAAATTGGAACAGAGATTGCCCGGAAGACTGCCAGACAACTGATTGTCAATCAATCTCAGGGAAGTCAAACCAGTCAGAAGTCCAATATCTCACAAAAGCTTGTTCCTTCAATGCGGTGAGCAGTCCAATTTCTTGCCCCCCCCCCCAAGTCCAAGTCCAACAAGAAAACCAATGAAGTCAACTGCCCAATCTCGGAAGGAATGCTGCCAGCCAGAGATCTTATTGGATATCAGGCTCAAATCATTCAAAGCTGTACGCAATGTGCCTTCTAGCTAGCTAGCTAGACATCATGGTCATGTCCACCAACGAATGCTAAAAATGCTATGGAAGAGGAGAATTGCGTTTCTGGTATTTACGGTACTTGCATGCCATGCCGTGTCGTGTTGATTGAGTGATCGTACAGTACTGAAGCCGCTGGTGCACTTTTGCAAGGGAAACGGGTAAAGAATCTATATGACCCTGCAATCCAGCACCATGAGCTAATGTAAGCGTTGTTTCTTTATTCTTTAGCATTTTACAATCGAAAATGGATGGAAAGGTACTGTAGCTACCTGGTAAGAAGTTGCATGCAGTGGATTCATGAAGAAGATGATGCATCTGGTGACTGTGATGGTGCCTGATGTAACAGTCTATCTCTGTTATTGTGTACATAGACATGAATTCTCTGTTGTAGCATTCCATTGGTGACGGCTCCTTTGGCTTTGAGTGCTGCCTTGAGTCTCATGAATTCGTCTCTATCATTGACAATGGTTTGAATTTCTTCCTGATTGACTTTGTATTCGTCGTAATTGTCGCCATCTACTTCTTGTTCGTCATGTTCGTCATGCTGTTCTTCCATATTCAACAACAATGCCGGTAGTTCCGAAGCATCCATTCCAATCAAATCCATAAATTGCAGGGCTGTATCACGGACAGTTTCGGCGGCACTTTTGGTGCGTTGGGGTGTTTTGCGAGTTCGTTGTTGCTGCTGTTGTGTGGTGGTGTCTTCAAGACTGCGGATTCTACGAGCACCGCTCTTATAGATGCCGTGGTTTCTTGCTGGATGTGGACTGAGGCTGCGACTGGTTCTAGCAGTGGGTGGTCTTCGTGGTGACAGAGTTGCTTCTTTTGTGGATTGACTCATGGAAGCTTCCTCGCTCAACAAGGTACGATCGGATGTTGGACTGCTGGGGGGAATCATAGTTCGTATCGTTTGTATCGTTCGTATACAAAGCAGTTTCTGAGCTTTCCGTGTTGTTCTTGTTCGTATACCGTACAAAGCAGTGCTGCTGGTTATCTTAACCTGTCTTATCCGAGGCTGGAAGACAGAAAGAAAGAATGAGTCGAGTCTGTACGGTAGGCAGCGCCAGGTCCTTTCGAAGCTTCACTCGGGCTGGCTGATGGATTGATCGTGTCAATTGAATTCTGCACCAAAGCAGTCAATTGGAGATCTGTTATTATCTATACGGTAGCTATTGGGTGCGATGTTACTATATGAGACTTGTGCAAGTCGCGTACGGTTGTTGCGTCCGTATCTCGCTCAGCTTCCTCTTCCATGTTCGTGCCGATGACTGCAGATGGCGCGACTCGACTCCCTCCATCGCTTGAAGATATGTACCAGGACTGCACAAAGATTATAGGGCTGCTCGTCCTTCTAATTCTTGGTGGTATCATTCAGAAATCAAAGCATCAAAGCATCTTGGCATCCTGCATGCAATAATTATGCTCGACGATGATGTGCTGGTCGCTCCAGCCGCTTGCCACCTTCTAAAGGATCGCAATACCTGCACCGCATTAGTTGATCATTGACTTGGATACAAGCATTTGCAGCTACGGTACGGTTGGATCCAGATCTATCTCTAGCTACCAGTCGCTACCGTAGCTAGCGAGACAGGCATAAGATACGGGTATAATCGCAACTGGCTGACCTTCAATGGAGTGGCAGCCATGCCCACTGGCAGCTTTTTACACTCCGCTGTGGCGGGTGGGCACACATAGCTACTGCATGCTCTCGACGGCCAGCCATACTGCATCATACAATGCATGTTGTAGTCATTACTGCCCAGCCAATGTGATACTAGCTAGCTAGCTGGTGGAGTTGTCTGCCAGCACGGGGGTTGGCTGGTGCTTGCTTCTGGCCGGATGATGGCTGCTGAGCGAGGACTGGTACTAGACTACTGTAGCTCGGAAACCCAGATTAGTTGCTTCATCACAGCCAATATCGCAACTGAGTGTGGAAGCAGTGTCCTTACCAATATGCGACAACTAGTCCGGATCGGTGGCAATGATACTGGGATGGCTGGTCAGTGCCAGCAGGCAGTCCAGGCAGGATGGGGGGCAGGAAGGATCGACCAAACAGAGCATGGGTTTGGATCCTCCTCGCTTCATGGTACCAACTACAGTGGCAGCTGGTGGTAGAGGTGGACAATGGTCGGCTAGTCCAAGCTCAAATAAACCAGCAGTCCTGCGGACAGCTGGCAACGACTTGACTACTCGTACGGTACCATGGTACTGGTACAGTACCAGCAAACTCACTTGTCTTGCCACTCACTGTTCGCGGTTAGACCTTTCAGATTATCCTCAGCCTTATTCGAGAACCCTTCTTGCCGCGATCTGCAAATGATAAAACTTTCAGTACCATAAGTATTGCTCTTTAAATCTCTAAGCACGGCTCAACACGGGTTTCAGTTTCTCTCTGCTCCCAATAACCCAACGGCCAACCGCCAACACCGCCCACCGATATCCATCCGCCGCAGCCAACAACCAAACCAAGAGCTTGCCAAAGTAATACCCAGGGATATGGCAATATTGTCACAGCACATGCTATGCAATAAGAGGAGTCGGGCACTTTAGTACTCTCATGTTTCCTACTAGCTTTTGCAAATAGAATTTCACGAGAGCCCGCTGGTGGAAGTTAGTGGTACCGGTACCGGTATCTCGGATCTGGACACCGGTATAGGTACAATAGTTTGGAGGTACCTATACGCCGAGAATGGACACGGCAGTCTGGAAGGACTGAATTAAGAAGAGTATCCTGCAAGGTGTGAGCCATGAGTACTACTAGTACAAGCAATGCTCCCTCCCGTGGTGCTGGGTTGACGTTTCAGGATGTCCTTGCTGCCACCTTGAGAGACCCGGTCGCCGAAGAACACCGACCAATAATCTCCCGTGGAGAGACGGGAACTGAGGCAATCGTCGAGCCGCCAGGTGGTCGGGCACCGGAAAAGATGCGGTTGTCTCTGATCAAGTCTGAAGATCCCGAACGAGCCTATCATTTGACTCCAGACGCACCCAAGAAACTAGACCACCACGCCGAGGGATGGGGAATGGTGTATACTGCCGTCACGTTTCTTCGTCGGAAACGTCAAGGAGAAACTGGTCTCCGATTCAAGGCTCCTGAAATAATGGAAGCTCAATTGGTCGCCATTAAAATGTTGAACAAACAAGTCGTCAACAGCTGCCTTGAGAGAGGTGCCAATGAAAACCCGTACAAAGAGATTGCAAGAATGCAAGAACTAGGGGATGGGATTCACGTTTTACAATGCATCGAAGCTCTGGAGGATGATACACACCTCTACATCATTACACCCTATTCAAGTAAGGGATCGCTGATGGATAACATCCCATGGACCCAATGTGATGGAAATGGGTACCCGGAACCGACAGCCAGGGCCATCTTTATCAACATTCTCGAGATTCTTGTCTACCTTGAAAAGCACGGCATTTATCACCATGATCTTGCTCCCGATAATTTCTTATTCTTCAAGGGGCGTCTGCTTCTCTTTGACTTTGCCATGTCTCAGCGCATCCCACGAGAAGAAGACGGAACACGGTACTTGATGAGACCGCAAGGAGTCTTTGGGACCATGGCTTGCACGGCACCAGAGCTGTTTGACCCCAATGCTCTCTATTTTGATGGCATTGCGGGCGATTTGTGGGGAGCCGGGACCATTCTCTACGCACTCCTCACCGGCAGGATGCTGTACAGAAATCCGTGTGACCGCTACTTCCAATTCTTTGTGCGGGCGGGTGGATTGCGAGCCGAGCTGAGTGCCCAGATACTGCAAACGGAACATGAAGATCTCAAGAGTCGTGCCAATGCCAATTGTAGCATGCCACCACAAGCTTTGGAATTGTTGGTGGGTCTGTTGGAGTACAAGCCAACGCGCCGGTGGACATTGATGCAGGCAATCGAGTCGGACTGGGTGAAGGGAACTACCGGTAGCAGCCAACAACGAGAACAGCAAGAGTCATCTGAGGGGTCCAAGCGACCCAGAGTGGCTGGTTAGTCGAACAAGTTGAACTTGGGGCGTTCCGGTCTTTGTTCGGGCAACAATGACGACGACAAAGTGTGATTACGTCTTGCAAACCAGCAATCTCTCACAGGGCCAACAAACCGAAGCAGCTGTTGATGCTAAAGGGTGCAGGCTCGCAAGGATATGATTCCCACACCCGAATTACAAAACAAGTGGAAGCCCACATGATATTGTATGGTACTCTTACTCCTCTTGCTCTGGGCTTCTGAAGCCGCAACAAACAGCTACAACAAACTAAATAGTAGCCAATACATCTTGTTACCTTCTACTCACTCTACCATTCCACTCACATTTTCCATAAGGTCGTCCATATCCAACCACCGACCTTTGAGAGGAACCGGCTTGGCTCCGGTGAAGACACTGTGAATGTTGGCACAGTGCTCGGCCGAGACATCTCGAAACGTAGTGCCCGTTTTCGAGCACGTTTGGTAGTTGCGACATCCCCAATTGATGGCCATAAAGGTCTGACCCATCTCGTTGAGTTGGTCAAACGATCCCAACTGCAGTGGATAGTCGGCGTCTTGCATCAATCGTGCCAACAATCGTAGTTCCAATTCCGACGTTTGACGATAGGCTTCACGCCATTCCTCTGGGTAGTCGTACCGGGAGCAGGCATTGCCATTATCATCGGTAAAGTAAACCTTGCGTGTCGTGGCCGACAACCACTTCTGAACGGCATGATTGTATTCTGTATCCATCCAGCATCGTACCAACGGCAAGCTCATTTCATGAAGGGCTTGCTGATAGTTGTCGTCTTTCATTTCTTGTCGTGAGGGGGTGGGTGTTTCTCCCGTGATGAACCGCAATGCCAAGCAGGCTTGTACATCAAGCGCCAAGAGTGGTGTATCAAAGTTATTGGCGGCGAGCCACATGAGATTTGGATTGTGAACGAACAGAAGCTCGCGGTAGCTGTACGGATTGACGTAGACTCCTGGGTACAATGTGGCCGCTGTCGGAATGTCGCAGGGCTTATTAGAATGTCGCTGCTCTTTGCCGTGGTTGTTGCCATCGCTCTTCTTTTCATCGCCCTCCTTTTCTTGGGTGGTGTGCTTATTGTTGTCGTCGAAATCATGATACTTCCAGATAAAGTCGGACATTTGGTTGTGAGGCATGGTCCAGTTGTCGGGTAGAACGAATTCATCCTTTCCATTCCAGTACTGATCGTATTCTTGATCGGACATGTTGTAGCATGACTTGTCGAGCATATCCAAATGTTCGGAATATCCCGTACAACAAATGACCACATCAATACCGATCAGCACCTTGGTGTTTTGGTTGTCTGTTGTTGTCGTGTCGTGGTCCATTACAACAACCGACTTGGGGGAGGGTGGTTTGGGTGTCGACTCTTTGTCGTCGTTTGTCTTGTCTTTAGTAGTTGGCTTTTCGTCACTACTGGTGCTGGTTGTAGTCGTCTCATCATGGACAATGGCAATCTCGTTTTCGTAGGCATATTTGGAGAGTGTCAAAGTGTAGGATGAGGATACGTCCTTGTCATTTTCTTCATTGTGGGTGGAAGATGTCACAATCTCGACTTTGCTGATGGTATATCCAGCCACGACCGAGACCTTGTCATGAGGCCAATTAGTGGTCCAACAAACGGGAACATCAATACCATGTCGTCTGGTAAGAACGGTAACATGGCTGGCACCCCATTTGATCCCCATGAAAGCCAAATCTTCGGCCGAGTAGGATCCTCCAATGAGTAGCAAGTGTTTGTCTTGAATTTGCGTGGCGACCCGTTGTTCGAGTTGGGAGGCATGCAAAAAAGGTGGAATGTTTGTGTTGTTGGCGTTGGCGTGCAGTTGTGTTTGTGCTGCCTGCGTGAACTTGTCTTGAATGGGAGCGGGTATCTTTCCAGATCCATTTTGTCCCGCCGACCAAATGACCTTGTCGAATGTTTCGGTAATGGTGGCATTGGTGAGTCGATGAGTGGTTTGTACGGTGAATAGGTTTGTCTGGTTGTCATAGGTGACAGTGTCAACGTTTGTGTGAAAGGTAGCATACGTTTGAAAAAAGTCAGGACAATGGCGAGTCACCCGGGTCAATAGATAATCCAGTACAGCTTGTCGCGGTAGATAAATAGGTAGTTTCTGGTCTTTTCCAAAGTGCTCTTGAAAGGTATAATCGTGAAACTCCATGACTTCTTTGGGACCATTGCACCACAAGGCTTCGTACATGTTGGTGTCAGTCTTGTACTGTTGATTGCCTCCACTACTAGTAGTAGAGTCAGTAGTAGTAGAGTCAGAGGTAGCATTCGCATTGGATTTGGTAGAACGCCAGACTCCCCCTGGTGCAGCCGCCTTTTCAAAGCACATGATTCTGGGCAGTTCCTTTAGTTGTTCTTCCAGAGCAGACACATCTTCAGACTTGTCGTCGTCGTCGTCGTCCATTGTCTGCGCTTTCTCGATTCGTTGGAGGATCTGGCGGCGCTTGGTTTCCAAGGCGTGACACACAAACATTCCACCTGGGCCACAGCCGATCACTGCCACTCTCAAGGGCTTTCTCAACGCGGCATCGCCACTGCCATTGCCATTATCAGTACCAATACTAGTACTAGTAGTATTGCTGCAAGATACTGCCTGTGTCATGTTATGATGGATTGGATTCCGAATTCCGAGACCTTTACGTCGGTATAAGGGGGTGGGTATCCTTTCACGTGCTGCCTGTTCTGGATGAGCCAGAGCTGAACCAAACTTAATACCCCTGAGGTGAGCAGACCCAATCTTATTGCTCTCCTAAGCTCCTAACCAACGATAGTAGGGCTTCCGACTAGAGCTCTTGAGACCAAGGTTGTCGGCAAAGAGTTTGTGAACGGCAAATCCACAGAAGCGAGAACGGAACAATCGAGTCATTGGGGTTTCTTCAGTCATGCGAAATAATGGCGAGGATGTCTCTGGCTAGCCGGCATTAGTCGAGCAATTTAGGCGAAAATGACCTGTGGTAGCGATTTATGACTATCCAGTTACCAGATTACTAGAAATCAACCACAACCACAACAACCAAGTAGTAACACACACAACACTATAGCAACCTCTTTATCAACACCATCATCAGCCTTTTTCGGCTTATCAGGCATGGAAGCTACTACCCAACGATCGGTCGTTCGACGAGCACAAGCACGAGAGGAAGAGCGCCGTTCGTTCGTTCGAATAGCAGCGCCATTGTCGCTACCGGCCGTCCGAACGCAACGAGAAGAAGGACGACGTTCGAAGCTACCGTTCGTTCGTTCGAAGCAACCATTGTCGCGATCGTTCGTTAACCAGAAGAAGAAGAAGGAGTCTGTTAACCGTTCGTTCAGTCGAAGCAGCGCCATTGTCGCCGATTCGAAGCTACCGACTCGGAGCTACCGTTCGAACGACGACGAGAAGAAGAGAGAAGAAGAGAGACGACTCGACGCGAAGAGATCCTCATTGCCAGTGTAATCGGCAGAGGAACAAGAGAAGAAGAGAAGACCTCCAAGCGGCATAGCAACAGAAGACCTCTCAAGAAGAAGGGGCTCTCTCAAGTGGAGCGAGAGATAGAGACTTCCAAGTGGGAAGCAGAGGTTTGGACTTGGAATATTGATCCCTCCAGTCTGGATCAATTCCTGCCTCATTGTCACCAAAGAAATCGATTGAGCCAAGGAGAGGGGGCGCCTGATCCAAGAGTTTTGGCCTAGACTGCCACAGACTGGGTGTGCAGAGCTCATTCCGTGGAATACAGCCTTACTTGTCTGGGTGTGTACAGTTTGCTGTTGGAATAGGAGCAGAGAAGAAGACCCAACAACTGTTGCTCATCCAAGTGATACCGCAAGAGAAGAAGTAATTGGAGGCGAATATGGCAGGCAATCTTGCAGCCATGAACAACTATCTACAGAATACCATCGGTATTGCCGAATTAGCCACGAGGACAGCATTGAATGATCAAGGATTGGATGCCTTCGTCTCACTCGATACCTTTACCGATGCTGATATCAAGAGCATCTGCGAGAACGTGAGGAAACCAGGTGGTACCATCCCCAATCCAGCCATTGCGGCTGCAGCCACTGATGAAGCTGCCGCAGCAGTTCAGCCCAGAGAAGTTCCCAACCGTGGACGACAGCTAGGATTTGTCTTTGAGAAGCGACTCAGACAACTACGGTTCTACAAGTTTCATATGACACGAATCCAGCGTGAGTTCACTCCCAACCAAGCCAGTTTGGCGAGATTGAATAGAGTTTGGGCTTTATACGAGTCCGAACGAGAAGAGATCGATGTTGCGGATCCTCCCCAACTCTTGAAGGTCGAAGATGTCCGACGAGTTCTGGAGTCTATTGACAATGTTCTGAATGTCAAGCGAGGCGTTTGCGGTGCCCCTCTGGCTTATGTTACGAGATCCAAAGTCACTTTGCCAGGAGCACTTGATACCGACACCGCAGATGAGGCTGACCCAGGTTTTGGCCTTCCATCGCATCCTGAAGAATTGGTCCGAAGAACAAGACATGCCGGACCTCATTTCGTACAAGACAA